CAAAATACATTCTCAAATTCGCAAGGGCGGCGCCACGAGAGGGTGCGATTTTTCTCTACATGTGGTATATAAAAATAGTAAAAGTGAATTGCGGTGACACCGTTCACTTCTCACTTTAATAACAGATGTTTACCTCTCCCACGTTTTAACCCAATGTTTTTAATTTTTTTTTTTTTTTTTTTGCTAAGATATTAAACCACTTTTGACAGTTTTGTAATCTATACCAAAACACTCTAGGAAATTCAACGACGTGCCAAAAAATTAGGACAAAGTTGTTTAAAATGTTAATGACCAATAGTTAATATAAAAGTCAAGCGTTTTAGGTGTATTTAAAAAAGAGACTGTACTGTTAGTAACTTAGTAAGCGCAGAACTTTAGACAAATTACAATATCAACAACATAAAAGTAATTAAAGTTAAAACAAATAGAAAAACGATAGCTTTTGGAATTTTTGGCTCGAATAGTGAATTAACACTGGTTACGAATTGTGAAAACTCACTCAATGTTTATGGATATAAAAAAGAAATGATTCTAAAATGTAATCACTGAGGCTCAATAGGGTGGTGCTTTAGGGTGGGTGGCAATTGGTGGGGTGAGGTAAAAGATAACTGCGTATTTAAATCTATGACTTGGGTTGCCAAACCCTTAGAAATAAACACAAAGCTCGAGTATTACGTTACTGGATCTCTGAACGGAGAAGGTTTGTATTTATAGAGCGTCCACATATTACATTACCGGCAATGATCGCGGTCTCACAAAAGAAAGTTCGTGACTATAATAAGGGAGAAAATGACGTGACAGCTAGCTACACCTTATTTATGAGTTTCCCGACGGCATGTTCGGGCTGTCGCGAATGCCGGTACTTTAAACGTGTGAGAAATCAGGACAACTTTACAATAGAGCGAACTCGGTCCGAGATATAAAAACAGTATAGACTTCAAAATTTAAATTTGTTTAGAATCCGTACAATATTTTAAAACCAAATTCATTATGGTCTTAACTATTGTAAAGGATACCCTACATAAAAAAATGTGCGTTTATTTATGACTACCATATCGCTGCCCTACAACGATGCCCATTCCTCCATAACATTTGTGCGACGCGGACTATTCGATGACTATATTATGTCAGCACCTTTGGAAACAATAGCATATAACAATTCGAATGAATTCGGTACATTTATAATTCTGTTCGGGAACTGATGAATCTTTAAGATGACACAACATAACAACACTTTTATTTCCTTCCAAAACAATAAATAATAAATCACTCAGTTGGATGCCCCCCCCCTCTGATTTGGATCCCCAAACCCGCCCCTAAGCCTTTCTCCCACCCCCTATGCCCGCCTATGAATGTAAATTTTGTTATACCAAGACAAGTAGGCCATAAGTACAACTACAAGAAAGTCAGGACTAGCGTTCACTGTCTACTACAGGCATCTCGTCTGTTCACTACTAAACGTCTTCATTGGCCCGCTTACAATAGGGTATCTGATTACGTGTTTACCAAATTTTCCTCCCTGGTAAGGTCAAGGGCTAAATCGAGTCCACCCATCTCTAGTCACCTCAGTTCAAATGCGAGTCGACCGTACCCTGCACACATTGAGGTGTGTGACTCTGTAATTTACGGCTTGTACCAGTTTAGGTGGGTGATAACTCACTCACGTCAACCGGGGCCTCAGTTATAACAATAAACAACGTCGGCATTCGACCATTTAGTTTTTCCCAATTGAATTCAGCAACAATTATTTTAGTTTACAAACTAATTTAGGTAACAATGACGGTGCTGAAGCGCGGGGCCCCTTCAGGCGCGGGATCTGGGACGACCGCCCCGTTCGCCACCCCCAAACGCCGGCTCTAACCAGAACACACATTCCCTACCTATACACACACCACAACATATTAAAAACTGCAAACCCCCTACCCATCCACACACTAAAACATATACACTGCAAACCCCCCCCCCCTTATCCATCCACACACCAAACATGTTACAAACTGCCAAACACCCCCCTACCCATCCACACAAAACAACGTATTACACACCCCCAGAACACACCCTGTATTAAAAGTAACACCCTCTACCACTTAGGTGACGATCTATTCTTTACTTTAGATTAAATAATAAAAACGAATTGTTTGCTAGTTTAACATCAATGCAAAGAAACTGAAGGGCACAAAGTTATCTTGTGCTTTAATAGCAGACAGTTGTTAAGCTTTGAGTAGGCATCATCGTCAAAAGTGGTAACGCTATTTTATTTGTGTTCTCTCACCCCTCCCCTTATTATCGTGTGTCGTGATAAAATCCAAATTCACCAACTTTCTCCCACATACCCCCCCCTCCCTTAAAACGCGACATGCAATACTTCCAACTAAAACTATTAAACACCAGATGAAGTTCATATTAAGGACTGCTTAAAATTCAAAACAGGGGAGACAGTCACAACATTTAAAAACTTATCACAGTAGTTTCCCTTATTTCATGTTAATCGTGTCTCATGGCTTGTCGAGGACGGTAGGCCCTATTCGCATAATTTTGTAATACCAACCTAACAACAAATCATACATTTTAAATTTATATAAGGGGTAGGGGTTACCTAGTAATTTTGTCTCTTTAGGTTACTTTGCTAACTGGCACCATGATGCTTCAAGACAACGTTCAACATGATAATGTTTTTACATTTTCATTAAATAACCCGGGAGTGATCTCCCCTAATCTTTCTCGGATATTCTTATTTAAAACATCACGGGATGAGAACTCGGGATATGATTTTTAATCCATTTTAAATAAATAAACTTTTGAAAGTAGAATAGAATCTCGTAGAAAAAAGAATTGCGCACCAAGCGAACGCCAAAACAAAATGTGCATAATAGTGCGGAATATTATTAGTACTTTATAAATTTACATGCTTTTTTTTAAGAAATTGCGTAAATTACTACTTCCGGTCAACAGAAATTACTCATAATTTGATAGAAGGTAGAGAATTAGATATTTTACTTACATGTGATTTTTTTTCCATTTATCTATCTGAAATAGTACTCAAGTTACAGGCTTTTGAAAAATTCAAAGTAGAAAAAGTACCACTTCCGGTTATCGGAAATCGCTCAAAAGTTTATACTGATCTACGATTTTGATACATTACTTATATATGAAATGTCATCAACCTAGCTGTAACGGTACTCAAGTTATCGTGTTTACACACACACAGACACACAGACACACAGACACACACAGACATACGGACAAGATTGCAAAATTATGTTTTTCCGTATGAGTGAGGTGTAAAACGTCGAGATTTGTAAAAATCTCGATTTTCTTTTTTTTTTTGCACGATTACAAGACTTTCTCTATACTTCGTATATACGAGAAAGTAAAAAGGAGACATCGCTGGTTAACTCTTAAGAAAAAGAAATTATATATGTTGATAGAATAATTTTAAAAAATGTAACACTTAGTATTAAGCTATATATATATATATATATATATATATATATATATATATATATATATATATATATATATATATATATATATATATATATATATATATATATATATATATCTCTTGTTTCGTTTAAAAAATGGGTTAGATACGCCAAGATACAATATGTCCGACTACAAGGCCAACATGTCAAAATGAATCAATTTGGTTTAAAAATGATATCCTACAATTCAGGATGCAGTACGAAGCTCAGAATAAAAGAACGGAAATGGTTATTAGAATAAAATAAAAAGTACAAACACTAGAAATCGTTTTTTTCCCTTGTTTAACTTTACTCTGGTTCAACCACGCCCATTTACACTTGGGTCTATTTTGGCTAACTCGTGCCATTTCTATTATTTAAAATACATGTATTATAAAATAAAGCTGGTCTAAAGGAAAGCTTTAATGTTTAATTTGATAGAAAATAGCTCTCCTAAATAAATAATGTATCCAACTGTGGTAAACACTTTACAAATTATATCTAGCGACACGCTTTATATATAATGTAATCTGCTTAAAATTAGCTTTGATATTTACTTACTTCCTCTTTATAAAAAGGGGGTTTGATATTTATTTTATCAACAACAGTTAAAATTGGCTTCCAAGGAACTGCAATAGTAAATATCTCTACTTACCGAATAACTACAATTGTAAATATCTCAACTAAGAACTAAACAGTTAGGTAAAAAATATATATGTTAATTACTCTACCTGTTAGTGACTTGCATATTGACCTCATTATCATAGCACGTGTTATATAACACGAACACATAAGATTTTGACTAACCAAAGCAACTTATGATAGTGATGTAACACCTTTTATAGACCACCCATGGCTTAATTATAAAACCATCGTGACCCCTCCCCTTTCATCCCATGTTCGCTCACACATAGATTACAGCCGATTTGTATATTTTTATAATTACGGGTGTTACTACTTACAAAATATGTTTTTATAATCACACAATGAATACAATTGTAAACAGAACAAAAGTTTAGATGTTTTAAATAATACAATTAAACACAGCGCTTGTAACTTGACCATCACCTTGTTTGACAACATACAAGAAAATGATAAACCACCAACACACTTTTTGTAATGTGCACATTACCTTACAAATACAACTGGATTTTGTTTCATGTCTTTCTATTTAATAAACTATTCGTTACAAAAATTAGAAAAAACGTTTTATAGAATATAAAATGTTAAATATTAAACTTTTTAGTAGAGTGGTGAATTTGTAACATTATTCTTAAGTCATCAAATGACGTGAAGCGATTTTAGTTTGCACAAGGGGAGGGATTTTCAACACGAGTTTACTTTTGGATGGAAAAGTTCAACATTCAAATCCTTCAGCCAATGAAATAAAGGCCTGGAAAGTCAACACTGTCTCACACCTGGACTGGCATGTAGAACTTCAATCTTAGGAGGTGAATTGTCCATTTCTGTACGAACTGTCGTCACTTTAGTTGGCTGCAGCGAATGCATTTTCTCTCTCTGATGTAAGACTTCATGGATTTAAAACAATCACAAATTTATAGTTTGTCATACAATCTTGATTTCACACAGACAGCAGCAATACTTGGAGGAATCATGGCTTATGTCATGAGACTCAAGGTCTTTCTGTTTATACTATCAGGTATTATATGAAGTCTACAATTAAACTTTTAAATTTTCCCATATATTGTAATACAACTTTACATTTGTAGACATTTTGAACATGCATGCTACATTTTCATAGAATATATATTTTTATATAGAATATGCTTGCGCATGGCTGATGGCGTGTGTGCGTGTGCGTGCATGCGTTTGTGTGTGTATGTGTGTGCATGCGTGTGTGTAGACTATATCCAAAGACTTAATATTGAAAATACTCTTAGCCATGGCTGAAGGAACAACCCATCCACCGCCAGTTATAGCTGTTGACGGTCAGAGTTTGACTGACGGAGATGAGTTTACACTTCCCTACACCAGCTCGACCAACGAGACATTGGCCCGTGTTGAGTGTAGGGAACCACGTGCCACAGATCTGGCTACAGGCGTGGAACTTGTGTGCCGAGGTCTGAAAGTACCAGGAGATGAACAACGCGTGTTTTTGGTGCCGTACAACAAATATTCAGATAAAATTTTATGTACCTGCTATCTACGGTTCGCTTCTGCTGCCAATAATATAAACATCACTTTTCTACTCAATATCGCCTGTAAGTCTACAAATTGTTATCTTAATTAATACGTTAATTATGTAGTTATTGGTTTATTATTTAGCCTCAGATAAGAATCAAGGGTGATGGAAATCAATGAAATCCACATATGTCACCGGGCGCCGACCCTAGAGGCGCCAAAATAAGCTCATTTTAACTGGTATTTTGAATTATAAATATAAAAATTATACGGGGGGGGGGGGGGGGGGGAACACCTAATTGAAAGTTTGTCCCCGGGCGCCGGGTGTGGTCGCTACGCCTCTGGTATGTAATGAGACTCGCCTGTGGTTAATTTTTCCGAATAAATTTAAACATCTACTTAACACAGACTGGAATTCTTTTAGTCTCATATTCGGGAACTTGACTCCAAAATAAAACGTACGCCTACTTGATTATTTTCTACAGATGTTCCAGAACAAGACCCCGTGGTCACCATCGCTGGACAAATCATAGACCGAGGCAGCACTTACAGCCATCAGGCCAACAAGTACATAACCAACATACGATGTAACGTGCCTGATGGGAACCCACCAATCAGCAACTACACCATCACGTGTTCTACATCTAACGGCTACAAAAGTTCTACATTGGAGCCTGACGATGACCTCATGCTGGATGTCCAAGGTCAGGGACACGGCAACTGTACCTGTAGACCTAATCACGTGACAGGGTTGTATAACAGGACCACCAGCTTCTACATTGAATATAATGGTAAAAATATATTGATTTTTAAATTTAACGGAACAATATTAAATTTTACCAAAAATGAAACGATTGAAACTTTCAAAAATTGTTCAAATATATTTAAGGCTCAAAAATGTATTAACAATTTTACTCTTTAGTTCAGCCGTACGTTCCACAAACTGCTCCCATTATTTCCGTTGGGGAGCGAGTACTGTCTGAAGGTGAAATTGTAACCGTCGGAGCGGAGTTGACGATCAGTTGTGCAGTGCTGGATGGATATCCCCGTGTGGAACAAGTCACATTCCAGTGCGGACCCTACACTAGAACAGTACTCAACTACACCGGAGATTTCACCATCCCTTACAACAAAGTCTACAACCAGCAAACATGTGTTTGTACGGCCACTCACGTGACTGGGCAGTACCAACGGAACTCTACCATTCTACTCGATGTTCATTGTGAGTAGACAAACATGTATTGTGTTTTAGACTATACTAGCCGTCCCGGCCAGGCCCTGCTCTGGCTTCTGTGAAAAACCTTTCTGTTAAAGACCATTACCTGTGTGTTTAGTAATCATCATAAACCCGGCATTGCTCACCCAAACCACGACCAACCAAAACCAAAACAACAAAACGCAAACATAACGCTAACACAATTACAAATACAAACGAAAACAAAAACCTAGCAACAAACCCAACCACAACCACAAACACCAATACAAACACAAAGAAAAAACAAACAAAAAAGCAAACGAAAACAAAAACCTAACAACAAACCCAACCACAAACACCAATACCAACAAAAAAAAAAAAAAACGAAAAAGCAAACGAAAACAAACCAAATCCAAACGCAAAACCAACCAAAAACACAAATACAAACCCAAACAAAAAAACACAAACAAAAACGAAAAAAGAAAGAACGAAAACAAACCAAATCCAAACGCAAAACCAACCAAAAACACAAATACAAACCCAAACAAAAAAAAACACAAACAAAAACGAAAAAAGAAAGAACAAAAACGAACCAAATCAAAACGCAACCACTAACGCAAACCCACCTAAACACAAAGAAAACACTAACGCGAACATAAACGCCCGGGGCAGAATCGCCTGTTTTAGCTTAATAAACGACTATAGTACCCCAACTTATTCATAGTTTTTGCACTCACTTAAACGAACGCGCCTGTTTCAATTTAATGAACAATTATAATACTCCAAGCTTATCCGTAAAATACCTAAAACATTTGCACTTGATCAATCCCCGCTAATTATGTAATTATTTTTTTCCCAACACCAAAACAAAGTAATTAAAAAGTAAATGCTTTTCAACTAATGCAATGATTTCATAAAGGGAAGTAATTGTGTTTTGCCTAATTTATCAAAGGGAAGTAAGCGCTATAGGACTAAATAAAAACATAATTAGAATTTTTGTAAAAGATGATTTTTTTTTAAAACTTGTGTTTAATGAACATGCCGACAATTATTACTATAATTTGAAAAATGAAAATGATTTCCCAACACTTTTAATAGTAATTTTTTAACTCATAAATTTAGACAAACGCGTACGATAATTGATCTAACACTTAAATCCGTAGAAATGCCAACGACAAACATATGCGTTACAGAATTGAGCTTTATATATTAGATTGTTTTTTAAGCCATACAAATTGAGAAACCTTTTTATTTTGTTTGTATTTAACTTATTTAACTTAACTTTGTTACATTTTGATTTAACAATTTTCTTCTAGTGGATTCAAACAGAACAAATTAATGAAGTTTAAAATCATCAATTAAGAGCTTTTTTTATGATAAACATTCTGAAGTCTAGACGACAACCGAATTAACGCTTCAAATTAGAGAATGCAAACAAATCTCACGCGTACTAAAACACCAATCATTGTGCATACTTTGGCACACTTGTTCTTCAATTATTTTACAATCTAATACAGTTGGATAATGCTGGTCTCCTTGTAGTTTTAATTGATATTTAATAAAAATCTGTCTTTTTACACCTACACAGATGCCCCGGTTGTGACGAGATTTACAGCAAACGGAGTCCAAGGTTTTCTGAATGTGACAAAACAGAGACAGGTTGAAATGGTGTGCGAGGCTGATGGAAACCCACCGCCTTACGTGTTCATGCAATATGTAAACAGCGGTACGTTTTCTTTAACAAAAACATGAAGATGCAACGTGCCGTTCGTTGTTTTTTTTTTTTTTACTTTCTCGTATACGAAGTATAGAGAAAGTATTGTAATTGTACCAAAAACAATCGAGATTTTGCAAATCTCGACGTTTTACACCTCCCTGAGTCGGGAAAACATAGTTTTGCAATCGATTTCCGTATGTGTGTGTGTGTATGTGTGCGTGTGCGTGTGTGTGTGGGTGCGTGTGGTTTTGTGTGAGTGAGTGTGTTTGTAAACACATTAACTTGAGTACCGTTACAGCTAGGTTGATGAAATTTCATATGTAAGTATTATATCGAATATATTTGTACATCCGTGTTAAGTTTTCAGCGATTTCCGATAACCGGAAGTGGATTTTTTTACTTTCAGTTTTTCAGAAGCCTATAACTTGAGTGCTTTTTCAGATAAAAATTTCACATGAAAGTATAATTTTGAGTAATTTCCGTTGACCGGAAGTCATAATTTAAGCAATAACCGACTTCCAAAAAAAAAAACCGCATGTGAACGTATAAAGTACTATTACTATTCCGCTCTATTATACATATTTTGGTTGGCGTTCGCTTAGTGCGCAATTCTTTGTTCTAGGAGATTTTATTCTATTTTAAAAAGTTTAAGTAAGTAAAAATCAAGTCTATATCCCGAGTTGCCATCCCCCGTAGCCTTATATAAGAATATTCGAGAAAGTTTAGGGGAGATCACTCCCGCTTTATTTAAATATATTTTATGGCTTCATAATTGGATAATTGCGACTTTGAAATCCAAGCACAAAGTCTGATCTGAGAAGGGTCAGGTTTTTATCTGTACCGGCTGATGTACCACGGCTGATGTACAACTTAGCATAAGCTTTGTCGCAGGAGCTGTCGAAAGGTTGCATGAGTTTGTAATTCGGTCGACTAAAGGGCTCTACTTCTGTAAGATTTCAGAGCTTTCTCTCTTTGATTGTTGTTATTTCCAGCTAACGAGACAGTTTTTTTAAATGTAATCTAAAACACCAAACGTCGATTTCTCTAATCAAGCGCTAAATATTCTCACTGCGTCTTCCTGAACTAAATTTCATTGATTTTTAATTACATGTTTACAGCGGTCAATCCATTTGGAGATAATGAATTGGTGTCAGTCAAGTATGTAAAGAGGATTTTCACTGCAACTTCCAACTATTATGGGTTCTACTACTGCCAAGTTTTTAATTATTACAACTACACAAGTGGATATGATTCTAGAATGTCAGAAGTAGGTGTTGTAAAGACATGTAAGTTAAGCTAATATATTTTTTTCAGTTTTAATGAGTACAACTATTTTAAGGATGATTATATGTCATTAAACACGTTTTTACATAAACAAAGAAATCTATCTTCGCAAGCTTTCGGCTAAGTGTAAAACGCAATTTAAAATGATTTTCGATAGGTCTGAAGAGGATTATTTTATTACTTTTACTAAAATGTATTGTAATCTCTGCTTGCAGCATTTCCCCTAATCGCCACCTACACAGCCAACGGCAACACCAGTCTGTTAAATATAAACAGAGACACCATTGTGACATTCAGATGTGAGCTTATCAGTGATTATGTTAATTACAATGTCTGGTGGTCGATCACCGCGAGGACAGGTCAGATACTAAATTACTTATGAATTATTCATTACATTATACCGTGCTATTAAAGTTTGATTTTGTTGTCATATTTAAACAATTTTTTTGGTCTGATGGTTTGGCTGTCTGTTATGTACACATGTAGCTGTAATAGCTAAACAAACATAAACTTTTCCTCGTTTACAGTTTCGAGGATAAAAAGCTAAATTTCCTTATGCGTCCGGTATCATTTTTCGTCACCTTGCTTTTGAATGTCGTAAAAATTATAGATAGAATAATTTTATTAACCTCTACTATTTTAACATTGGATGCAGGCTACTGTTCACATCTACTGCACCAGACACCAGAACACACGAATACTTCGACAGTAAAAACCTACACCCTGTTAGCGAGCTGTGGGTGCAGCGATACATATGAGTGTATAGCACACATTAGTACAACCAATGGTACCACATCTCGTTTGTTGACTAGCGACGTCAGGTCCATCGATATCCAATCTATTGTCGTCAATGTCAATTGTAAGTTTTTACTTTAGTTTATTGATATAGTTATAATATGTCCCTATCTCAATTTATGTTTGTTTTTAAACGGTATCATGTACGCAAGAGCTGTATATTGTGTAAGATAATAAAATTACCTTTTATTTAATCTTTGCAGCGTATGTGATAAAAGCATTTAATAAGAGTAAAAAAAAATCGACAATACATATAGTGCATTGCCTTAATTTGTAGGTCCAGGAAGTCCCCTTATTGTTACTGTGTACAATAATGTTGTATCTGATGGACAGAGAGTACAGCTTCATCCTTTGTACACATCTGTCGACATTCAATGTACAGCTCAAGGTGACAGGCAGATGGTATCAAAAGTTACTTTAAAATGTGGCGATACAATCCAGACAAAGAATGGATACAACGGATTGTTTACAATCCAGTACAACAAATCAATGAATGAACAAGGATGTGTGTGTTCCGCAAGTCACGTGACCGTATCATTCGACACATCATTTGTTCTTAGCATAAGCCAAACGACGCCGATAATCGCAAAGTTTACAGCCAATGGCCAGAGTGCATTTGTGAAAGTCAAGAGCAACGGACCAATCAAGTTTGAGTGTAGTACTTTCGACAACATCACCAATACTGCGTGGAATCTGCAGGCAAAAACCTCAGGTACATCATAAAACAGTGGTATACATTAAAGATAGGGCAGTACTGTATTCCGTAGCATTATTGCAATAATGATCGTGGTCCTCGCCCTATCTTTAACTCTTATCACTGAGCCCAACTCTAAATCTTGCAAGTACTTCTGTATAATCCACAAACCATGGCACTAATACGAACAATGATACAAACATGTAAGACTGGAGCCAATCTTATATTAACCAAAACTTACTCTTATACAACCTAACATTGTGCACGTTGCTGATGTTATATAATCAAATTCTCTATAGCATATATTTCTCCTTGTGTATTATACCAGGTAAGACTTTGTACAGTGGATCCTGTCCAAGCGCAGCTCGAAGCTTTGAAATAACGACAGCAGCTGAATGTGGGAAGACGGAGACTTACGAATGTACAGCAACATTGGCAAATATGCTGAGTGACACACGGACGTTACAAGTGGACGCTGTTTGTAAGTTGGTTAACAATGTGCACATGTGCTGAAAGATGTTTAATGTGCACACGGTGTATCACGTGCTTGAGAAACTAATGTAAGCTCAGAGGGTTTCACAGTTTTCTGCAGAATATGTTGACAAATGTTACATGTGTTGTTAAATGTCTCCTGTCTTAAAAGATGTCAGGTGTGTTGATAGATGTCATATGTGATGAGATATGTCATATGTTTTGTCTGACCCCAAGTATGTTGTTACTGCGAAATTTCTAAAGACCTGACGCGAGTTGCAGGATTTACAGGAGATATCAGCTGTTTCCAATTGGCACTTCATTACCTAGTGTTTTAGTTTATGGCCCTTAAACACAGCAACATGTACTATACACATTGCATGTTGCAGTAAACTATTATTAACTGATTACGTATTAGATCTAGGCCACCGACGGCAATTAATTTCTAAAACTTTATTTTATTTCCAAAACTACACATTTTCAATTAAACGAAACTAAATCCTTCATTGGTTTTTATTTCCGAAACCTTTCCTGATTGAGTAAAAATACTGTACAATTATTCAAAACAAAATAGATAATAATATGTAGAAGAAAATCTAATAACAATATATGGAAAAAGTCTTTGCAAATTTGCTAAATAAATACTTAACTTCAAATATTTATAACATTTATTAATATTGGCAGCACATAAATAAACTAGTAGTAAAACTTCAGCACTTTAATCATTATCTGTTTGTTAACCGTTTTTGTCATTTGGATGTATGCATGTGGCAAAAAGAAAAATTGTATAGAGAAGGATTAATGAACATTATTGTGGGGTTTTCATGTTGGCATTGAAAAAGAATTTTATTAAAAACCTAAACCCAAATGATTACAAGTATTGTTGTCTAGACATGAAATGTAGAGAAAATTAAAATTAATTGATAAATTACTTTCGTCGCGCTTATTTGTATTGCTGCTCCATTCTGTGATTTTAATTTTAGCCTATCGTAATATTTCTTATTGTATTTTGGAACATCTTACAGGTAACACAGGTGGTGTTGCTGTACCAAGAAATATCCTACTGGTTACGTCTCTGGTCCTGGGCTGGACAGTCCTGCTATGGTGTACAGCCTGAGTCAATCATCTGGTGACCTCATCAGTCTAATGGACGATGTCTACTTAAATAAACACTTTCATTTGCATTAGAACACTTAATGTGTGTTTAGTACTAACACCAAGTATAACGTTTTCTTCTATGTTCTCTAACAACTCTAACACTAGATGACTAGTGGGTTTTGTTAAAACAGTATTACGATCGAAATACCATTTTGTTTAGTCTAATAGTTACTTTTGCTCAAATCAGTTCTTGTCTAGAATTTAATAATGTAAAGCTTTAATTTTTGTTCTTTCAAAAATACTTGTGTCGAATATTGGTAGAACTACTAATAAAACGTACCCATTATGTATCTACGACTAGGGTAAGGGATATGATACGTCCAGAATAGTGTGTGGGTAGCAATACCAGCAGAACGTAAATTTGAAACGGACCTGCCCGTTTACTTAGAAGAACCTATGGCACAATTAACTATAACTCAAAGCCAGATTCATATACATTTTAAACTCAAGTACATTAGAGTGTGGTAACAAGCATGCATACAAAGGTTGCAATAACCTATTTCAAGTTCCTACAAAGTTTGATGTTAAACGTTTTGAGATATTACAAAAAGTTTCTGCGAAAAGTTGCTGAGACAACTTCCAAAGTTAATGTAAACAAGCTCTCATCTGTTTACATTCTGTTCGCTAGCGCTTAGAGATCACTTGATATAATATGGGAATTACTGTTAAACTTACAAAGTAAAGCATTCCTGGAAATTTTAAATATATTGAACAATGCATACACTTAGATGTCACAAAATGTTAAGCTCGTGTTGTTATGGCGCTGGAATGGGTGGTGACGACCAGTGCCACCACCTCCTCTTAAGTCCAGCCTTCGTGCATTATTTGGGTCATGAAGAAAATTAAAAGTACTACCTTACTAATAAACTGCTGGATAAAAGATATGACATCCAGCCAATATATAAACATTAACACCAACCTATTAAATAAGAAAGATTATGAACATATTATATATATATATATATATATATATATATATATATATATATATATATATATATATATATATATATATATACGAGATAAATGGCCCGTTGAGGGAGAGATACAACGGCCTTAGGTTGATAGTGTTGTCTCTTTTCTCTAAACTGAAGCCAGTACCAAATCCAAAGTCACCACCTCAACTTCAAATTTAACCGGAAACGAAAAATGTGATTGAAAACAAATTTGTATCCAGATTCGGCATTTAAATCGGATTTAACCTTAATTTACACGTAGTTATACTGCACATTGATACTAATAAGTCGTTGCCATACCCTTAAACCTTGCACATAATCTCAAACATGACAAAAGTCGTATTTTGATTTTTTTAAGGCGATTCTACGTGGGGGAGGTGTACGTGGTGGGGGGGGGGGGGCTTGCCCCGCCGCCAGACAGCCAGAACAACCCCAACTGTACCGTCCCCTTCAACGAAATAGAATTAATATAGAAAACCTACTTTTACCAGTGTTCGCTGCCTTCGAAGAAAATGTTGTCCACCTCCACCCCCGAATGGCGAAACTATTATTATAAAATATTATGTTTGTTTGAGAAAAATAATTTATAAAATAGTTAATGGTCAAAACGGCATGTGTTTTACTACACGTTAAACGATATTAGTGGCAAAACAAACAAATAAACAAATAGCTAAAAATCCGACACATTAAAAATAACTTAGGCTACTAATAACTATTACAAAAATTAAAACCAAATTACATAAATAATTATTCAATATAACACCATATTGAATGCACAGACTGAATGATTGTGTTTAAAACCCTGCTTTTCAACTGTATTTATGTTGTAATTTTTATTAGTCTTGGCCGAGAAAATTGTAAAAAATTCATAGCGTAAGTCTTGATAAGTAGATCTATTGATCTAAATCAAATTTTTAAAGAAATATTTCATTTCTTCTTATTCCAAAATTGGAAGCTGTGGAAAGGAAATCTTATTGAAGATAACGTCATTAGTATTTATCATTCACGACATTCGATGTATAATTCTATTTTTGTCCTACAACCAATGACGCCATTAGTGTTCTTTCCCTAGTTTAAACATGTGACATGTGTGACGTCATTGTGTTTTTTTTGTTCTTGTCACTACCATAAAAACTTCTCCGGTTGCAAATTTAAAAATATGTTTCTACATTCGAATATGCTTTTTATTTTTACTTTCCTTCTTTGAAAAAAAGGAGAAATTTAGTTTATACTTTTGTAACACATATGGTTACCAGCCAGGGGAGGGAAAAATATGAAGTTTTAATTCATTGAGTTGCGGCCCCTGTGGGGCTGTGGCCCTGTTGACGTAGTTGTTTTTTTCATGCTATTGTGAGCGATGTTACCTGTGTCCCATGTCATGTGACATGGGACTGTGGGTAGTTTCATGCCTAGCCGTGTCAGTCACACGCAAGGCTGCTGTCTGTGGACACGGTGACCAAGATGTAGACCTAAAGAAGGTAGTTATATACATTATGTTTGTTAAAATACTTAATTGTGTATTCCTGTTAGTGCTGCATGTGCACACTAGTTAGGGTGAGTATTAATATAAGTATTTATTTGTACTACTACTTATTGGTACTTGTTGGCAGTATTGTGTACTGGCCGAAACATATTTTATTGTACCCGTGTATATTGTAGCCTATACGTGGTGTTGTCATGAATGTAGCTTTTTATTTACATTTGTTTTAGGGCTACAGTTATATCTTGGCTAGTTTGTTTTTGTTTTCTTGGTTTCCTGTTGCTTCAGTATTTTCTCTCGTCGTACTACTGTGTTAGGCATCGCCGTCATGGCTCGATGCTGTGAATAAAGGAGTACTTGACAACAACTGTCGGTGTCAGTGTGTTCTTAATCTCAGGGTCAGCCCGTCTTAACCACAACACCTCAGTGGGTAAAAGCTTCCCCACTAAGTGAGGGTTACACTTTTAATAGACTCAACATATGATTTTCGCCAAAAGTCCGAATCTTTAATTTCTCCATATATCGCTGAAGATACTGATCTTATAGACTCAGACAGAGAGAGGGGGGGGGGGAGAGAATAGTGCGCACATGGATTTCTATATATTAGGATTATCCTTATAACACGTCTATAAAATAAGCGATGAGTTTAGTTCCAATTTATTTATCGTTATTTGTAGTTCAGACCAGGATGAATGAAATATTCCCTCTGTAACATTTCTCTTACTCCTGGCCTCAGCTTTATACAATGGAGGAATAATCTCAGAGCTTACGTACAGGTTCCTAGTGGATTTTATACCCTGTGCGCATTCAAAAGTCTACTTTATAAATTACTAGCGTACCCGAGCCCCGCGCGTTGCCGCGGGGATCGGAGAAAGTTTGACGAAATATATTAGAAGGACTTCACCAACGCGTTACCAATCATATGTTCTTAGACGCGTGACCTTCTTTTCTAAAAATGAGTTATTTAAATGTAAACAATGCCTGTTCTTGGATCATAAATATCAGGACACGGGTTTACCTACACTACCGCATGAAAACCTTAAGTGTACATTAATCACTCACCGAAATAATATGGTAGAACACACTTCGGTGACCGCCTCAGTGTCAGAGACGTAGAGGGGCGCTCTCAGGGCCTCCACCCCCGATTACACTACCGCATAGGCGCGGCATAAAGACCCCTGGCTCCCTAAAACTAACAGGCGTAATCGGCCAAATAGCATCCTGTTAAAAATGATGCAGATTTCGTCATTCGCTAAAGTGACACAAATGAACAGGATTTTTTTCTTTAACACGTAAACAAATTATTTGAAAAGTTTTTAATATCAGTGTGACTTATGCAATATGCTAGCGTTACTAATGGTCTATTATTAGATGCTCGATCTCAATTTCTGACTGGATTGTCAAAAAAAATAGATGCTTATTGCATCATTCGCAAAGTGACGAAACTCTAGAGTAGGCTCCTCATATTCAAAAAGTTATTTTTTCATCTTTCGCAAGGTGACGAAACTGTACAGGATTTCCTTGCGTTACAAAGTTATTTTTAGAAGCCTGTTGTAGTTTTACCGCTGAATATAGTAGTACCCCTTACTCGCTATGCAGGACGCTCGATTAACGGATGCCAAGTGCCAACTTGGTCGCTCTAAAACTCTGGGCGCCAAACCGTGTATTGACGAAAGTTGTACCCTATATGGCGCCGCCCGTAAGAAACTTTAGTTTTCTTTTTCGCAGAAATATTCTCGGGAATATTCTCATCTACTCCCTAAAGTTTCACGGCACTCGGATGAACTGCATCCGAGTTTTATTTTTTATATGCCGTGTATTAGAGAAAAAAATCGATCCCCCCCCCGGTGGTGCGCCGCCCTTGCAATATTAAACAATTTTTTTTGCAGAACCCTACCATTGAGTGATCTAATCATCTCCCCAAAGTTTCGTGGTACACGGATGAACGGTGTGAAAACGAAATTTTATAAACCGTATATAGAGAAAAATCGCAGCCGCCAGTGGCGCCGCCCTTGCGAAATTAATAAAGTTTTTTTTTACAGAACCCTTCCCTGAATTGTTCTTATCAACTCCCCCAAAGTCTCATGGCTATCGGATAAAGGTGTCACACCAAAATCGACTTATTTTTATAAACCGTGTATAGAGAAAAATCGCACCCTCCCGTGGCGCCGCCCTTGCGAAATTAAAAATGATTGTTTACAGAACCCTTCCCTAGAGTTTATAATGAATTCCCCAAAGTCACATGCCTATCAGATAAACGGTGTCACTGCAATTCACTTTTATTATTTTTATATACCGTAAATAGAGAAAAATCGGACCCTTCCGTGGCGCCGCCCTTGCGAAACTAAAAATTATTTTTTTACAGAACCCTTCCCTAGAGTGGTATAATGAACTCCCCAAAGTCTCATGGCGATCGGATGAACGATGCCAAACCAAAATCGACTTTTATTTTTATATACCGTATATAGAAAAAAACAAATCGCGCCCTGTCGGGGCGCCACCCCTGCGAATTTGAAATTTATTTTTTCGCAGAAACCTCCCCAGGAATATTTTCAACAACTTCCCAAAGTTTCACGGCGATGTGATGAGAGGTGTAGTAATGCATAAAGGACAAACACACAGACACACAGACACACATACATTGCTTTTTATATATATAGATAGCATGCTCATTAACAAGGCAATACGATGTAGAATACGAGTAAGATTACAATTTGTGTTGACGTAAAAACAGAGAATTTATTAATGAAAAATTCAAGTTGTAATTATACAAATATTTTAATTGATTGATTTAAATCAAAAGTTAATTATGTATTAAAAGACTATAGTTTATTTTAAAGCTGTTATAGTAAAAAGTATGATGTAAACAACGCTACATTGTGAATGATACTACAATAACCAAAAAAAGCTCACAACCGAGGCTATTTTTGTAAAATACTGCATATTTCTGCAATCCTCACATCTGGTTGTAGGTATTAAACTCTGACCCTCAGTCTGTATTCCAAGTCTGGACAGTCCCCAGCAGTGCCAGACACGCCAGGATTGAAGCTGTTCCTAATCCAAGCCAATCAGCGCCGTTTATCGCTGATTAAATTTTTTAAAAAGAAAAAAATATTTGTTTTAATTTACTAAGTAATTATTTCTGTAAATCTATAACAGGAGAGGAGAGTAGACAAATAAACGATAAGACATCGTAATTTTACACCTGAAAATACTTAACTAATTCATTTATACTATTTAAATTTTCAAAAGACGAAACAATCATAAAAAAACTCCCATACGTTTTGTAAAACAAAAATGTTGATACATAATGAGCGATCTATTATGGACGAAGAGATGCCTGGAAGAAACTGTTTGAGAAACCCAAGAGTTTCAAGATGCGTGAGAGCTATTCTTCTTTCTTGGTCTCCCTGGCTTAATTGAAAATGAGAGAAAGAGAATAAACGTGAAAAAAATCAAAGATAAACTTACAAAGTACATTGAGGCATCCCTCGCCCCATGTAGTACCAACTAGGTTAGAAACAGAACACTGAATGCACATGATGTCTGAAGCTTTCTTTACAGACTTTACTGTTAACGTTCTGTTTCCATCACTTAATATAAATTTTGTCTGGTCTGAAAAATAACAAAAATAACAGCAAAATTTTAATCTCTTTACATATAACCTCTGCTGAATTAAATTATGTTGCAGATGAAGTTGTAAAAGTTCGAAAACCGTAGTGCCAACGTAAAACATGGGCACTTAAAAGCTCATCGTAACTTTGTCTTCTAGTTGGTGGGGGGGGGGGGAAGTTCTTATTTCCCATGATTTGTTATTTAGTTCAAATTCTAAAGATCCAGGAAAAACGAAGAAGCTTAAAACACTTGGGTTCAGCGTTGGGTTGGTAAAGCTCATATTCATGTTCTGAACCCCAGGACAGATAAGGATCGATAGCTGGGGACAGCAACAGTTGGGGACAGTAACCCATCTAGAAAAGAAAACTAAAATCAAACAACGTCTGTTTTGCATATAATTCTTGGGACGACCAAAGCTATAAAAGCAAATAAAAAAAAACAGCAGGCTAAAATCGGTGTTAACATCATATGTGGAGAATAAAAGATTGACACTTAATTCTTAATTGTATTAAAGGAAAGTATTTCAATCATTAAAAGTAAGAACTAAGAAGTGAACGTTAGCTGATAGAAAGATTACATATCTATTGTGTTTCATGTTTAGTTAAAAAGACCCACCTGTCTACACAATAGTTCTCTGTCTACACAATAGTTCTCTGTCTACACAATAGTTACCTGTCTACACAATAGTTACCTGTCTACACAATAGTTACCAGTCTACACAAAAGTTACCTGTCTACACAATAGTGACCTGTCTACACAATAGTTACCTGTCTACACAATAGTTACCTGTCTACACAATAGTTACCTGTCTACACAATAGTAACCTGTCTACCAGTGGCGTAGGCAGGGGGGGTTAGGGAGGGTTATAACCCCCCATAGACCCCTCGGTATATATATATATATAAAGTATGAGGGGGGTGCAAATCAAAAGTTTGAGGGGGGAGGTGCAAATCGAAAGTTTGAGGGGGGAGGTACAAATCGAAAGTTTGAGGGGGGTGCAAATCGAAAGTTTGAGGGGGGGGGGGGGGGGAAGGGGCGGTGAAAATCGAAAGTTTGAGGGGGGGGGGGTGCAAATCGAAAGTTTGTCCCCGGGTAAAAATTGGAAGCCCCCCTTGAGAAGATCCTGGCTACGCCACTGCTGTCTACACAATAGTTACCTGTTTGTGCACCAACTTGCTCTCCATTAATGTACCACACAGGTGGATCAGGTTCTGTTTCTCCACGTGCTGACCTGGCAATACAGTTAAACACGGCATCTTTACCTTCTGACATAGTTTGGTCCTCTGGTGCTCCGTTTGGGTAAAAGATCGGAGAGGCTATTAAAATTTAAAGTTACATTTAGAAAATAGTTTTAACCAATGCATTATATTTATTTTGAATGTTTAAAAAATTTTAAACTAAACTTAACAATTTAAAAGCCTAAATGTGAGTAAAATTGTAATTGTGTTAAAAGAACAAAACCAACAAGTAATATCAAGAAACACAGCCTCTTTTTTAGATGTTCCTCTGGTATTTTGTGCTTGGCAGTAATAATTTTTCTCATCAGTTTCAACTACGTTATAAATGATAAGAAGGCGATGATCATCTGAAAATGAATATCTGCTGGTTTCTTTGATCTCGTTGCCGTCATCGAAATACCATTTGGTCACAGGAACATCCGGGTATTGGGGGTCATTGCTAATAAAGAGATTATTAACTGTTAAATGATTGTAAATTTGTTAAATCACAAGGCAGAGTCATTACTAAGCAAACGCATAATTAACTCATTAGATTTTCTGTGCAATATAGAAAGCATTGTTTATGAAATAACGTTCATCTGACATCGAAAGAAATTTTTTGTAATGGTATAAGAAATTTAAATACATTAGACACATACTATCCAGAGAAATAACATTCCAGTGTAGCTGTTGAAAATCTCAAAAACGTGGTGTTAGAGTTTGTATAAAGCAGTTGTGGAGCATTGGCATTCGGTGCTGAAAGAATAATAAAAATATTTTATTTCCTTCCATTTTTTACTTTCTCGTGTATACCAAGTATAGAGAAAGTCTTGTAATCGTGAAAAAAAAAATCGAGATTTTTATAAATCTCGAGGTTTTACAGCTCATTGAGTCGGGAAAACATAGTTTTTCAATCTTGTCCGTATGTCTCTCTGTGTGTGTATATGTGTGTGTCTGTCTGTAAACACGATAACTTGGGTACTGTTACATCTCGGTTGATTAAATTTCATTTATAAGTATTATATCAAAATCGTAGATCCGTATCAACTTTTGAGCGATTTCCGATAAACAAAAGTGGAACTTTTTCTACTTTGAATTTTTTCAAAAGCCTGTAACTTAAGTACTATTTCAGATAGACACATGAAATTTCACATGTAAGTAAAAGATCTAATTCTCTGCCTTCTGTCAATTTCCGTTGACCGAAACGTAGTAATTTTTGCTATTTCTGATTTCTAAAAAACGCATCTGAATTTTAAAAGTACGAATAATATTCCGTACTATTATGCACATTTTAATTTTATTCTATTTTTAAAACTTTAAGTATTTAAAATGGATTAAAAGTTGCCATTCCCTGTTGTTTCATATAAGAATATTCGAGAACGTTTAGGGGAGATCTCTACCGGTTTATTTTATTTACGAAGTAAATTACTAGTTGTACATTATGTGTGTTATAATTCAACTATATTTGAGTTGTACAATACTAAGATAAACGGATGATAGGGGCCAGCTAAAATTATTTAGAAAACTCAGAGTGAGAGGAACATATTTTTTTATGTACTAGAAACAAATATAACTATAACTGCCAATTTGAATAATTTTAATTTAACAATTATTTTGGAATGTATCTTCTTCTTTTATTCTTCGTTCTTAATTGTTAATGTTTGAAGGGATCCCCTAACGAGCCTCATCTGCCTGAGGGTTCGAACTTGAGACTTTTCGGTTTAGCAACCATGAGTTTACCGACTCGACCACGCCGACCCCCTTTGGAATTTATCACTTTAAGGAATCTAGAACTTGTTGTTTGTCTGATGCCCGAACCTGAGATATTAACACTCTTCGGTTATTAATTGGTCTTTCATCGGCAGGGCGTGTAAAAATAGGGCAAAGGTTTGAACTAGTGTACATAAGACATTTTAGTTTCTATTAAAATTCTAGCACAAGTCGCAATTAACTCTTAAAGAAACCAAAACCTAATGCTCAGCCCTGCCGTTATACAGTCTTTGTACTTTACCTTAACCACTAGTTAACAAAAACCAAAGCAAGAAATCCAAAACGTGTCTATGGGGCAAGTGAAGTAGAGTTCACTTGTTTCTGTGACCTCGGCATATGGAGAAATAGTGTGGTCAGCACTATGCCCAGCCTCCTTTACTTTCGCTAACCTGATTTAGGTACCCATCAGAGTTGGGTGGACTCAGGACAGTCTACTAACTTGAACCCGGATTCGAACTAGAGACTTACGGGTTGGCAGTCAAGCTCTCTATCGCTAGACCACTCCGTCCCACTGTCTGACATTAACCCAGCTCTAAATCTAGCATATCAATGAATTAACATACAAAATATAGTTTGAACGCTAAAAATAATTCCTCCACTAAACTGTATGTTTGATGAACCATTGGCTAAAATACCGCACTTGAACAGTCCTTTAGCGGGGTCTGCTAGTGTAACATATGTAAAATGTAGACCTCCTAGTAAGAATCAGAAAAAAATCATATAAATCCTTCTTAGCTTCTACATTTACTCCTACATGTGTCTCAATGTTTTGTGATTTCTTGGGATTTATGACTTTAAACAAAGCTTATAACACATGATGTTTTGATATTGTTTCAAAAAGAGATTAGAATAAATGTTAAAACAATTAAAATTATAAGCGTATATGTAAAAGGAAGTGCATAAACAGATCAATTTCAACAAATGTCTTTGGTGATATCTTGAATACCCGCGATTTTTATCAATGAACTGACGGTCATCTAGTTCAATCAGAGAACCATTAACATCATACCAGTTATAACCAATCTCTTCACCAACAGCTTCTCCTTTGTTAACCCATACAAGCATGATGTAGGAATATTCATCAGCCACTATATAGCTGGTAGCGTTTGGTTTGAACTCATTTACCCCTGGTAAATGTAAATTTTAAAAAATAAGACAAAATCAAAACCTAATACAAAATCAGGATTCTACCAAATTAATAAACAAAAGAGTATCCAACTTTAAAGTTGTCTGCCCATCCGTTTGGTCCGTCCGGTCCATCCACCCGTCCGTCAGTCCGTCCGCACGTCCGTTCGTCTGTCTGTCCGTCTGTCTCTCTGTCCTTAATTTATTACTATCCATTTTATTACACTGCCATTAAACTTTAATATATTGTTTAGAATAAACATGGGAATGTTTCTGCGCATGAAATATTTAAACTTCAGTGGGGCTGCGCCAAGGCAAGCACTATGGCGCTTTAGTTCGTTGTTAAGAATATGACACACTATCGAAACGGCGGACTACCATAGATGTTCGCTTAATTGAATCTAGCGCCTCCGCAGGCGCCCATGTGTGGTGAAGAAATGTGTATGAACGGTGTATACGTGTCACGGATCACAGCGTGTGTGTATGTATCCTGTAGCGATACACAAGGCCGGTTGTGTTGGCGTGTATGTTGTTGTATGGATTGAACGAGGGTAAAAATGGAAGCGACTGGTCGAGTAACAGCGGGTGTGTTGTGAGCGCGAGAAAGAAGGTGTGTAGGAATGAATGCGAGGATGTGTTACTGTCAGTAGACAAGCATTTGTAAAGTTATTTTCTGGAAAGAAAACGTACCATGTTAAAAGAGGTAACAGAACAAAGTCTAAAATACATTATAGCCCACCCAGAGAGACCCACATATAATGAAGAACCAAAGTACGGATCGGCTTTCCTCGCGAAGACGACAAGTGGAACAAAAGTGCACGCAGGAGTAGAGACGGGAAAAGACGAATCCGACAGTCGAGTTTCAAACAGAAGGTAATATGAAGCACAAAACAATGGAGCTAGTTACACTGTGATGTGTTTCCACTGCCACCAACAGGGCCACGTAATGAGGAACTGTACCAACAGAGATTATGTTGTGGGCTACCAACCCAGTGGGAGGTGTTTCCACCTCAATGAGGAAGTGTTCCTATAGAGATTTGAGTTTCGGTATGAGCAACCAACACAGTGGTCCTTACCATCGCCCAGTGTATACAAACACACACGGGACTGACGAATACCTCGTCCAACGAAACAGATCACGACATAAGAGAACTAACAGCAACATTGGCAGTATTCCATAAGGCAATGAGACAAGGAGAGAGTAGAAGAAGCACCGTTACTGCATATCGCACCGAAATACCAACACTAATGGTGAATGTGGCAGCTATTACGGTAGAGGCGGTTAGAGACACTGGTTGCTCTACTTTTGAAGTAAAATGTAACTACGTCGAACAGCACCAATACACAGGTGAATATAAAATGGTAGAGGTGTTTGGTGGCACGGTCGTACGCTTACCGATAGTATTGATACACATTAAATCACCGTATGTCACGGCACAAGTCCTGTTATAAATGGTTTAAGACTAATGTTTCAGATTGTATCACATAAATTTAAAATAAACCGGGAGTAATCTCCCGTAAATTTTCTCGAATATACTGATATAAAACAACGGCTACTCGGGATATATATATATATATATATATATATATATATATATATATATATATATATATATATATATATATATATATATATATATGTGTATATATATATATATATATATATATATATATATATATATATATATATATATATATATATATATATATATATATATATATATATACATACATATATATACATATATATATATATATATATATATATATATATATATATATATATATATATATATATATATATATACGATTACAGTATACGATTACAGTACTTCCTCTATACTTCGTATACGAGAAAGTAAAATAGAGGGATAATAATAGCTGCAGTAAAAACTAAATTAAATAGATATATTTTAAAAATATGGAAACATTTGCCAAGCATTAATAAGGGCGTAACATTTCAAATTATCACTCACCATCTAGGTCTGGTTTGTCCCTAAGAACAACATTCATTTCTACCACAATGTAGTCAAAGTTATGCGTCACATTGATGATGTAGGTTCCCCTCACAGATTCGTACTGATCAATGTTTAGATTGCTTGTGTTGATGTAGGCCTCTCTCGTTGTTGAATTGTAGACGACAAATGGCGGAACATTGGGGAAATCTGTGTTGTTGTGTTTCCATCTGATCAGTGGAATAATTGTAATCAACATGGGCGAAGCGAGGGGGGCGGGGGGTGCGGACCGCACCGGGTGACACCATTTAGGGGGTGACACCAAGGCAAAAAATAGCAAAATATATAGAGAAAGACTTGAGGGGGGGGGGTGCAAATCGAAAGTTTGAGGGGGTCCCCGGGAAGGGTCGCAACGCCTCTGGGGGAGTGACACCATTAAGTGCCGCACCTGGTGACACCCGACCTCGCTACGCCACTGGTAATCAATAGTAGCTCGGATTAGTGTAATTTTAAAGTGTAAACTTTAAAAAATTAAAATAAATAAAAGTAGTATTGCATTATATTATTAAATATTCAACTCACTTAATTTAGTAAATATTCCTCAAACCAATTCAAAAACAGAACTACAAATATTACACATAATAACGCAAACAATATATATATATATATATATAATTCTCTTCTGGGAGACCCTGGAAAACAAGCTGTAAGCGCGCTCCCTACTTCCCCCATCCCTACATGGTCTGGTGAGCTGTGGTTCACGCTAAATGTTTACATTCGTGGAGCTGGGTTTAGTGACGGCTATTAGGGGCAGATAATTTAGTTTGAAATGATTTTAAACTTATGGGAGGTAGCTAAGAGGAGGCTGCTTTCACGGGGGGGGGGGAGGGTGTAGGGTAGGGGTTGGGGGAAAGGAGGGTGGGGGTAGTATCGTCCTTAACGACCTACTGATAGTGTTTGAAATCAAATATTTTCAGTGGCAGCATTGGTACTTTCAAATTCACAAATTATGAATTACTGAAAAGTAGAAAATAAAACAACTAAATAGCGGCGTATGATATGCCGCTTGTCGGCTCGTTAAACTAATTTTCCTTAAAACATACACCATTAAAAGGCCTAAAAAATGCCCTGGACGAATAGGTTGACAAGCAATACAACAAATACCTGTATGTAAGATTTTGAGATGGATCAGTAATAGCAGTCACAGTGAGGTCTATTGTATCTCCGAAATAAATGTTCTGTGTGGATGGTGGCTGGCGTAAAATTAAAATGGGCACTGTCAGGACAGAAAAGAAATATATTGGTACAAATGCTATGGATCACTGACATTCTAGAACTGACGCGCTTCGAATATAATGTATATGTATATTCATATTGTCACCGACGTGACTTTTTATCCAAACAACGGAATCAAATGTATAAGGACAGAAAAAGCGTGATTAGTTATGCGCCGAGATTTTAGCGCTAGAAATAATAGCTGGACTGTTCAAAAGATGATATCCCGATAATCATACACCAGATTTCTTCAGTACATCAGGCTTTATGTTGAAGCAGCCCCGCTTTTGATATATGTAAAAAAAACTAAGAATTTTCGAGTTTGACATTATATATATATATATATATATATATATATATATATATATATATATATATATATATATATATATAAAGTAAGAAAAGTTAGGATAGAATTCTAGAAAGATAGATGAAATTTAAAGATAATCTTACAAAGCACATTGAGGCATCCATCGGCCCATGTAGTACCAACTGGGTTAGAAACAGAACACTGAATGCACATGATGTCTGTAGCTTTCTTTAAAGATCTTATGGTTAACTTTTTGTTCCCTTCACTAAATACAAATTTTGTCTTGTCTGAAATATAGATATAACAAATTGGCAAAAGTATAATAGTAGCAAAATGTTTAAATAAATAATCAAATGGCAAATTCACAGCAGTAAAGTTTAACTTGCTTTACATTTAATCTCAGTTTAATGCCGGTAAATTGTTGCGAGTGTGTATACATTTAAAGACGAAGTTAATATGTTGTTAGAAGAGTTACGACAATAGAAAGCAGCTCACGCATATCATTATTAATTTATTGTTGACTCTAACAATATGATATATGACAACCAAGAAAATACAACTGATGATGTGATGTACACAATAGCTACATATCTGCACAACCAGCCCACCTGTTTGTGAACTAACTTGCTGTCCATTAATGTACCACACAGGTGGATCAGGCTCTGTTTCTCCACGTGCTGACCTGGCATTACAGTTAAACACGGCATCTTTACCTTCTGACATAGTTTGGTCCACTGGTGCTCCGTTTGGGTAAAAGATTGGGGAGGCTGTCCAAGATTTTAAAGTGCAATTTAGAAAATTCTTTTAACATTTTTCGTTCGTTTTGCTTTGAATGTAGTTATTAAACTCAACATTTCCAAAACAATATAAAAATTAGTTTAACCTATCTGTGTAAATAGAATGCTACTAACAAGTAATATCAAGAAACACAGCCTCTTTGTTAGATGTTCCTCTGGTATTTTGTGCTTGGCAGTAATAATTCTTCTCATCTGGTTCATCTGCGTTATAAATGATAAGACGGCGTTGATCTGCTGAAAATGAATATCTGCCGGTTGCGTTGATCTCGTTGCCGTCATCAAAATACCATTTGGTCACAGGAACATTCGGGTATTGGGGGTCACTGGCAATATATAGCATAAGTTATTTTTAACCTGGTTTGAAGAATTAATATCTAGTAGCTAATAGGATCGAAATAATAGAATACTTAGAACAAAACAAGTAAACTAAAAAAACTCACTAACATTTCAGTAATTAAAAGAAAACATGTTTATCAAATAATGTTCATCTGACATCGATAGGAAAATGTTGTATAGTAATGAGAAAATGTAATGTACACATACTATCCTGAGAAAAAACATTCCAGTGTAGCTGTCGAAAATCTAATAAACTTGGTGCGAGAGTTTGTGTACTGCATTTGTGGAGCAATGGCAGTTGGTGCTGGAAGTAAATAATATACGTTACTTTATCTCTCTTTAATTTTGATATAAAAAATGTATTTCTCCATGAGTTTGTTAAAATGAATTCATAATATCGTCGTGCAAAGATGTTATTAATAATAGACGTTTGTCACTGCGAAGGTAGAACAAATCCTATTAACATTGCAGTGAACATGTGAAGGGGGCGAATGGGGGTGAACGGTGTTTGTACTTTGTACTCTGTCCCGTTCGTCCCTTCTCATTTCTCGTGCTGTGAGTTGTGTCAGTCACGTTATCATAATCCGGTTTGTACCTCTTTGTGAACGTGTATATAAGCGTGCGGCGTCAAAACAGCCAATGACAAAACGACCCCGTCAAAACGACCCCGACAAATCGGCCCCGACATAAGAGCCCCGTCAAGTTGACCCCGTCAAAAGGGCCAGCGACATGTGGACCCCGTCATATAGACTCATTTAGGCTACCGACAAATAGGCTCCCGTTATAAAAACTCCCGAAAAAAGGGCTCCGGTCAATAAGGCTCCCGACAAATAGGCTCCCGTCATTTAGACTCCCGACATATAGGCTCCCGTCATTTAGTTTCTCGATATAATGGCCCCCGTCATTACGACTCCCGGCTAATAGGCTCCCGTCATTTTGGCTCACGACAAATAGGCTGCTGTCAATTTGGCTCCCGACTAAAGGGCCACTGACAATACGGTTTCTGTATAGACAAAGTCTCCCGCCAACACGGTCTCATTGAATATGACACCATCACAGGACCCCTTCATCAATATTCTTTAGAGTTAGCTTATCCAACACGCATCTCTTGTTCGGCAGGCCTTATTTTTATAATAGTTTATCTATTATAAGAAATAGTATCTATGACTTCCATAAATGAGTCGGTTATAGGCTGTTCCAACTCAGTGTGTGGAGAGAGGGTTCCACTCTGTACATTCCTACCTGCAGTATGCTTGTAGGTTATCAAAACAAAATGCCGTTATCCTGTAAACATCATGTATATCATATATTTACACTTCTGTGCTCTCTTTTAAGCAACAGATCTTTACTGTTGTAAATTAAACATTATCGAAACTTTAGAATTGGTGGAATTTAGCTGTTGAGGGCTCGATTTGTTTGTGAATTGATGTTGGTTTATGAAAAACAATTTCATTCAGGCATTTAAAAGAGGTTATAGTGGTATTGGAGGTAGTACAACATGGTTACTTTTATGCCAATAGTATTTTAGTATTCAAAAGTTGCAAACTTTGCATAATAATTACCAAATACTTTTTATTTATGAAAGTCATCACAATTACCTCGTGACAAAAGTTGCTATAAGATTTGGGTTTGTCTGCCTGTCCTGGGGTCCGTAGGTTGGGTGTCCTGCAAAACGGGTCAGGGTTACTACTTGATTCAATGGTCGAGGTACACAGGCTTATAAGCCAGCGCCTCAGTGGCCGTGTTATCTGGTGAGCCTCGCGGTCCCCCTTGAGCTTTACGGCGCCTATATTCGTTTTAACGAGCGCCATACAATAGAAATACGGAGGGCTACACAATCGATTACTAAATCGAATAAGGGGCGTCCTCGGTAGTTGTAACGTTTGGACCTCGGAAGTTACCCTGTAGCTACCTGAGTTCAAGTGATAAGTTGATTGGATTTCCTGCAGAGTAAGGGGTACTACTTGATTCGATGGTCAAAATGAAACAGGGGTGGCTTCCGACGCCCCAGGAGTACGGATGACACCAAGCACTACACCACCCTACACTAGGGACACGGTGGACTTCTAATACGAACCAGGGATTGCATTCGGCTACCTATGGTAATCTATTTACGGATTGTTGATAACGTACACTCAAGGTTTTCATGCACCACGCCCTGGGGCGTCTGAGCGGTAGTGTGGACAAACCCTCGCCCAGCATAAAAAATCCGAAAAAATATAGCACCGATTTCGTTTACATTTTTAGCACCGGTGACGTTTAAATTTTAACTATCTCAGTTAAAATTAAATAAGGTCACACTTCTAAAAATGCACAATAGATAACGCGGTGATGAAACTCTGATATGTACGACTAGGTCGCAGAAATGTGGAATTGTACGGTAGTTCCCTATAAAAATTATTTAGCATTATATAGTGATAGAGGAAATTTTGATGTCTATGATGGGGTTTTTAAATCTGATTATTTGCTTATTGTGATGATGTTATGAAACAAACTGTTGATTTGCCTTTTTGGTCAATAACTTGGTCAGCCAACATAGATCTTAAGAAACTCATTAATCATTTTGTAAAATTAAAAGCCTAAAAAATTTAAATAAATCATAAGCAACTTTTAAAAATTGTGTTTGGTTAGTAGTCACAAGGCCGGCTGTCCTCCTGGGCGTTTACTGAAGACGTCAGTCACCCCACCTCCTTCCCTCCTCACACAATGTTGCATTTTCTATGGGGTGTCATCACTCACTTCCTAATATTTTATCATTTAAACTGGATAAAACATAGTTTTGACAGTTTCATTCTACGATTTTTCGTCCTTATTTAAAACTCCCCCATCGTAAGAAGCAATCAATTTCTTCGATGCCCATGTTTAACTCTGTTTTAGCCTTACGGCTGACGAAGGCGACCACTAATAATTTTTTGCATAGGGGGCCCAAAATGGTAGTTACGCCACTACAAGGGAGATAAATTCCTGGGCTTAATTATTGCTTGGTGGGTAATGTCCTTGACCCCAACCTATCATATTACTGAAAAAAAACTTACAAGCTATTGTATTGATAGAAAGTACAACCACTCCACCAAGCTGAACGTATGACAAACCAGTGGCAGAAATTCCACACCTGTACTTTCTTACATTGCCGTCTGCTGTTGTGACGTACGCATAATGCAGGTTCCCTAGCGATCAGAGAAAAAAAACAATGGGCCAAGTAAATATTTTAACATAATCCAACTTGTATTCCCTAACAATAGTGTAGCAGGGCTATAGCACAGTAACATGGTTTCTTACATGTCTCACAAAGCACAATTTTAGAACTGTCCCGGTAAAACATACACACTACAAATGATGTTCTAATCTTATTTATATCCGAGAATATATATTTATCTCAGACAGAAATCATATTAACATGTTTTTTAAAAATTATTTAAAACACTTTGAGTAATTTTAAATTTATTTTTGTCTATTGCTTTTCCTCTTCGATTACTTTTTTCTTTTAAAAATATCACTCAAAAATATAACCCAAACTATTATGTCTATTGTTATGTTATTCCTGTGAAAAAATAAATCCATTATAAAAACAAACTTTATCATTTGTTAACATAATACTAACCGTTTTGATCAATAAACTGACGGTCATCTATTTTAATTTGAGTGCCATTGACATCATACCAGTCGTAACGAATTTCTTCACCAACAGCTTCTCCTTTGTTAGCACAATTTAGCTTGATGTAGGAGTACTCATCCGCTACTACAGAGATGGTGGCGTTTGTTCTGAACTCATCTATCCCTGGTGAATGTAAATAACGAAAAGTTATAACATCCAATACCTATTCAAAAATCAGTTTCCTTTACCAAATCATGAAAATATGAGAGTATCTAACTATTGTTATGACTACACTTACGAGATTGCTTTAATGTGTATGTTGGAGCAAAACTTTTGACTATTGTTGAGTCAAACATTGACCTTGCCACACACGTAAAAACACCTTCTTCTCTGGTTGTAAAATCAGTGAAGGTTATGTCCCCTTTCACTGAATCAAATGTGATCTGAGGACTTGCTATAAGAGGTATCCCGCCTCTCAACCACTCATAGCTAAATAAGAAAAAATGATTTATAATATAGGACTACATGGAAGTAAATTAACGTTATATGTGCTATGTTGAATACCAATAAAATATGTTTTTAAATTATCTTATGACATGTAAGCATATGTATTGAACTATTGGTCTTTCCATTTAACACATACACAGCACTTATATGTCTAATACATATAAGAATAAAAATGTTCATGTAGACAGTGCCATAATGAGGGAATACTAGGCGTGGTTATTTAGCGGGAAAGGAGTGCTATGGGGGGGGGGGGGGGGGTTAGTGTGATGTTTCTTGACCTATACTTTAATATCTATAAATTAAAGTTCATTAAAAAAAATTATCAATCACACACACACACACCCATATATATATATATATATATATATATATATATATATATATATATATATATATATATATATATATATATATATAATATGTTGATATACATTTAACACCCTTCTCTAAACAGATTAAACTGTACACCACTGCATGAGCTAACGTACAAGATTTGGTTTTGGCACTAAGTACAACTACTCTATCAAGCTACATGTATACAAACAACTGAAGTTTTATGCTTGTCGCATAAATCATGTGCACGTTGCCTTAGATTGTCATGACCTTTAAGTCAAATAAAACATGAAAATACCTGGGCTCTGGTATTCCCTTGGCTTGACATGGTAAACTAAAACCATCTTTATAATTCTTATATACGACTTTTGGGGCGTCAGGAATTATCACATTGGGTGGCAAGCGAACTGTAGAGTTGAAGTGAAATATATAAGAATGTATGAAATATAATTTTATTAAATGTTTTCTTTACTTTCTTGGTGTCTGTAGACACTTTCTGAAGCTTAAAGTAGGAAGCAGATTTTTATCAGATTTCTCGTTTTTTGATGATCCCTACAAGTTAGGGACATGACGTTCCGTCTGTATGTGCTTCGCAAACAAATTTTCTTTTAGGGGTTTGATTGTGGCCTTGTGGTTATGATAATTATATTTTTGATAATCCTAACGGTTCATTATTCATCCAAACAATCAATTAATTTTCCCTTCGCCCCTCATTCTTGTTTTTAATAGGCTATGGCTTGTGTTGATTTTCGCTAAGTAGATTCTCATATGGACTAATCGCGTTACTTATTCTTCTACTTCTACGGCTCTCTTCGTTGTCTTATATTGGCTGGATGTATTTAGGTGCTGCATTTTTTTTCTTGAATATTTACTAAATAGTACGTTTTGCAAAATGGAACAAGGTGAGTATGAAGTTTTGTAGAAGAGGTCTAGGGGTCATACATTAATAGCGTCTACATAATGAAATTATTATTCGACACAGGTTGATTTTTATATAATCTCCAATTCCTTGTGGGCAACATTAATGTGTGGCGTGTTGTTGTGTGAAGCTGTTGGGCAGGTGAGGTTTAGCTAACTTTGATTTGTGGACGTGTGTTGATGTCATGTTGCACAGGCCTGGGTTTGAGGCTTTTTAATTTTGTCGAGTGGAAATTATATTTCTCAAAACTATTTTACAGTCACTTGTAATTGACTGTCTTAATTAAACCGCATTTTAAAAAATATGAAAATTGTTTATAGAAAATGTAACTTTTTAAAAATCATACCATCTGATTGAGAATAAACAGAAGTGAAAACAGCCATTGCTACAAAGTACAGTTTTCCGGACATTGTGTTAACTAAGCCAGTAGATCCAAATGCTTTTAAGACTTCACCTGAAACAAAGAACATTGCTAAATGTACAGAAAATTAGGCTAAAGATGAGGGAAAACTGTCAAAATTTCATTTAATTTTTGTGCATGATTACAATACTATACTATGTATAGCAGAAAGTAATAACAAAAGTACATTTTGTGAGTATGCAGACGTTCTTGTGTAAATAAAAATTATTTGGAAGCACATAGATATCAAACAGTTGAAGTTGAAATCAAGGGTGGGATATGGGCCATTACATGGTGGCACGCCATATGAAATTACCTGGTAATAAAAACATGGGCCACTATTCCGTGTTTGATCTCTCTAAACAACAGGGACGAAGAAGATTACAGTCATTGAAATATACATTATTAAATGGATAGAAAACACTAGAAATATTATACTGTTTTTTTTTTTTAAATGTTTTCATAGCATACATTTGTATACCCATTATTAAATAGGTAATATGTTTGTTAATATTCTTATAAGCTGAATTTTTTTTTAATGAAACATCGTCCTCTTCTGTTCTGATGACATAAGTTAGCTCATTTGACCTATTTTATTTGCGTGGCCTTAGATACAACAGGTAAACACATCTATTTTTAACAACCAGGTAAAAGTTATTTACCTGTCAGATACAGATAAAGAAAAACCAAAATAAATTGTTTCGCTTCTTTTCTAAAAACCATATACGACAACCATTTCCTAACTTTGAGAAATTTCGTTAACACGCGACATAGTTTACAAATATTGTAATTAACTTTCTTTTCTTTTTTCCTCTAATTACTAGAAACTTTCAAAATAGAATGTAGTTAACTAAGACTAACAAAATAGAATGTAGTTAACTAAAACTAACAAAATAGAATGTAGTTAACTAAGAATAACAAAATATGATGTAGTTAACTAAGACTAACAAAATAGAATGTAGTTAACTAAAACTAACAAAATAGAATGTAGTTAACTAAGAATAACAAAATAGAATTATCGTCTCTATCCGCCTTTTCGGTTCAAAGTGTATTTCACGAGTCACTGGATGTAGACGCTTATGACCTCTTTAGTGTTATATAAAGGTAACATAAAATATCTAGAGCCTACATTTGTAGCGGTGAATGTGTCTATTTTATAAGTGTACCTATTTCATTGTTGTGCATGAAAACAACTCACAAACTAGTTTTGAAGTACAAGTAGTAGAAATAATAATCGCTAAAAGAAATATATTACATAATTAATAAACCGAAATTGTCAATGAATCGACGTATATCTTACCAATAAAGATATAAGTACACTTTTGGGCAAAAAAAATGGCCTACCGTCACAGATACAAATTGTAGCGTTGTTTAAAAACCTAGATCACACACTTCATCATGTCCCACTCTCCAAGCTGAAAGACTGGGTCTAATGTTAGAACGCCAGCTACATTGAAAACCCTGGCTACGGTTGGGTGATCGTGTATGGGTAGGTTTTTAACGTCTTATGTTGCTCGAGTGGAGAGAAGGGCTGTTACCAAAATATCTTACGTTACACGGTATGACATACAGTTATGTTTCACCTTAAATCTTAACAATATTGATTTTATATCGAAATAAAGCTCGTCAGGGCGCCTCTAGGTCGGGTGTCAACTCATTGTGTCAGCTCCCTCCCCGCCTTTTTTAAATTAGAAAATTATGTAGTTGGTGTGTCCCCCTTAAAGCTTGATTTAAATTGTTTACATTTAATACTAATGATGTTTTTTTTTTTTATTTTCTGTTGTTAAAACAGCTGGGTGTAGCATTGTTTTCTCTATAGTTTGCATGTTTACGTTATGGTATCACCCCCACCCCCTTGTCGGGATCGTCATTATGTACTTAAAATACTTTTAAACTATTAGACAGTCATTGAACTGACAAAAACATATTTATTCTATATATCTTCCAATTTTTGTCTTGGTGTCACCTGACGAAACCACCTCGCGACGACTTTGAAACACACTATCACAACTTAGGTGTTAGGTGATCTTAAAATTTGGTATTCTTGTCTCTAGGGTTACACTTGTAGATTGTAGTTGTACTCTGTATTCTTGTAGTCGGATTAGAATTTATTTTTACTTTTTATACTCTGTCTTTTGAGCATAAGTTTGGGGGTCGGCGTGGGCGGGTCTGTATAGCTGACTCATATAACTGCTGCCTTTTAGTTTACGCTTGGATTGACAAAGGCTGCGGAAGCAAACCCAGAAAGAAAATGAGATTGAAGACGAAGCCAATGGGCCATATGGCGCATAACAGCTTGACGTCAAACAAGTAACTGTGTTGGAGGAAATCCCGTCCAACGCTACAATTAAGAACGAAGATGTAAACTTATCAGTGATTATCTAAAGTACAAGGTCAGGTGGTCGATCACATCGATGACAGGTCAGATATTAGTAATTATAACGTACTCTCACCCATGCTATCAAAGTGATGATTTTGTAAACTCATATTTAACCAGTTTCTTGGTCTGATGGAAGTCTGCTACGTGCACATGCAGCTGCAATAGATATACAATTCAGAGTCATTAAATTAAACCATCCTCGATGATTATTTTAATCCCCAATTTTAATAAAATTCTTATTAAAAGGCAGGTTGTTAGTTGACCAATTTCGAAAACAAAATGCAAACATTCTTTATGCATTGGGTATATTTCTGTCGTCCTTAATCAGTTGTAATAGAAATATAGATAGAATATTATTATTATCCTCTATTATTTTAACATTGGATGCAGATCACTGTTCACATATTCTGTACCAGACACAAGAAAACACGAATACTTCGACAGTAAAAACCTACACTCTGATAGCGAGCTGTGAGTGCAGCGACACAAATGAGTGTGTAGCACAAATTAGTTCAAGTAATGGTACCACATCTCTGGTGATGATACTTGACGTCAGGTCAATAGAAATCCAATCTATCGTCGTCAATGTCAATTGTAAGTTTTTATTTAAGTTTATTGAAACAGTTATATAGCAAACTCTCACAAATATTGTGTAAAAGATCCGTATATGTTCATAAGATAATGATACTTTCTCAAATTAACTAAACTAAAGTATTTTTGTTTTTAAATGGTCTAATGTTTGTGAGAACTTATATTTTGTGCAAGATAAGAAAATCATCTGTTTTAAAATCTTTACAGCATTTATTGCTTTGGAATGAGTAAATAAACTATTTTGAAAGTACATCATTTAATGCATAGCCTCATTTGTAGGTCCAGGAAGTCGCCCTAATGTTGCTGTGTACCAGAGGCGTAGCAACCTTCCCGGCGCCCGGGTACAAACTTTAGATTTGGCACCCCCTCGGGAACAACCTTTCAATTTGCAATTTGCACCCCCCCCCCCTCAAACTTTCAATTAGTTTTTCCAACCTATTTTGGCGCCCCCCAAGTTCGGCGCCCGGGGACATATGTACCCCCGCCCCCCCCCCCCCCCCCCCCCACTGCTGTGTACAATAATGTAACTGATAGACAGAGAGTACAGCTTCACCCTTTGTACACATCTGTCGACATCCAATAGTAACAGGCAGTTTTAACAAACGTTCCTTTAAAATGTCACAATACAATTCAGGCCAAAAATAGACACAACGAATCGTTTACAATCCAGTACAACATATTCGGCTAGTCACGTAACCGGTTCATTCAACACACCAATTGTTCTTAGCATACACAGGCGGTGTTCCTGTAAACTGGAATGTCTTATTGGTGACGTCTCTGATCCTGTGTTAGCCAGTCCTGGTATGGTGTACAGCCTGAGTCAACCATCTGGTGACCTCGTCAGTCTAATGGACTCTTTCTAATTAAAATACTTGTACTCTCATTAGAACACTTAATGTGTATTTAGTACTAACACTAAGTACAACGTTTTCTTCTATCATCTTATAACAACTCTAACACTAGATGACAAATCTAAACTGGTGTGGGTTTTGTTAACACAGTAATAGGTTCTCAAACCCTTTTGTCTAGAGCACTATTGTTACTTTTCCTCACATCAGTACATGTCTAGTATTTAATAATGTAAAGTTTTATTTTGTTCTTTTAAAAATGTTTGAATCGAATATTCGTAGAACTAATTTTAAAATACAAACTTACCCATTGTGTGTCTACAACTATCGTAAGGGATATGATACGTCCACATTAGATAAAAAATAAAAGAGAATCAATTTTACGTAAAGTTTGTACCAAAAAATTTAAACCACTCCAAAAGCCCTCCCAAAAAAACAACTAAAAAACATACACCAAATAAACACAGTAAGCAAGCAAATCATCAAACAAACGCATCAAATGTAGGAACCAAAATAACCAACTAACACCCAGCCAAGTTAAACCCGTAAACTGAATAAAGGGTGAAAAAGATGAAAAAAGAAAATATGAATAAAATGCGAAAGATACATAAATTTATACACGTGGTTTAGAAAATGTTTACATACTAATATGAGCTTCTAATGATACCTGCGTTCTAAGGACTCGAGTAAAATTCTAACTACTATCAATACTACTTCTAGAATCTAAAACTCTAAAATCGGTTGTTATCATTAAAGTAATCGCAGTCTTACCAAGATAAGCAAAGGGTTAAATATATTCACCAGTAGCAAACATAGCAAAAAACATTTGCTAAACAATAAAAAATAACTTGTACAAAACTACGGTAGAGATAACGTATCCTTCACAGCCCGCAGCCATTTGCGTACACAATCAACACACTCAAACTTATGAGATGAATAAACAAACTACATTCCTCATATGAACGGAAAATTTTCCAATCAATATTTAGGTAGAAAGAATTTAAAACCTTCGGCCGGTCACTTTGAAACCCCGTTGACAGGAAGGAAAAATCAATACCAAAAACATGAACTACTATCATGCTGAACATTCGCAAAATAAAAACAAAACAAATAATCTTTTGACCCGCTCAGAAGTAATTATCGTCATCTGTAGGCCAGACAAGGATGTATGAAAAGTGCCTAATGTGGTGTCATTTGACTTACTCCTGTCCTCAGCACTATACAAAAGGAAGAATAATATTGGTGGTCACGTACTGCTTTCTGATGGTCATCACAGTTTCATACCATGTGCGTATTCAAATTGATTTTAGTTGCTAAGCGTTTGCTTTATTAATATATCCACTTTTTACCAGGCACCATGATGTAGAGTACAAGTAATTTAGTAAAATTGCGTAATTCTTTACTTGACGTACAAATATAGACTTTATGAAGTAATAACTTAAGACTTAATTATAAAAATATTTTAATTGACTTATAAAAATCAAATGTAAATAATGTTTCAAAATATAATGGTATTTTCAAAGCTGTTGTAGTCATACTACGCTACATTGTGAATAATGCTAGTGTAAATTACAATAACATAAAACTTTCTCTATCACTATGATTAATGTAAAATACAGCACAGATATGTAATCCCCAAATCTGGTTGTAGGTCACCGACTCTCAGGCTGTAGACCAAATCTGGATACTTCCCACAAGTGCCAGACAGAGCAGGATTAGAACTGTTCCTGTACCAACACCTGCGGCAACATTTTCTCCGGGTCCTGTGTTAAAGCAGAAAACAATCTGTTACTATACTAGGTAATTTGTCGTTCTGCATCAGGATAGGTAGGTAACATAAACGTATACTTCGCAATATTTGATCTCCAAAGTGCGAAATGCATGTGTTTCAATTAAAATAGTTAGAAGAAAAAAAGCTCATATTTCTAATAAATACAGAATGTTAATGGAATAATAAAGTAAATATTTTTAAAAAATTAAATGGTGTTATTTCATCCAGAACGATTGATGATAAATGAAAACATTTCTTTATTTTGTTTTTATACCTGTGCATTTGAAAGCTTGTAACAGTTAAAGTTATTTATAATTTATTTTAATAATTATGAATTTAGCGAATACGTCGCTGGATTCGACAAAAATGCATGGACGCCTAATGTAAACAAAAATATTAAATCAAGTCAAAACAAATAGTACAAATAAAACATAAGACACCGGAAAAAGCATACTCAGATAACGATTTTAGGCGGTAAATTTTTCTCTATTATGACTAATTATACGTCAGACATTAAAAAGATATGTAGGCCCAGTGGCGTAGCTAGGATCGTCTCAAGGGGAGGTTCCAATCTTTACCCGGGGACAAACTTTCGATTTGCATCCCCCCCCTCAAGCTTTCGATTTGCACCCCCCCCCCCTCAAACTTTTGATTTGAACCCTCCCTCAAACTTTCGATTTGCACCCCACATCATACTTTATATATATATATATATATATATATATATATATATATATATATATATATATATATATATATATATATATATATATATATATATATATATATATATATATATATCTATATATATATATACGAAACGAAACGAAACGTATCACTCACCACTTTCATCTGGTTTTTCCTTGAGTACAACATTCACTTCTACCACACTGTAATCAAAGTTATGCGTCACATTGATGATGTAGGTCCCCCTTACAGATTCGTACTGCTCAATGTTTAGATTGTTTGTGTTGATGTAGGCCTCTCTCGTTGTTGGATTGTAGATAACAAATGGTGGAGGGTTGAGGGACTCCACGTTGTTGTGCTTCCACCTGATCAGTGGAATAATTGTAATCAATGATAGACCTGACACGACTTATCTTTTAGGTGTGAACTTAAAAATTAAAATAAATAAACGTAGAATGGCATTGTTATTGAATATTCAATTAATTTAATCAAGGAAACATCCCTCAAAACAATTCAAAAACAGAATATAATTATTGAACATACTAACTAAAAAATAAACCAAATGATCCTAAAATAACAGACTAACAAATTGCCTAACAACAAAACATACCTGTATGTGAGATTTGAGATGGATCCGTTACAGCAGTCACAGTGAGGTCTATTGTATCCCCATAATAAATGTTCTGTGTGGATGGTGGCTGGTACAAAATTATAATGGGCACTGTCAGGACACAAAATAAATATATTGGTATTTTTGTTATGGACCTTTGACTTTCTAGAACTGACACGATACGAATATATGTAAACTAGCTGCATACACGTGCTCCGACATGGTAAATCTTTTTTAAATGTACCAACTTAGGAACACAACCACAAAAAAACCACACAAAAACACAACACAATCACAACACAACCACAGCACAACCACAACCACAACCACAACACAACCACAACACAACCACAACACAACCACAACACAACCACAACACAACCACAACACAACCACAACACAACCACAACACAACCACAACACAACCACAACACAACCACAACACAACCACAACACAACCACAACACAACCACAACACAACCACAACACAACCACAACACAACCACAACACAACCACAACACAACCACAACACAACCACAACACACCACAACACAACCACAACACAACCACAACACAACACAACACAACCACAACACAACCACAACACAACACAACCACAACACAACACAACCACAACACAACCACAACATTAGAATCACCACCGAACAACACGCTTTTCTAGGCTTCAGCGTCTAAAGAGAGCCTGTCCAGCATAAAAAATTTAAGTCACATAAATAGATCCTACTCCATAAATTACAATAAAACAATGCGATGCAAATAAATGTACGGCAAGTGGTGTTTACTTTTATGGTTCTAAGAAAACACATTAGCAATGTAGTTAGAATCACCACGAAAAGGCGCCCGGAGAGAGCCTTTCCAGCATTCTCTATATTATAATTCTAAAATTCACCATCTGTTTACACCGAAAAACAAAAACAAAAAATAGTGATTTTGAGAGATCATAGATTAATTAGAAAATAATATAAATAATCTCAACATTTTTCTATTTTACTTATGAGCCTTAACATATAGTAATCAATGCGGTAGTAATAAAAAAAAAGTAACTTAAATTATTGAGAGTGAGTTGAATATTAAAAACACGTTTTCACAGGCTTCCGCGCCCAGAGAGAGCTTTTCCAGCATTCTCTATACTATAACTCTAAAATTTCACCATATATTTTAATAACACCGAAAAACAAAAACAAAAAATAGTGATTTTGAGAAATCATAGACTAATTTGAAAATGATATAAATAATCTTAACATTTTTCTATTTTAATTATGAACTTTAACATAAAATAATCAATGCGGTAGTAATAAAAAAAAAATTAACTTAAATTAGTGATGAGTTAAATTTATTTTTAAATTACCTCCCTTGCAAAAATAACAAAAAAAAAGTTGAATTAATTAATTTAAAAAAATAAGTAAAAAAAAATTAGTGCGATGTTTACTTTTATGGTTCCAAAATCTATAGCGATGACGGAAGGAAGGAAGGACTGACACACTACCAGCCCGCTTATATTATAAATGTATCTACGAATTGCACCGAAGTGACCTTATAACCAAACAGGGGAGCATATATCTTGTGAAATTACATATATATATATATATATATATATATATATATATATATATATATATATATATATATATATATACAGAAAGTAAAAGATATAAGGATAGTTGAAACTCAAATAATATCTTACAGAGCACATTTAAGCATCCATCGGCCCATGTAGTACCAACTGGGTTAGAAACAGAACACTGAATGCACATGATGTCTGTAGCTTTCTTTAAAGATTTTATGGTCAACTTTTTGTTCCCTTCCCTAAATACAAATTTCGTCTTGTCTGAAATAAAGAACAAATATATAAATAACTAACAAAATAGCAAATAAATAACAGCAACGTTTAAATATCTTTTCACTTAACCTCAGTTATATTGTAATATAATGCGAGTAAATCTTTGCGAACTTGTTCAAATTCAAAGACCGTTTGTTGAACGCCAGAGAGTAAACGCTGTAGTGTATTGAAAGAGAAACACTGAATTCCCATGACAAATTAATTTGTTGTTCAAGAGTTTACGATGCAAGAATTTAAAGGACAATAGAAAGCAGCTGATGCTATATTTTATAATCTACTGTGTATAATTATTATTTACGAGCCGACCCGCGGCATATCATACGCCGCTATTTAGTTGTTGTTTTTTCTACTTTTCAGTTATTCATAATTTGTGAATTCGTCACTACCAACGCTGCCACTGAAAATATTTCTTTAAAACACTATAAGTAGCTCGTTAAGGACGATACCCCCCCCTCCTACCCCCCCCCCCCGTTAAAGTAAACTCCACTTTGTTACCCCCCCCCCCCCCTTACGTTTAAAATCGTTTCAAACTAAATTATCTGCCCCTAATAGCCGTCACTAAACCCGGCTCTATGATTAATGTAAATATTTAGAGTGAACCACAGCTCACCAGACAATGTAGGGGTGGGGGTGGTAGGGAGCGCGTTTACAGCTTGTTTTCTAGCGTCTCCCAGAAGAGAATTATATATATAGATTGTTGCCAAGTATAAAATCCAAGAAAATACAACACATTCTGTGATGTACACAATAGTTACCTGTTTACACAATAGTTACCTGTCTACACAATAGTTACTTTTCTACACAATAGTTACCTGTCTACACAATAGTTACCTGTTTGTGATCCAACTTGTTGTCCATTAATGTACCACACAGGCGGATCAGGCTCCGTTTCACCACGTGCTGACCTGGCATTACAGTTAAACACGGCATCTTTACCTTCTGACATAGTTTGGTCAACTGGTGCTCCGTTTGGGTAAAAGATTGGTGAGGCTGTCCAAAATTTTTAAGTACAATTTAGAAAATTCTTTTAACATTTTTCGTTCATTTTGCTTTGAATGCAGACTGCTATTTAACTCAACATTTCCAAAGCAATATAAAAATTAGTTTAACCTATATGTGTAAATAGAATGTAACTAACAAGTAATATCAAGAAACACAGCCTCTTTGTTAGATGTTCCTCTCGTATTTTGTGCTTGGCAGTAATAATTTTTCTCATCTGGTTCATCTACATTATAGATGATAAGACGACGATGATCTGATGAAAATGAATATCTGCCGGTTGCTTTGATCTCGTTGCCGTCATCGAAATACCATTTGGTCACAGGAACATTCGGGTATTGGTTGTCACTGGTAATATATAACATAACTTATTTTTAACCTGGTTTGAAGAATTAATATCTAGTAGCTAATATGATCGAAATAATAGAATTCTTAGAACAAAACAAGTAAACTAATAAACTCACTGAAATTTCAGTAATTAATTAAAAGCATGTTTATTAACTAATGCTCATCTGACATAGTTAGGAAAATTTTGTTTAGTATCAAAAATTAAAATGTAATATACACATACTATCCTGAGAAAAAACATTCCAGTGTAGCTGTCGAAAATCTCAAAAACTTGGTGTGTGAGTTTGTGTACTGCACTTGTGGAGCAATGGCAGTTGGCGCTGGAAGTAAGTAATGTATTTCTCACTTTATTTTTCTTTAAGTTTTTCATACACGAAAAATAAAAATAAATCATTTTTTCTCCTATATAATTTATCCAAATTATAGTCGTACAAAGATGTGATCATATATTGTCCACTGCCGGTGGGAAGATAGGTAGAATAAATCTTATTAACATTGCTCTGAACACGTGAAACGGATAAATGGGAGTGACATGTCATTATACTTCAGGTTGTACCTGTTTTTGTACGTGTATATAAGGTGTGTGAGAACGTGTATAATCGACTCAGTCCAGTACGTTACGTTTTCAAGTTCAGTGTAGATTAGGACTGTAATCCTAAAGCTACTGTGCATTAGCTGTGTGTACTAGTTTTTGTTAGTATTTGGAATAGCCTGTAGTTTATGTAAATAATGTAGATAGTATTAATCTCGTTTTAGAGTTAACGAACCTTTGTTTTATTTAGTCGTGTGTTTTGTATATCGTTTCTGTTTGTTCGTCTTATACGTTGTGCGACGAACTTGTTTCCCATAACGGCTTGTCAGTGTGTTCACATATGTAAACCTACTTAATACTTTTAAGAGTTGTTTGTTTTTAATTGGAAGTGAAAATTGTCAATTTACTGGGTAATTGCTGATTCTCAAAATTTAGTGGAATAGAGTATTTTAATTGACGCACATAGGAGTTTTGCTTTGGGTTGTTAAACACTTCCTTAAGATACAGTTTCCTCAACAACAAAAAAAAACGAATCAAATATTAAGCCACTGGTTGACAAAAAAGTAAAAAATGTTTATTTAAATATTTTTAATAGTACTAATTCCTAATCTGCTTCGAACCAAAAAAAAGATGTTAACGGTTAACAAAACATACTAACTGTATACTGCACTTCAAAACTAGAACAACATTTCAATTGACGGGCTTAGACTTTCAGATCATCATCCCGCATCAAATACATCCCTTGACCCCAAACTATCATATTACTGAAAAAAAAAAACTTACATGCAAGAGTTTTGATAGAAAGTATAACCACTGCACTAAGCTGAACATATGACAACCCAGTGGCTGAAATACCACACTTGTACTGTTTTACATAGCCGTCTGCTGTCGTGACGTACGCAAAATGCATGCGTCCTAGCGATCAGAAAAAAAAAATTGGTCAAGTAAATATTTTAACATAATCCAACTGTATTTCATTGTGTTGCAGGGCTATAGCACTGTTACATAGTTTTAAAATGTCTACCAAAGCACAATTTTAGAGCTGTCTGTAAACCCTGCACACAACATATCTTCTAATCTTATTTATATCCAAAAAAATATATTTATATAACTCAGACGGCAAGGATATTAACATAATTTTAAAATTTATATAAAACATTTTAAATAGTTTTAAATTTAATTTTTCACTTGCTTCCATTATTTGTTCTTTTGCACATATCACCCAACATATAAAACAAGTCCTTTTGAACAAACAAACTTTAGCATATGTTTAATTAATACTAACCGTTTTGGTCAATAAACTGACGATCATCTATTTTAATTTTAGATCCACCAAAATCATACCAGTCGTAACTTATTTCTTCACCAACAGCTTCTCCTTTGTTAGCACATTCTAGCTTGATGTAGGAGTACTCATCAGCTACTACAGAGCTGGTGGCGTTTGTTTTGAACTCATCTACCCCTGGTAAATGTAAATAACCGAAAGCGATAACATCCCATACTATTTCAAATATCTGTCTTCTTTAGCAAATCATTAAAATAAAAGTGCACCTAACTGTTGTTACAATAAACTTACGAGACTGCTTTAATGTGTATGTAGGAGCAAAACTTTTGACTATTGTTGAGCCAAACATTGACCTTGCCACACATGTAAAAACACCTTCTTCTCTGGTTGTAAAATCAGTGAAGGTTATGTCCCCTTTTACTGAATCAAATGTGATCTGAGGACTTACTATAAGAGGTATCCCGCCTCTCAACCACTCATAACTGAAGAAGAAAAATTGATTTTTAATATAGGACTACGTTAAAGCTAATTAACGTTATAGTGTGCTAAGTTGAATACCAACAAAACATGCTTTTTATTATCTTATGACATGTATGTATTAACACACGTACTCGACACTTAATTGTGTAACACATATAGGAATACAACTTTTCATGTAGACTTTGCCATCATGACAGGGATATTATTCGTTGTTATTTTTTGGAAAAGGAGTGCGATGGGGGTGGGTAAGAGGAGGGTTAGTATGATGTCTCCTCTTATTCACCCACAATTTAATGTTTATAACTTTAAGATCATTAATTCAAACTTTAATCAAGCACACACACACACACACACACATATATATATATATATATATATATATATATATATATATATATATATATATATATATATATATATTGATGTTATATGTTGATATATATTTAACACCGTAGGCCCAAACAGATTAATCTGTACACCACTGCATGAGCTAACATACAAGACTTATTTTGTTTTGGCACTAAGTACAAATACTCTACTAAGTTCTATGGATAAAAACAGTGAAGTATCATCCTTCTATAATAGATCGTGTACAAGTTGCTGAGGATTGTTATGACCTCCATAAAATATAAAACATATAAATACCTGGGCTCTGGCATTCCCTCTGCTTGACATGGTAAACTAAAATCAGCTTTATTATTTTTATATATAACTTTTGGACTGTCAGGAACTATCACATTGGGTGGCAAGCGCACTGAAAAGTTGAAGTGAAATATATAAGAATGTATGATGTGTAATTTTAATAAACGTCTTCTTTACGGTCTCGCTATCAGTTTTCTAGAGTCTAATACATAAATCATTTTTGTGGACACCCTCTGGAGCTTAGAGATGGAACAAGATCTTACCAAAGTGCTCGGTTTTTACTAGCTTTTTTTTTAACTTGTCGTCAGTCTATCTGTCGTCATAGATCGAAACGGGCGAGCGAAATTTCGGACACTTTTAACTGACAGATTCGTTTCAAAGTTGGCACGTGGGTCAAGACTTGAAGACAATGCAATCTGACATCCAAGTTGGCGAAAGGGTTGAGCGAAATTTCGAGCACCGACCAGCTTCTCTGGAATACGGCACGTGAGTCAAGACCCGATAATGATGCTATTTGACATCAAAATGTGGTCAGACCCATGCTCAGCCAAAATCGGAGTTCACTTGTGACGTCAGCATAAGAAGGGATATTGTGGTCAAACCCACGCTCAGTCAAAATCGGTGTTTTTAAAAGACAAAAACATGTCTGAGGTGTGACGTCTTTTTGAATGTTGGGTCTAGCATTTTATGACAATGTGTGATTGTAGGGAGGGGAGGGGAAAGATAAAAATCGTTAAATAAACGTGACGTCATTATGGATGACCCGCGAAGCCCACAGTTATCCAAAAATAACGGGTAGTCTAGGTAATGCTTTAAAATGTAGAAAATAAATTATTTTCTTTAAATATATAATAATACACTACTATTTAAATAACTTTGACACTGTTTGGTCGAGTGGGAATCACATTTCTTAAAACTATTCTACACTCAGTTGTATTTGACTGTCTTAATTAAACCGATTTTCTTTAAAATATGAATAATGTTTATAGAAAATGCAACTATTTACAATCTTACCATCCGATTGAGAATAAACTGAAGTGAAAACAGCAAATGCTACATAGAGCAGCTTTCCAGACATAGTGTTAACTGAGTCAGTAGATCCAAACGCCTTTAAGACTTCACCTGAAACACAGAACATTGCTAAATCAAAAGAAAATTAGGCTAAGGCTATTTTGTAATTATAAGGATACATAACGAAATAAGGGTATCTTTATGTTTCTTTCTCTCTCCACACATACACACACACACATTTATTTATATATATATATATATATATATATATATATATATATATATATATATATATATATATATATATATACATATATATATATATATATACATATATATATATATATATATATATATATATATATATATATATATATATAATGTTGTTTCTCTTGCCCTGTGGTGTACACCTCTGTTGTGATTTAGCATGGCCCCATCATCTCCATCTTCTAAGTCTCAACACTTTTTTAAACGGTTAAATGTGTGTTTTTCTTATTAACTCAACATTTCAGTTTGTCCTTTGGCAAGAAGACTGTCAATGTGTGTTGTAAACATTTGTTCATAAGCAAACCAAACACATTAATTTTCACATGCGTAGTTTGGAAGTTACATTTCTCCTTCCTGATATCCATTTATTCCTGAGCATATCAACATAAAAGAGCTATCTATCCCTATTTAATTTTTCTCTTTAATCTTCTTTATCATTAGCTGAACTTCTCAAATAGAGTAGTTATTTGTCGTCACAAGGGGCCCACAATCTCTGATGAATTTAGGTTAGAAACAGCGGACACCCACGAAACAACCTAGTACCAATGGACACACCTTAGCTATGGTGTGGTCACCGAGTTAGGTGCGCCATGGAGGACAACTGTTTGATAACGTGGGCATCCTTGTCCACCTAGCTTTGTTTGGCCTAGATTCACGACGATTAGCATTCCTATGTCAATCTAGCTCTGACAAGGGTATTATTTTTTCCTTGTATTGTATTTTAAAGAATAAGTTGCGTTAAAGTCATTTACATTTAACTGAACAAAGACCTTGGAGAAAAATAATTTGTAATGAATTTTAGGAAATATAGACATAAAATGTAACTCGTATATAAGACAAAAGATTGAACGGGGCAAGAGTATTGACGGGGTCGTATTATCTTGGGCTTTTAAAAGAAGGGATACCTATTATCGGGGGTCGTTTGTCGAAGTCCAACTGACTGCAGTCATTATGTCGCAGGACATATGGATAAGGGTCACATGACACATAGTTTTACTGATGCTGTCTCTTTATAAAAAATAGGCCTTTCTGATTAGGTAGTTATGTTATGGACTAATTGGAAGGGGTGTTGTACAAATGACGATTTTCACACTAATCAAAATTCACATTAAATTCCTAGTTACCTGGAACATATACTCTACAATAAAAAATTGAGACGGTTCTCAAAGTCTCTTGTTCTATTGGAAGTATAATAAAATATCAGTTCCGTTTGCTGAAAGAAAATCACCCTTCTACTTATAAATCAAAATTTATCCAGTTAATTGATACGTACATACACACACGCACACACAGACAATATAGTCGTGATGCGAAAGTGCGCTTTGCTGACTCTGTAAATATAAAATGTCGAGATGCTTCAAAAGCCACTTATTTTTTGCATAACGTTCTAGATTCTACTTTCTTTATCTATCTATCTATATACTACAAAAACTCAAGTTTGTTTACATGTTTGAATATTTATTTGTTTGTTTGTTTGTCTGATTTGGTACTGTAAGGAAACTGCTCTATATGGGGGGGGGGGGGCTGTAAAATAGTATGTAGGTAGAGAACAATTTTTGTTTGCAGACAGACTGTTAATCAGACATTTATTTAAAGACGTTAATTAATTTATTGATTTATTCATAGGTAGATTAACCACATTAATTTTAAAGTTTTAGGACAATGTCTTAACTTTGACTGAATAGTGACCTTTGATAACTAATTTTTTTTTGTTTGTTTGTTTTTCTGATTTGTTATTGGAAAGAATCTGCATTATGTGTAGAGCTGTAAAATAGGATTTTGGGTGGTAAATATTGTTCTTTCTTAAACACACTGATAATTACAAACTAATTTAAAGAAGTTAATTAATTTATCGATATATTCATTGGTAGATTAACCACATTAATTATAAAAGTTTAGAACAATGACTTTAGTAATAGTAAAAAAAAAAAATTTCTTTTTACAACAATGATTTCAATTATTTTTTCTTAAGACCTATATGTGAATGATAAGATTGACTATCAGGACCTCGCGGGGCACAGGGCAGGTGAAGTAGAGTTCACCTGTTTCTATGTTCTCAGCATATGAAGGGATAGTGTGGTCAGAGCCATGCTCGGCCGGAATGGTTTTTTTTTAAATACAAACATGTCTGAGACTTGGCGGGGCACTGGACATGTGAAGTAGAGTTTAGTAGAGTTTTCAAAATATAAAAAACGTCTTTTTGAATGTGGGGTCTGGTTATTTTGGGATGATAAATGCTAGCAGACGTGATGTTATTTATGGATGACCCCCCGAAACCAACAGTTATCTAACTAGATAACGGGTAGTCTAGTATACTACTAAAACTCAAGTTTGTTTACATGTCTGAATATTTATTTGTTTTTTTTTTGTTTGTTTATTTGTTTGGAGAGAATCGGCGCTAGGTGGAGAGCTGTAAAATAGTATGTTGGTAGAGAACAATTTTTGTTTCCAGACAGACTGTTAATCACAAATTAATTTAAAGACGTTAATTATTTTATTGATTTATTCATTCGTAGATTAACCACATTAATTTAAAAATTTTAAAAGACTTTGTGGCCCATTGAAAAGTTTAACGCGTTCTAAAGCTAATTTTCTTTCGGCCATAACTTTAACAATATGTCCTTTTGCTGTTTTTATTACGTTCCAACACTTATATAAATTTTCAGATGTCTTTTTCATTTAGTTTTACAATAAATTTCTCTAGCTCTACAATCTGTCCAAGAAAGTTATCTAATTATTTAAAGATCTAAATATCAGGTGGCCAAGAAAGTTATTTATAGATCTAGATCTAGAATCTAGGTCAAACCAAAGATTAATTAAATACAAACCAAACATTAATTAGATAAAAATACAATCCATTTTATAATCATAATACATTTTTAGTCCTTAAATATTTGATATAAATCTTTGTGATTTTATCTAACTAGATCTAGATCTATCTAGCTAGAATAGGTCTAATGTTTAGATCTAGATTTAGCAAGAGTTACGCAAAAACTAGACACAATACTTAAGCAAACGAGTCCTAGAATCTAGATCTAGATAATTCTATCAGGATCTAGATAATTTCAGACCTTCATTATTTTATATAAATCTTTGTTTAGCTATGTAATTGGCTAATTTTAAGATAAAATTTAATTTGAAAGTTACTACTACTAGACTTAGATCTAGATCTATGCGCGTAAATCAAGTTGCATAAGGAGACTCAAAGTATTAAAGTATACTATAAAAAAACATCAGTGACGTCACGAGTTAAATGGCTAAGTTGTTAGTGTAATCGGCATTCATGCGGGTGGCACGGGTTCTAGACCAATACGTCGATGTAAAAAAAAAATTTTCAATTTTTTATTTTTTTTTTACATGCGAATGATAAATTTGCCTATCTGAACTTGGCGGGATACAGGGCAGGTGAAGTAGAGTTCATATGTTACTTTGTCCTAAGCATATGAAGGGATATTGTGGTCAGACACATGCTTGGCTGGAATCGTTTTCTAAACGATAAAAACATGTTGTCTGAGACTTGGCGGGACACTGGGCAGGTGAAATAGAGTTGTGTAGGTCACCTGTCACGTCAGTATATGAAGGGATAGTCCGAAATCGGTGTTTTTATAAGATAAAAATCATCTTTTTAAATGTAGGGTCTGGTTTTTTGTGTCGATAAGTGACAGACGTGATGTTTTTTATGGATGACCCCACAAACCCACATTTATCCAAGGGATGACGGGTAGTCTAGTATACTACTAAAGCTCAAGTTTGTTTACGCTTGAATATTTATTTGTTTGTCTGATTGGCTACTGGAGAGAATCTGCACTATTTGTAGAGCTGTAAAATAGTATGTAGGTAGAGAAAAAATTTTTTTTTCAGAGAGACTGTAAATCACAAATTTATTGAAAGAAGTTAATTAATTTATTGATTTATTCATTGGTAGATACATTAATTTTAAAAGTTCTAAACAATGACTTTACTTACGAAGAATAGTGACGTCTTATGTTTTGTTTACTTTTTAAAACAACAATGGCGGTTCTATCGAAGATTGTTATCCCATTCCAATGCTTAACGCGTTCTAAAGCTAATTTTCTGTCGGCTATAACTTTAACAATACGTCCGTTTTCTATTTTTTATTACATTTCAACACTATTATCAATGTTTTAACAGTTCTTTTTATCTTATTATACAAAACATTTCTCTATTAAATTCTAGATCTAGAATCTATTTCAGGCCTTAATTATTTTATATAAATATTTGTTGAGCTTCAATGATCATCTGATTTGAGAATGCATGGGATTTATCTATCTAGGTTCTAGATCTAGATACAGTAGGATTACTAGCTAACTTGGAGGCGTAGTCGGTTGCTAACAACAATATGGCGTCCGAACCGGACGCATGACTTCCGACCATTTTTAGGCCAAATGCCAGAGACCTTCTTAGAATTACTATTAAAAATGTTTACCACGAGCAAAATGGCGGGTTTTCACGTTATATAAAAATACTATATGTGGCCAGGGCTAGATATACCAGAAAAGCATTTTAAAATTTGCTTTGGAGAATGAAGGCTAAATTTTAAAGTCGGTGTCATTAAAATTAATATAACTTTTAAAAGGTGACATGTGACGTCAGCATATGAAGGGATAGTGTGGTCAGACCCATGCTCAGCAGAAATCGGTGTTTTTAAAAGATAAAAAAACGTCTTTTTGAATGTGGGGTCTGGTTTTTTGTTACGATAAGTGACGGACGCGTTGTTTTTTTATGGATGACCCCCGAAACCCACAGTTATCCAAGGGATGGCGGGTAGTAGAGTTATAATTTAAAACTATTAATAGATTTTACATAAAACAATAAACCACTTACATATAACAAATCTCAGCGGGATCCGGCGAGGCTAGACAAATTCTATTACCTGACATATTAATTTATTAATTACTGCTATACTACGGATTACCCTTCTTAACTACCCTTGCAAGATCAACAACATAGCCTATAACTTAGCTCAAAAAATAGAATGCCTTATGTAGTTTGCTAGATTTCTTATTAGAATATGCTTTTTAATTGCATTAGATTTAGTCTAAATAGCAACATTACCCAAAAAATAATAGACGAGCAACGGAAAAAAGCGCAACGGAAAAAAGCGCAAAAAATTGCGCAACGGAAAAAGGCGCATGAAGAACAAATTCGCAAACAGAACAATGCGCAACCAGAAAAGAGTGCACCAAATAATGCACACACAGAAGAAAAGCGCAAACAGAAAAATGCGCACACAGAAAAATTACATATAGAATAAAGTGCAGACAGAAAAATGAAAATTCATTGATATATGTTACATCTCTTGCGACAGCCTAATAAGTGTGTTGAGCAAGTATAAAAACTCACTCTGAACTAACTCAATTACATGCTATTTGTTTTTATATGACAAGGTTAGCGTCACCCAACCAAAGCATGTACTGAACAGCATACTGGCAGCATGTAGCCTATATAACAGAAAAGCTATGGTTATTAATATCACTTTGCATTCGTCCGGTAAACATTTTCAGAAAAAGACCTTCAAAAACATTCCATAACTTTTTTTTTTACAACGAAACAAAGAGAAAAGTTTTATTATAACATCAGGCTATGGTTTAGACCTACTCAAATGGCGTCTACATTATTAAACTGATTAACTATTTAATGTAGAGATCAATTGGCTCAATGAACTAACCTTAATCCAAACCAGTTTAAAAGTTCGAGTTTTGTAACACTTTTAAGCTAGCAAAATGGAAATGTGCATAATCTATACCATCTACAAAAACACCCAACCACCTACCTAACTACCCACCCACACATTTACCCACGGACACACCTTACAAACTACCAATCCACCAACCCACTTACCCACCTACCAACCAGTAAATTTATATAGGTAGGTAACAGATACTCCGTGTAATGCCGATATCAAGTATAGTTTTATATTTATTTAAACGAGAATATTAGTTAAATAAATATTGAACAAGAAAATAGTAGGCATTGTGTCAAGCGATTATCGCCTGTATCTTTGTGATGTGAATGCTCAAGGTAGTGGTATTCTTTAAATTTTAGTAGATCCCGTCATGTCAAACACGACCCTCTCACAGCAGCCCTAACAATCAATGCATAAATGTGTCATCTAGTCCATATAAAGTCTTTGTGCTTAAATTTATTTTTGTGCATTTTTCTGTGTGCGCTTTTTTCTGTGCGCTTTTTTCTGTTTGCGCTTTTTTTTTCGTTGCACTTTTTTTTTCCGTTGCGCATCTTTCTAGTGACCAATTATAAATGTTGAAAGAATTTTTAAAACTACTTAGTATTTGTACAGGCCATTAGTTGTATTTTAATTATTTAGCCTATGAAATAATGGAGAGTTAAGAATTACAATAGATTAGGCTAAAAACTAAGTTACTTAAATTTATTATATCGTCTAGGTGTAAGTAGAATAAATTGAATTTACAGTAGTAGTCGACCCGGGCTTTTGTGGTAGTTAAAGCCAAGTGACATTTTTCTTACTACTAACCCTTGTAATAAATCCTACCCCAACTACCAATGGTTATGATAGAATATCGCTTGTGTTGATACTGTGTGGTCCTTTATATAAACAATCAATAGTACAAATAGGCCACCAAAAATAAGTGTAGCTAATGCCCAAGGATCAATGTTAAGCAGCTGTTAATATTAAACACTTCCTTTAGAATTTTGTTTCAAGAAAACTGTAGTAAAACTGTTTCATTAATTGATAGATCTTTATATATATATATATATATATATATATATATATATATATATATATATATATATATATATATATATATATATATATATATATATATATAACGAATATTGAGAAAGAAAAAATGTTTATCTGGTACGTTTTATAAGAACTGCTGAACCTTATTTATGAGAAATACACATTAGTTCTATTATCTTTCAACTTATAGAAAATCATTAGCTTATATGAGTTGCAGTTGAATGACAACATTGATTTCTTCAGTAATGCTTTTTTTTTGGTTCAGTTTCAGTATTGATTAAAATTATTTAAAAATTAGGGCTAGGTTCAGGGTTGGATTAAACATTGAAATCAAAGGTGGCAAATGGGACATTACATCGTGGCCCACCATACGAAATAACTGGTTGGAAAAACTGGGGCTACGAACCCGTGTTTGATCTCTCTAAATTTACAAACAGGAACCAAGAAGATTACCGTCATCAATATGTAGAATAGTAAATAGATAGAAACCACGAGAAATAATAGAACGTTTTTTTTAAATTATGTTTTTATAGGTTATTTTGTTATACCAATTATTAAAATAGGTAATATGTTTACTAATATTATTATATACTAAACTATATTTAAAAAAATGTTTTGTGGTGAATCATCGTCCTATACGGCCTTACAAGCCTATATTATTGACCTGATGTCATAAGTTAGCTCATTTGACCCATTGTATTTACGTAGCCTTAAATACAAAAAGTAAACATATTAATTTATAGAAATCAGGTCAAAGTTTATAAACTGTCAGATACAAATTAAGAAAAACTTTTTTGGCAAATATAAATTGTTTCGTTTCTTTTCTAAAAACCCGTCTGTATCTAAGGCACAGGTTCCTAGTGTTGAGAACTTTCTTTAGCACGCTACATGTTTTACAAATATTGTATTTTACTTTCAGTTCCCCCCCCCCCCCCCCCCTCTAACTACAAAAAAGTGTACGAAAAAATGTAGTTAACTTTAGCAAATTAGCGACGTCTTCTACATCAGCCTTGTGGGTTCAAAGTATATTTCAAGGGTCTTTGGACATAAACGCTTATGACGTCTTTAGTGTTATATAAAGGTTAGATAAAATATTTATAAACATTTTTTGTAGTGATGAATTTGTCTATTTTACAAATGTGCCTATTTGAATGTTGTGCATAATTTATTTTTTAACCATAAGAAAACAACAAACAAATTAATTATTAAGTACAATTAGTGTGAATACTAATTGCTAAAAGAAATAGATTACACAATTAATAAACAAAATCCTCAAGGGTGTGATTTATATCTTACTAATAAAGAAACATAAGTAAACTTTTGAGCAACAAAAAATGGCCTACCGTTAAAGATACTGATTGTAGAGATATTTTGAAAAAAATCACAAGATCACACCCTTCACTATGTCACGCTTTCTGAGAAATGACTGGGCCTAAAGTTAGCACGTTTGCTTTTATATTGAAAACCCAGGCTAGGATCAAGTGATCTTGTATGGGTAGGGTTACACCGTCTGCCGTTGTGGGAGTGGTGAGAAGGGGTTTTTCCAACACGTCTTAAGCTTAAACGTTAAGCCATATTAGTTATGATTCACCCCATATCTCAACAAAACAATAAGAACACATTATCACAACCTAGGCATTAGGTGATCTTAAAATTTAATATTCTTGTCCTTAGGGTAAACTGTATTCTTGTAGTCGGACTAGAACTTTTTTCTACTTCTTGAACTCTGTCATTTAAACCAATTAAGTTTAGGCGTGGGCGGGTGTGTTATGCTAAATAAAAAAAAACTGCTGCCTTCTAGTTTACGTTTGGATTGACAAAGGCTACGGAAGCTAATCCAGAAAGAAAAGCAGGCTTAAGACGAAGTAAATGAACAATATGACGCATAATATGTTGACAGCTAACAATTAACTGTGTTTGAGGAAATTCCGTCCAACATTACAATTAAGAAAGAAAATCTGAACTTATCTGTGATTTTCTAAAGTACAAGGTCAGGTGGTCGATCACATCAATGACAGGTCAGATATTTAAATACTTAGTAATTATAACTTACTCTTATCCATGCTATCAAAGTGATGTTTCAGCATAATATCAGTAAGCTTTGGCGTTATTAATTATTTTATTTACATAAGTAAACAACAACAGGAGGGGGGTGTCTAAAACCCAACTGTAATCTAGCCCTAAATTTAATCAGCAATCAGGCGTCAGTACTACCGTAGCTATACCCACGGTGGTTAAACCTTAAGGGGGCAGTATCACCCAGATATTTGAAAATTGACGAAAAAATTTGCCAAAAAAAAACTATTACACATACACACACAATTTTTTTACCATAATAGTAATTAATAAGGAGCTATAAAACAGCACGTAAAAGAAAGTTAACGTATGATGCAAACATTTTTTATAAATAATTTGACAAAAAAATTTTTACAAAGTAATTTGTGGCTGCGGTTTTCCAACATTTAGGCCCTTCCTGCTGAAAATACACTGGGAGATGCATAACAGGATAGCCTATCGCTGGAACTAGAAGAAATCCATTGTTACAAATTTTGAAATTTTTAGAATTTTTCAAAGTCAGACCAAAAAAATTGATCTTAGAAATTTTCTAAAAAATTTATCCTTCATCAGAATTCGATGATTTAGTTCCGACGATAGCCATAAACGCAAGGAAGGTTTATACCAAATTTTAAGTACTTTACTTATGGTTTCGGAAAATTGTTTACAAAAAAAATTCAAAATGTAATAAAATATTAACAAAATAATTTTTTGCAAATATGTTGCTATACATATACCCTACAATTTATATACTGTATTATAGCAGAAGATACGTTACTACTGCTGTACAATTTTGACATACGTATGTCAAATAGTTTTTTTTTCGTGAATATTTTTGTTTCCCTCCCTTAGTCTGGGTGATACTGCCCCCTTAACCTTAATATAGATAAAAAATAAAAGCCAATCAGTTTTACTTAATCTTTATTCCAAAAAAATAAACCCGGAGTGATCTCCCCTTAACTTCTATTCTAACACTACGGGAGACGGCAACGCGGGATACAGACACGATTTTTAATTCATTTTAAATTACTTAAACTTTTAAAAATAGAACAGAATATCGCAGAAAAAAAAAGAATTGTGCACCAAGTGAATGGTTAACAATATTATATGTGTATAATAGTGCGGAATATTATTAGTACTTTATAAATTCATTTTCATTTTTCGAGAAATCAGAAATAGCGTAGGCCTACATTATTACTCCGGTCAACGGAAAGTATTCAAAATTTGACAGAAGGCAGAGAATTAGATCTTTTACTTATGAGTGAAATTTCATTTATTTATCTCAAACAGTACTCAGGTTATATGCTTTTGAAAAACTAACAGTAGAATACGTTTCACTTCCGGTTACCGGAAATCGCTGAAAAGTTAATACAGAAATAAACATTTGATATAATACTTATATATGAAATTTCATCAACATAGCTGTAACGGTACTTAAGTTATCTTATTCATAGACAAACATATACACACATACACACACAGAGAGACATACGGACAAGATTGCAAAACAATGTTTTCCGACTCAGGGAGATGTAAAACGATTTATTTTTTCTGCACAATTACAATACATTCTCTATACGAGAAAGTAAAAACTGCAAAACAAACAAACACCAACTAAACACAGTAAACAAGCTCATCATCAAACTAAAGCATTTTTACCAGGCACTATGATGTGGCTTACAAGTAATAAAGTGAAATTGTGTAATCCTGTACTTAACTTACACATATAGATTTTATGAAGTAATTACTTATGCCTTAATTATAAAAAATATTTTAATTGACTTATAAAAATCGAAAGTAAATAATGTTTCAAAATACAATGGTATTTTCAAAGCTGTTGTAGTAAAAATATATGATATATACTAAGCTACATTGAGAATAATGCTAGTGTAAATTAAAATAGAATAAAAACTTTCTCAATCACTATTATTAATGTAAAATACAACACAGAAATGTAATCCTCAAATCTGGTTGTAGGTCACCGACTCTCAGGCTGTAGACCAAATCTGGAAACTTCCCACAAGTGCCAGACAGAGCAGGATTAGAACAGTTCCTGTACCAACACCTGTGGCAACATTTCTTCCATGTCCTGTGTTAAAGCAGAAAACAATATATTAGCATACTATGTAATTTGTCGTTCTGCATCAGGTCAGGCATATAACACAAACATAGACTTCGCAATATTTCATCTGCAAAGTTAGCAATCGTGTGTGTCATTTAAATAGTTGGCAGAAAAGAGCTCATATATATAATAATAGTTTCGCTGTCTATGTATCTATGTTTCTATCTATGTCTGACAAGAACGCTCTAGAGAAAACACAAGCAAATTAAAAACTTTCACAGTAAAGCGGAAGCGAAATATGACGTCACATTTAGCATATAGTAGAAAATAGTATCAAGCCGGAGAGTGCACACAGTAATATGACGTCATCGATTCTCGAGTAAACATTGATTTAAAAAGCCAATTTTGTCTAATCTTAAAAGTGGCTTGCGTGAAGAGTTTCTTTCATACAATTCTTCGGGTAGGGGCGAAGCCCATCCCCGGCGTAAGAACATCCTAGCCGACCCCCCCCCCCCCTTCGCCCTCAAATCAAAAGAAATGTCGTCATCGATACTCTATAATAAAATTACAGCCTAATTCATATGTCTAATCTAAAAAGTGGTTTGCGTGCAGAGTTTCTTTCATGCAATTCTCCGGGTAGTGGCTAAGCGCGACACCGGTGTTTCTTTCAGACTTTTTCCTTCCCGGAGGGAGGAACTTTTTCTAATATAAAAAATGTGTTTAGCGTGCACAGTTTTTTTCATGCATCTCTTCTGGTAGGGGCGAAGCCCCGCCCGGGTTCTTCTTTTAGTTTGTATGATCTACAAATGCGGCCAGTGTTTCTTTCAGACTTTTTCTCCCCGGAGAGGGAATTTTCTGGGAGGGGGGACACTGGAAAAAGTATAAATTTAATATTTCGTTGAATGGGACGGTAGACATGTTTTAAGGTGTGTGTGTGGGGGGGGGGTGTTGGTTTTAGTTTAGAGAAAATAGACAGCACTATCAACCTAGCGCCCGTTGTATCCTTCCTCAACGGGCCATTTTTCTCATTTCTAATAAATACAGAATGTTAATGGGTAATAAAGTAAATATTTATTTATTTAATACATGTGCATTTGAAAGCTTGTAATGGTAAAAGTTATTTCTTTTTTATTGTAATAAGTATAGTATGTTAAATATAATAATGTCTATATTTTAAAGCTTTAATAATCGAAAAATCTCTATATTAATTTAGTGAATGTGTCGTTGGATTTGAAAATTTTGCACCGACGCATAATGTAAGCACAATAAAAATACTAAGTCAAGTGAACACAAAAAGTAAAAATAAAATAATAAGACACCAGAAAATACACACACAAAAACAAATGTCAGGCATTAAATTTTCTCAATTACTTCTAATTTATACGGCAAATATTAAAAGATAAATACAAAAACTAACGATAATGTAAGAAAGGCAAAAAAAAAGTAAGCAGCGATGGAATAAGGTTCAAGAAGATGAGCGTGACTGCTTTATGGTACGATTAGCTTTATGATTACGCCTAGGGTTAGGGTTACGAATTCGGTGATAGTTGCGGTTTAGAATCAGGTTAAAGTTCATGTTTAGGCCAAGGTTAAAGTTCAGGTTCCTGTTCAGGTTTGAAGTTAAGAATATATGTGCTGTTACATTTACGGTTACAGTTACAGTTTTGATTAATGTTAAACCTGTGCTGGTTTCTGCAACAGCTCCGGTTTCGGTTGATATTCTGACTCCAGTTTTAGTTACTGAAATACAAAAATAATAGTATTTTTTTTTTAAATGACTACTTTCCTGACCAATAGTTCTTTACAGTTATAACTTATGTTTGGAAACTAGCTAATCTATTGAATCGTTAATATTAACGTTCAATTTTATTAACCAAATGTTTTTAAAAAATAATGTTTTGAGAATTGATTTTAAATTAATTCCTTTTTTTACCATAATTCCTTAAAGATAAAGAAAAATGAGCACTAAGTGTCAAATAGCATTCAAATACACAGATTTTCAAAAACACAATAATGTTTGACTTATAAACACACTATCAATTTAACTAAATGTATCACTCACCACTTTCATCTGGTGTATCCCTCAGTACAACATTCACTTCTACCACACTGTAGTCAAAGACATGCGTCACATTGATGATGTAGGTTCCCCTCACAGATTCGTACTGATCAGTGTTTAGATTGCTTGTGTTGATGTAGGCCTCTCTAGTCGTTGTATTGTAGACGACAAATGGCGGAGGGTTGAGGGATTCCACGTTGTTGTGTTTCCATCTGATCAGTGGAATAAGTGTAATCAAAAGTAGAACTGATACAAGTAGCCTTTTAGGTGTGAAGTTAAAACTTAAACTAAATAAACACAGATTAGCGTTTCAGTGTTGAATATTGAATTCATTTAATCCAGTAAATATCCCTCAAAACCATACAAAAACAGAACTATAAATATTATACATAATAATCTAAAGAATAAACCTAATTATCCATTTAAAAAGCAGCATAGGGTCTATCAAATATCATTGACAAATAGCTTGACAAGCAATACAGCAAATACCTGTATATTATATTTTGAGATGGATCAGTTATAGCCATCACAGTGAGGTCTATTACATCTCCAAAATCAATGTTCTGTGTGGATGGTGGCTGGTACAAAATTATAATGGGCACTGTCAGGACAGAAAATAAATAAATGCATTGGTATATAAGTTATGGATCACTGACATTCTAGAAATGACACGATTCGAATATATGTAAATATAAATACGAATTGTCACCTAAGTCACTTTATATCCAAACAGGGGAGCATTTGACTTGTGAAACTGTACACACACACAAGCATATATATATATATATATATATATATATATATATATATATATATATATATATATATATATATATATATATAAGTAAGAGAGATATGGATAAAAAGATAGCTGAAATTCAAAGATAATCTTACAGAGCACATTTAAGCATCCATCGGCCCATGTAGTACCAACTAGGTTAGAAACAGAACACTGAATGCACATGATGTCTGTAACTTTCTTTAAAGATTTTATGGTTAACGTTTTGTTCCCATCACTAAATACAAATTTTGTCGTGTCTGAAATATAGAAATAACGAAATGGCAAATGTGTAATAGCAGCAAAGTGTATAAATAAATAATCAAATGGCAAATTCACAGCAGCAAAGTTTAACTCGTTTTGCATTTAGTCCCAACTGTATTGGAATATAACGTAGATAAATCTTAGCGAAATTGTACTAATTCAAAGACCGTACGTTGCACACCAGCGAATAATAGCCATAGTGCATCTACGGAGACACTCTAAATTCCCTTGACTAGATAATTTTGATGTTCAAGACTTTGCATAAATTTAAAAGACAATAGAAAGCAGCTGATGCTAAATTGAATCATCTGTAGTGTATAATTATTAATCTATTTTTAACTATGTACAATCCAAGAAAATACAACTGGTTCTGTGATGTACACAATAGCTACCAGTCTACACAATAGCTACCAGTCTACACAATAGCTACCAGTCTACACAATAGCTACCAGTCTACACAATAGCTACCAGTCTACACAATAGCTACCAGTCTACAAAATAGCTACCAGTCTACACAATAGCTATCAGTCTACACAATAGCTACCAGTCTACACAATAGCTACCAGTCTACACAATAGCTACCAGTCTACACAATAGCTGCCAGTCTACGTAACAAACCCACCTATTTGTGCACCAACTTGCTCTCCATTAATGTACCACACAGGTGGATCAGGCTCTGTTTCTCCACGTGCTGATCTGGCATTACAGTTAAACACGGCATCTTTACCTTCTGACATAGTTTGGTCCACTGGTGCTCCGTTTGGGTAAAAGATTGGTGAGGCTGTTCAAAATTTAAGTACTATTTACATACTTGTTTTAACCGATGGCTAGTTTTTTTTTTAATTTAGATGTTAAACTCAATATTACAAAAAAACTATATAAAAATTAGTTTAACCTATATGTGTAAACGGGAACAGGGCATTTCCCCCCTGTCAATTACCCCCCGGATATTTCCCCCCCCCCCCCCGACATTACCCCCCAGAGTAATTACCCCCCCTGTCAATTACCCCCCTGTCAATTACCCACTTCCCAGTAGGACTTTACCCCCCCCCGGACATGGTTAGGGCTAGGGCTAGGGCTAGGGCTAGGGCTAGGGCTAGGGCTAGGGCTAGGGCTAGGGCTAGGGCTAGGGCTAGGGCTAGGGCTAGGGCTAGGGCTAGGGCTAGGGCTAGGGCTAGGGCTAGGGCTAGGGCTAGGGCTAGGGCTAGGGCTAGGGCTAGGGCTAGGGCTAGGGCTAGGGCTAGGGCTAGGGCTAGGGCTAGGGCTAGGGCTAGGGCTAGGGCTAGGGCTAGGGCTAGGGCTAGGGCTAGGGCTAGGGCTAGGGCTAGGGCTAGGGCTAGGGCTAGGGCTAGGGCTAGGGCTAGGGCTAGGGCTAGGGCTAGGGCTAGGGCTAGGGCTAGGGCTAGGGCTAGGGCTAGGGCTAGGGCTAGGGCTAGGGCTAGGGCTAGGGCTAGGGCTAGGGCTAGGGCTAGGGCTAGGGCTAGGGCTAGGGCTAGGGCTAGGGATTAGGGATTAGGGCTATGGTTAGGGCTATGGTTAGGGCTAGGGCTAGGGCTAGGGTTAGGGTTAGGGTTAGGGTTAGGGTTAGGGTTAGGGTTAGGGTTAGGGTTAGGGTTAGGGTTAGGGTTAGGATTAGGGTTAGGGTTAGGGTTAGGGTTAGGGTTAGGGTTAGGGTTAGGGTTAGGGTTAGGGTTAGGGTTAGGGTTAGGGTTAGGGTTAGGGTTAGGGTTAGGATTAAGATTAGGGTTAGGGCTAGGGTTAGGGTTAGGGTTAGGGTTAGGGTTAGGGTTAGGGTTAGGGTTAGGGTTAGAGCTAGTTTTAGGGTTAGGGTTGTGTTTAGCTTTGGTTTTGGATTTGTGTGACGTTGTAGGCTAAGGTGGATGCTTAGGTTTTGGTCTTTTTCTTAAGTTTTGGATTAAAGTAGTATATAGGTATAAAATTCAAGTTAGAGTTAGGATTTTAACTTGAGAGGGGGGGGGGGGTAATTGACAGGGGATAATTGACAGGGGGGGGTAATTGCTCCGGGGGGGGGGGGGTAAATACGGGGGGGAAATGTCCGGGGGGAAATATCCAGGGGGGTAATGTCCTGTAGCCGTGTAAACAGAATGTTACTAACCAGTAATATCAAGAAACACAGCCTCTTTGTTAGATGTTCCTCTGGTATTTTGTGCTTGGCAGTAATAGTTTTTCTCATCTTGTTCATCTACATTATAGATGATTAGACGGCGATGATCCGCAGAAAAAGAATATCTGCCGCTTGCTTTGATCTCATTGCCGTCATCAAAATACCATTTGGTCACAGGAACATTCGGGTATTGAGGGTCACTGGTAATACATAGCATAAATTACATTTAAACCGGCCTGAAAAGTATAATATTTATTAGCTAATAGGATCAAAATAATATATAGTAGACCTATTTAGAGCAAAACAGGTAAACTAATAAACTCACTGAAATGTCAGTTATTAATAGAAAGCATGTTTATAAAATAATGTTCATCTTACATCGATAGGAAAATGTTGTATAGTATGAGAAATTAAAATGTATTATACGCATACTATCCTGAGAAAAAACATTCCAGTGTAGCTGTCGAAAATCTAATAAACTTGGTGCCAGAGTTTGTGTACTGCACTTGTGGAGCAATGGCAGTTGGCGCTGGAAGTAAATAATATATGTTACTTTATCTCTCTTTAATTTTGATACACTCAAAAGTCTTGTATTTTTCCCCATTTCTCCTTGTTTATTCCTCATGCTGTGAGTTGTGTCAATCACGTAATCATAATCAGGTTTGTACCTGTTTGTGTACGTGTATATAAGGTGTGTGAGAACGTGTACGATCGCCTCAATCCACTACGTTACCTCTACAAGGTTAGCGTAGGACAGTACTTTAAGTCTATAGCCACTGTTTCTTAGTTTTGTGTACTTGAAATAGCTTGTGTTTGTGTACATATTGTCTTTGATGTCAAACTATTATTACTGTAAAAACTTACAAGCTACTGTTTTGATAGAAAGTAGAACCGATCCACCAAACGTAATGTATGACAAACCAATGGCTGAAATGCCACACTTGTACTGTCTTATATTGCCGTCTACTGTCGTAACGTAAGCAAAATGCAGGTTTCCTGGCGATCAGAAAAAACAATTGGTCAAGTAAATATTTTAACATAATCCAACTTGTATTCCCTAACAATAGTGTAGCAGGGCTATAGCACAGTAGCATGGTTTCTTACACACAATTTTAGAACTGTTTCTGTAAAACATGCACAAAATAAATGATGTGCTAATCTTGTTTCTATCGGAAAAATATATTTAACTCAGACGGCAAGCTAATTAACATTGTTTAAGATGTATTTAAAACAATTTGAGTAATTTAAAATTTAATTTTGTCTATTGCTTTTCCTCTTCCATTATTTGTTCTTTACACATATCACTCAAAAATATAACACAAATTATAACATCTATTGTTATGTTAATCCTGTGCAAAAACAAATCCATTTGAACAAACAAACTTTATCATTTGTTTACATAATACTAACCGTTTTGATCAATAAACTGACGGTCATCTATTTTAATTTGAGTATAATTGACATCATACCAGTCGTAACCAATTTCTTCACCAACAGCTTCACCTTTATTAGCACAATCTAGCTTGATGTAGGAGTACTCATCCGCTACTACAGAGCTGGTGGCGTTTGATTTGAACTCATCTACCCCTGGTAAATGTAAATAAAGAAAGGTAATAACATCCAATACCTATTCAATTATCAGTTTCCTTTACCAAATCATGAAAATATGAGAGTATCTAACTGTTGTTACAATAAACTTACGAGATTGCTTTAATGTGTATGTTGGAGCAAAACTTTTGACTATTGTTGTGCCAAACATTGACCTTGCCACACATGTAAAAACACCTTCTTCTCTGGTTGTAAAATCATTGAAGGTTATGTCCCCTTCTACTGAATCAAATGTGATCTGAGGACTTGCTATAAGAGGTATCCCGTCTCTCAACCATGCATAGCTAAGGAAGGAAAATTGATTTTTAATATAGGACTACATTGAAGCAAACTAATGTTATATCGTGCAAAGTTGAATAACATAAAACATGTTTTTAATTATCTTATGAAATGTATGTATTAAACTATGTATCTTTCCATATAACACATACTCAAAATTATGTGTGTAATACATATAAGCATACAATTTTTCATATAGACGGTATCATACGGAAACGTAATCTAGGCGTTGTTATTTTGCGGGATGAGGAATGGGATGGGGGTGGGGGAGAGGAGGGGTTCGTATGATGTTCGTATATATATATATAATATTTCATGGGTTATCGTACAAGACTTGGTTAGAGCACTAAGTACTACTACTCTACCAAGCTCTATGTAGAAAACAAACAGTAAAATTATCATCCTTGCACCATGAATCGTGTACACATCGCTTTAGAATTTTATGAACTATAAAAAAATAAAACCTAAAAATACCTGGGCTCTGGTATTCCCTTGGCTTGACATGGTAAACTAAAACCATCTTTAGTATTCTTATATACGACTTTTGGGGCGTCAGGAATTATCACATTGGGTGGCAAGCGAACTGTAGAGTTGACGTGAAATATGTAAGAACGTATAAAGTGTATTTTTAATAAACGTCTCTACGGTCTAGGTATCAGTTTTCCTATAGTCTATTATATATTTCTCAGTTTTAACAAGCTTTTATTTAACTTGCTTCCTTTGTCTGCCGTCTGTCTGTCCTCAGTCTGTCGGTCGTCATAGATCGAAACGGGCGCGCGAAATTTCGGACACCTCTAACTGACAGATTCGTTTCAAAGTAGGCACGTGGGTCAAGACTTGAAGCAAATGCAATATGTCATTAAATTGGACATAATCGGATGCCTAATATATTTTTAATGAGCTAATTAAAATTTTCTAAAATTGGTAGGCAGACTTGTGCTACTCTTACACAATAATAGTTTTTAGTCGTGCTGCTCTATTATATTAAACATGTTAAAGTGCTAAACAAATTGTATAAAACGTATTAATAACAAGCTTCTATGCAATAATCCACTAAAAGGAGAATTTTTTTCCCCTTTAAATGTATTAAAATTTTTAACACTGTACTATTTAAATAATTATTCAGAAATGAGTTGGTCACTATAATATGTATCGGATACTTTTACTAATATTTAGGAAGCGACCCACGCTTTTGTTTATAGTTATTTAAATAGTAGTTTTTTTTAATTTAAAAAATGCTAGAAAAAATATTGTAAAAATAATGCATATAAACGTTTTAATAACAAGCTTTTATTTAGTAATGCATTAAAAAGGGAAAAAAATATTATTTTTTTAAATATATAATAACACACTACTATTTAAATAACTATTACACGGTTTGGTTGAGTGATACATTTTTAAAAATTCTAAACTCAGTTCTATTGGACTCCTTGTTTATAGAAAATTTAGCAATTAAAATCATACCATCCGATTGAGAATAAACAGAAGTGAAAACAGCCAATGCTGCAAAATACAGCTTTCCGGACATTGTGTTAACTAAGTCAGTAGATCAAAATGCTTTTAAGGCCTCACCTGAAACAAAGAACATTGCTGAATGAACAGGAAAATGTCTTTTTTCTCTTTCCACACTCACACACACATACACACACACACACACACACACACATATATATATATATATATATATATATATATATATATATATATATATATATATATATATATATATATATATATATATATATATTTTTTTTTTTTTTTTTTTTTCAATTTGCTTATTCACATTTATTGACAAATAACATTTATAATAATTACAGAAATTTAAAAGACAAAGCATTGGGTTTCTAACATTTGTACAACTCAATTATTTGTCTATGTAAATATTGAATAATGTATACACTGACATCAAGCCATCTAAATAAAATAAATAAATGCTAGTCTAGGTATTTGAAATTTTGCTGTACAATATTTTTGTTCAAATGTAAATATATATATATATATATATATATATATATATATATATATATATATATATATATATATATATATATATATATATATATATACATTGTATTTTTTAAGAGGATTTAAGCTACCTTTTATCATTGGCAATGTGGTTCTATGTTTTTATAGTGTTTTTTTATACGAATATGCCTTATATGTTTAGTACCCTTTGCAGTAAAAGTTGTTATTCACAGTCCCTAACGCTTATAATGGATTAACTACAGTAATATAATACAAGTTCGTTTCAATTACAATACATTCTTTAGTGGCACACCATACGAAATTACCTGGTTGGAAAAACAGAGACTCTCCAACTTTACAAAAGGGAATAAAAAATATTACAGTTAGTGGAATGTAGATTTATAAATAGATAGAAACGACTAGAAACAATAGATGGTTTTAAATGTATGTTTTTATAGGTTACATTTGTGTACTTGATAACATAAGTTAGCACATTGTATCGTTGTATGTACGTGGCCTAAAACGTGGCCTAAAATACAACAGGTAAACACATCTATTTATAGCAAATAGGCCAGATGCAAGAAAAGAAAAACTTGTTGACAAATATAAATTGTTCTCCTCTTATTTAAAACTTCCAGTTATTTTATCCCCTCTCTAATTATGAAAAAGTATCAAAATAAAATGTACTTTAAAAAATAGCGACGTTGTCTGCATCCGCCTTCTGGGTTCAAAGTCTATTTCTCTTGTTAGTGGACATGGACGCTTACGATCTCTTTGGCGTAACATTAAATATTTAGAGCCATTTTTGTAGTGATGAATGTGTCTATTTTACAAATGTGCCTATTTGAATGTTGTGCATAATTTTTTTTTTAACCATAAGAAAACAACAAACAAATTAATAATTAAGTATAATTAGTGGGAATACTAATCGCTAAAATGAACGTATTACACAATTTAAAAAAATTCTCAATAAATTTACTTACTAATAAAGAAATATAAGTAAAATATTGAGCCAAAAAATGGCCTACCGTCGTAGGAACAAATTGTGACGTTGTATAAAAGTCAAGAGCTTATCATTTACCAGGTCATATATTACGAGCTGAATACTCGGCCAAACGTTAGTACGTCCGCTTTTATAATGAAAACCCAGGCCACGGTTGGGTGATCATGTATGGGTAGGATTACTACGTCATTGGGTGTGGGAGTGGAGAGATGGGCTATTAAAATAACCTCAAACACTTCAACGTTGAGCCATAAAACTATGGTTCAGCTCATATCTTATCTTTGCAAATGTTATAGCGAAATAAAACCCGATCACACACTTTACGAGTGATTTTAAACTCGGGTAGTAATGTGTCTAGAGTTATACTTGCAGATTACTCTTGCAGTCTGTATTTTGTATTCTGACTAGACCTTTTTTTCTGTGCTCTGTTATTTTAGCCTAAGTTTAGGGTTCTGATAAGCTCAATCAAATAACTGCTGCCTTGTAGTTTAGGCTTCGAAGAACAAAGGCTAGGGAACTTTCTTGGAAATTTTTTATATCAACCATAAAATAATTAAAAAACCATAAAAGAATTAAAAAACACTAATTTTCTGGAAATTTGTATAACTTCAATAAAAGAATAAAAATATAATAATAAAATAATAGTTACTACGAAGCCATCATCAGAGGTATACCGAGGGCGGGGTGGGGGGTGCGAACCGCACCGGCCGACACCATTTAGGGGGGGGGGGGGTGACACCAATGCAATATATTGCAAAATATATATTTCCCTCAGGATATCAGTATACTTTTACGACTTAACGTAATTTATGTACATATTTTCTGCCCGTTACCTCGTGTGTATTGCAAATATACGCGTGGAGACTTGTTTATTAGGCCCTTATCGTTATGTGTTTGCCATACCAGTAGGTTTAGTACATTTTTAAGGCGGTTTAGCTTGAATGTGTCTATAATATGCATTTGTCTTGCTACATACAATCATAAATTATGCTGGGTAATCACGTAAATGTTGTCTGGTGAAATTAATTAAACGTTTTTATGATCAGATGAGCGTTTAGTTACTATAATATGCTTACTTGAGCTGAGTGGTTATTTCCTACGCTTTACCCAAGTACTAGGGTTCGGTGTGGTCGAGTCGGTAAAGCTCATGGTTGCTGAACCGAAAAATCTCAAGTTCGAACCCTCGGTCAGATGAGGCTCGTTAGCTGGGGACAGCAACTCTTCTAGGAGAGACAACTCCAAAATCAAACAACTGCTGCCTTGTAGTTTGTTCTTGGTTGAACAAAGGCTATGGAAGCAAATCCAAAAAGAAAAGCAGGCTGAAATCGGACACGTATCCTTAATTGTGATGGAGGCGTGGTCGAGTCGGCAAAAGCTCATGGTTGATAAATTCGAAAAAGTCTCGAGTTCAACCCTCTGTCAGATAAGGCTCGATCCCTTTCCAACACTAAAAATTAAGAACGAAGAAGAAGACCCAAGTACTATGATGTTGTAGCGGAATCGTAAGCCAACAGCATTTGTGCTCAATACGTAATACACCAATAGGAATATATTTAGTATATCTTAACTTGAATTAATTCGTGATTATAAACATTTTTTAATAAATCAGTTATTGTATAAAGCGAAAATAAATCGTGATTCAACATGTATTTTTATATTTTATTTTTTTAATTTTACATTTTAAAACTGTTATCAAAATTGTGATATACTATTCTACATAATAAAGTGCGAGTAGTGTAATATACTAAAACAAAAAAGTTCTCATTCGATTTTATTAAAACAAAATACTGCATATATCTGTATATATATATACTGCATATATCTGTAATTATCAAATCTGATGGAGGTCTCGAACTCTGACCCTTAGGCAGTAGTCCAAATCTGGACAGTCCCCACCAGTGCCAGACACGCCATAATTAAAGTGCTCCCTGCTCCAACATTCTCGGCACCGTTTTTCTTGGTTTTAGTTTCCTGGTTACCTAGGGGAAAAAGTTTTTAAATTGAAAATTGGCTAGTTATTTTTAAGGTGTAGAAAAATAAGTTTACTTTCTTCTAACCCGGGGCAGACAGTTTGAAGTTTTCCAAAAGCGCTCACACTCTGAATGTAAAGCATTCCTTAACAGAGGTGAATAGTACAATAGATTATTGTTAATCATCACAAAACGTTCTGGAGAATTTGATAACAAATTAGTTTTTATTACAATAGTTATAGATAATAAGACTGTTGAGACTTTCAAAACTTGAACGACTATATCCACTACAAACTTGGCGTTTAAAATACTTAAGGTTATGCCCAGTCCCCACAATGTATAGCTACGGCTACGAGTAGTTACTGTACCAACTACTCACCTCCTATCCTGAGGGTCAGTGAGGTACTCATGTTGTATGATCCAGTCACGTGACTAGCCCAGCACCTACACAACTGGCCATCCATGGATGTGTTGTACGCGAGTTGAAATAATCCACTGTATCCGTTCTTCTGCTGGGTTGTGTCACCACATTTCAAGGTGATGTTGGACACCTTTGGCTCACCATCTTCAACAGTACATCTAATGTCCACCACTTTGTTGGATGGGTCAAGCTGTACCGTCTGTCCATCTGTCACAGTTTTGTTGTATACAACTATAGCCGGGGGGTGATAGGGAAGGTACTGGGTACCTGGTAAGATTTAAAAATCACTTCAATACATTTGCCAATTAAACATAAAAAATATTTTATTTGAAGTCATTATGAAGTAAGAAAAATCAAAACGAAAAGGTAAAGGAACACGAAACTTGAATTGTAAAGTCTTTTAGGTTTTATAGAAGAGTCACAACCATTTGAACATTCATTTCTGCTAAACGGCAGTTAAAAATCTTTGAGGAGAAATAAAATTATTAACCAAATTACTCCACTCTCCACCAAAATGAATACAATTGCATCTTTTGTTGTTGGTGTATTATTTCAAAAATTATATTTAAATTTCATAGAACTTGAAATATTTCTAACAGTTTTTACAAAAGAAAACACTTAAAAGGCTGGCAATAAGCTTACAAGATTTGAGAACCCTTACTCACAGTTAACCAGAAGGTCAACAGACCTGACGTCATCGACCTGGTTGGGTGCCTGAGCCACACACTGATAGATGTCGCTACAGTCACATGTGGCTGTCAGTTGGTAGGTTTGTACGGTAGTGTTGAGCTCGCTACAGGTCGGGTACAGGAAAGGTGTACAGTGGCCTGCGGAAACACATGTTTAGCCAATTTAAAATAAATTGTATTTTAAATTTCAAATTAATTAGCAGCGTAGTACTGACGTGGAGGCTTAGTAAAATTCTAATATATAATGTTTTCATTTGTTTAAGTAAAAAAAAAAGTAAACTTTCCCTTTCAAACCTGACGGTCTATGGGGCAAGTGAAGTAGAGTTCACTTGTTTCTGTGACCTCGGCATATGAAGAGATAGTGTGGTCAGCACTATGCCCAGCCGCCATTTGTTTAAGTACAAAGGTTAAAAATGTGCACGTTGTTTACATTACTGAGCTGAGGTTAAAAATGTCCACGTTGTTTACATTAGTGAGCTGACCTTGTTTTGCCCGGATAAACCAGGTCACGTTGCCTACACCTGTAACAGGTAGACATTGAAATGTCACCGTGACCCCTCGTCTGACTGTCAACGTCGTGTTTACGTTGTCAGCTGTGAAGCTTGTGATCAGCGGGGAAACTATGGAAGACAAAAGTTTACTTACAAGATAAGTCGTTTGCAATCTCCATTTGATTACATATCTTGTAAACAAAGCTTTGCTCAATGGCAATTGTTTATATATATATACTTATATATATATATATATATATATATATATATATATATATATATATATATATATATATATATATATATATAAATAAATAAAAAAAAAATATATATATATATATATATATATATATATATATATATGTGTGTGTGTGTGTGTGTGTGTGTCTAAAATCAATTACAAAATTCTGCTTAATATTAAAGCAATGTTGATTTCGAGAACATACAGAAAAAATATTTAAACTCAGATTTGCAGTTGCAAGTATTTTATCTATCAAAACAAAAATATTCCTTACGGTCTGGGGTAAGGTAAAACGTCGTGGACTTGGATACACCAGTCACGTGGTTGGCTGTAACCACGCAGGTACGTCTGCTCATGAATGACGTGTATGAATCATTAAAGGCCCCACGTGATCCGTTCGTTGTCTGGATCAAACTGCCACACTGTAACGTGACGTTCGTCACGCTAACCACTCCACCATCTACCTGCCATTTTATCAACACTGTTGGCAGATGTGCTTGAAGCCGGACTATTTGTCCAGCAGATACATGGATGTCGTAAACAGAAACGGTGGGTGCTTGTTCGGCAGGTCGAGATGAGCCTGAGACATTAGTAAACGGACCAATCTTATAAACGTATAAACAAGATAAAGCAAGCAAACGTACATATATGTGGATGTATGAATGGATGAATGTAAGCATTTTTAGGTGAAAGAGCATGTGTACGACCAGAGGCGTAGCGAGGGGGGGGGCTGGGGGTGCGGATCGCACCGGGTGACACCATTTAGGGGGGGTGACACCAAGGCAAAAAAAATAGCAAAATATATAGAGAAAACTTGAGGGGGGGGGGGTGCAAATCTAAAGTTTGAGGGGTGGTTGCAAATCGAAAATTTGAAAGTTTGTCCCCGGGAAGGGTCGCTACGCCTCTGGGGGTGACACCATTAAGTGCCGCACCGCGTGACACCCGACCTCGCTACGCCACTGTGTACGACTATTTGAGTGTAGGCGTGTGTATATATACTCAAGTTATGTATAAAAAATTGTATTGTTACCCGTAGCTCTTACTATTTTAAGAAAGTAAAATTATGGATTTGTATCATAAAAAAAATTGGCTTTGTAAACAATCAATTGCAACACGAACTCGTCGATGCCAACCAATAACTTAAATAACTTACAATTGACCCTGATATCTATCGCCATTGCATCGACGGAGTATTTTCCCTGCTGCATCGCATCAGACGTTGGTCCAGGCGTCTGCGCCACACACTCGTAGGTGTCGCTGCACTCACAGGAGGCTGTCAGTGTCAACGTTTGCACCCTCGAGGAATCGGGGTCACTCCTAACAGCATGCAAGTATTGTGAACAGTGTGCTGTAATGGTAGATATTAGCCATGAAATGGCTTTGTAAATAACGAGAATGTTAACATGTACATAATGCATTCTTACATATGAAAGTAATGAACTTGAATTATTATTTTCATTACATACAGGGGCGTAGCGAGGGGGGGGGGCGGGGGTGCGGACCGCACCGGGTGACACCATTTAGGGGGGGGTGACACCAAGGCAAAAAATAGCAAAATATATAGAGAAAAACTCGAGGGGGGGGGGGTGCAAATCGAAAGTTTGAGAGGGGGGTGAAAATCGAAAGTTTGAGGGGGGTGCAAATCGAAAATTTGAAAGTTTGTCCCTGGGAAGGGTCTCTATGCCTCTGGGGGGGGGTGACACCATTAAGTGCCGCACCGGGTGACACCCGACCTCGCTACGCCACTGATTACATACATTAGTAAAATGCAGACATTTTATATATTTACTAAACTAACCTTTTCGCGGTGTTATCAAGAGCATGAAGTTGCTAACATTACTCAACAGCTCACATCTTAGCGTCACATTAGCGCTTTGTTCGACGTTCAACGAACCCTTTTGCCCGTTGACGGTGAAGTTGGCGATGAGTGGCATTGCTAAAAAAGTTATTATAAACTCAAGATATTTACTACAGATGTCATATCATAACTCAAATATAATAGTATATATAATATTAACGAGTGATTAATGAGTGTTTGGCTGGTCAACTGTGTGGTTAAAAATCAACACTATTTTAGACTATGATATAACTTAGCTAACGATACGTAACCAGATTACAATTGTGGACTAATGAATTATTCCTATTGCTGTGGAGTCACACACTGTGGATTAATGTAGTTATGTATTATGTGCAGAGGCGTAGCGAGGGGGCGGGGGTGGCGGGGGGTGCGGACCGCACCGGGAGACACCATTTAGGGGGGTGACACCAAGGCAAAAAATAGCAAAATATATAGAGGAAAACTTGAAGGGGGTGTGCAAATCAATAGTTTGAGGGGGGTGCAAATCGAAAATTTGAGGGAGGGGGGTGGTGCAAATCGAAAGTTGGAGGGGGGGGGGGGGTGCAATTCGAAAATTTGAAAATTTCTCCCCGGGAAGGGTCGATACACCTCTGGGGGTGGGGGTGACGCCATTAGGATCCGCACCGACCTCGCTACGCCATGATTATGTGTAATGCTGTAGCGACTACTTACATTTCTTCACCACCCCAACCTCTACAAATTGTCCAACAGGAATAGGGCCGATGTTGAGGTAGTTGAAAGGTACGCACGTGTAGATGTTGTAGAATGCTGACGTTGCTATAAAACTTCTTTTTGAATATTTAACATCAACCTGTAAGTCGTAGCCTTCTGCCAGATCAACTGTTTTATAAGGAAAAATTACGCAAAAGTGTAGTAGGCCTATATATATATATATATATATATATATATATATATATATATATATATATATATATATATATATATATATATATATATATATATATATATATATATATATATATATATATATATATATATATATATATATATATATATATATACGTGTGTGTCTGTATGTGTGTTTGTGAATGCGTGCGTGTGTATATGAACATACACTAGTGTTTTATTGTAGTCAATATGAAACAATTTATAGCTGTACTCAATTCATGAGAAAATTAGAGCATTGTTGCAACAACTATTCTAACGGAAACATACAGGAAACCGTTGCTCTGTCGCTACACAGAAGACAAAACACTCCTTACTTCTGTGCATGCCTACTATCGAGACCTGTGGGGCGGGGTTCCCATCAGCCTCACACACCAAATCGACGCGCCTGGAGTTGGTCACGTTGTAAAAACCCTGGACACCGTTGGCGCGGAGACTTGTGATGACCCCCTCGTCTGTGTGATACAAATGTGAAGTTATGATCACTCTTCGAGACTGACACTGCTTTAGTTTTTAATCCGGATGGTCTTCTTCGTTCTAAATAACATATATTGGAAGGGATATTTCTCCTAAACAATTAAATATTTGGTGTTAACATGTTATGTGACACACTGTCCGTTGACTCCAAATTCAGACTACTTTTCTTTCTAGATTTGCTTCCTAAGCCTTTGTACAGGCAATAACAAACTGCTAGTTGTTTGATTTTTGAGTTTTTTCTTATAGATGTGTTGATGTCCCCAGCTAAAAAGCCAATAGTTACATTTAAATACTATAACAATATAAATGTAAGCAAAAAACGAAAAAAAAATGTTGCCCTTTGAATAACTTACACCTAACGTCCAGTAGGATGGTTGAGTTCAGATGATAGAGTCCAGTCACATGACTGGCGGTACAAACACAGGTTTGCTGGTTGTAGACTTTGTTGTAAGGGATGGTGAAATCTCCGGTGTAGTTGAGTACTGTTCTAGTGTAGGGGCCGCACTGGAATGTGATTTGTTGCACACGGGGATATCCATCCATCACTGCACAACTGACCGTCCTGTTAGATTCCATTATTAGAACCTCGCCATCAGACAATTTTTGTTTCCCAATAGAAATTGTGGGAGGAGTTTGTGGAACGTATGGCTGGACTTAAAAAAAAATATTTTACGCAAAATTTTTTAAATCTAGTTAAAATAACAGAAAATTTGGTAAAACACTAAATATTTAGAATAATGAAAATGTAGTTTACCATTATATTCAATGTAGAAGCTTGTGGTCCTGTTATACAACCCTGTCACGTGATTAGGTCTACAGGTACAGTTGCCGTGTCCCTGACCTTGGACATCCAGCATGAGGTCATCGTCAGGCTCCAATGTAGAACTTTTGTAGCCGTTAGATGTAGAACACGTGATTGTGTAGTTGCTGATTGGTGGGTTCCCATCAGGCACATTACATCGTATGTTGGTTATGTACTTGTTGGCCTGGTGGCTGTATGTGATGCCAGGCTTTATGGGCTGTCCTTCAATAGTGGCCACAGGAACTTGTTCAGGAACATCTATCAAACAAGAGAGTATATATATATATATATATATATATATATATATATATATATATATATATATATATATATATATATATATATATATATATATATATATATATATGTATAGTATGTATGTATATATATATATATATCACTTTTTTCGCATTTATGTATATTAATTTGATTTCTTTTAAGTACCATTTTATTCTGGCAAAATTTAATATTTTACACATTTTGTAAAACGGTGATACATAATCCAACAATTTCTTACATTGAATATTCAATATAAATGTGAAGTCTGTATAGTTTTCTACTGAAGCGAACCGTAGATAGCAGGTGCATAGAATTTTATCCGAATATTTGTTGTACGGCACCAAAAACACGCGTTGTTCATCTCCTGGAACTTTCAGACCTCGGCACACAAGTTCCACGCCTGTAGCCAGATCTGTGTCACGTGGTTCCCTACACTCAACACGGGCCACTGTCTCGTTGGTTGAGCTGGTGTAGGGAAGTGTAAACTCATCTCCGTCAGTCAAACTCTGACCGTCAACTCTAACATCTGGAGGTGCAGGCTGTGCTACAGCTAAGATAATGGACAGAAAGATCCATATTTGCATAATTGCAGGCAGTTAATATAGTATAGTGTTAGTTATCTCACAAGTCAAAGACAGTTACAAATACTATGGACGTTTCAACCCAAGGTCTTCGTCAGCACACAACATTGTGGTTACAGATTAAAAAGACAAACACTAATTGAATTAACCTCACTGCAGCGACCATTTGTATTTGTCAGTTAATATAGAACCTACTTTTTAAAAGTATCAATTCTTTATTCCTGACACTGGATTATTGTAGCCATTATTATAATCGATTTCAAGTCATAATAGCCTTCTTAGTTACTGACATAAACCTAATAGCAACAAAAATACACATATATTTAGGGGCCGCCTGAGTACGTCTAATATAAATAAATATTTATATATACAGCCTATATATATATATATATATATATATATATATATATATATATATATATATATATATATATATATGTATATATATATATATATATATATATATATATATATATATATATATATATATATATATATATATATATATATATATATATATATATGGTATTATTCAACTATTCATAAATGTAAATAAAAATTAAATTACCTGAGGCAGAAAATAAAATTACCACTGAGAACCAAATGATAACCATTTTACTTTTATCGAGATTAGGCCACCCCCGTCTTGGTTCATATGAAGAAGACGATAAAGATATTTTTTTCAAATTTTACACTTTACCAAACGGAACTACCATTCCACTTCACTACATCTATAACACCTACGAGACGAGTTTTACCTGAGCAATAGCATTACCTGTTCAAACATGTGTAGGTAACCACATACTCCAAACTAAAGGTAAACAGTACCTTTTATACGCTTGCATTCCTTCATTGGGTAATCGAAACTTCTTTAGATGATTAAAAAATCTTCACGTTTGAACGAAATTTTGTGTTAGTCATAAGATGAGTTTTAGTTACTGGTACGGAAAAAAAATCAGTTTTTGGTGTTTATCAACAGTAGTGATAGAGTCACACTGAGCTAACCCAGGGGCGAAGCGAGGGGGGGGGGGTGCGGACCGCACCGGGTGACACCATTTTGGAGGGTGACATCAAAAAAATAGCAAAATATATAGAGAAAAGTGATAATTCCACTTAATTCGAGTGTTAAATAGTCTTTTAAGAGGTGCAAATCGAAAGTTTGAAGGAGGGGGGGGGGTGTGCAAATCGAAATTTGAAAGTTAGTCGCTACGCCTCTGGGGGGAGACACCATTAAGTGCCACTGAGCTAACCAGGTTATGCTTCTTCACTGGCATTGGTAGTTCAACTTTAGAGAGAGTGCAACACGACAGCCGTATAAACTTGTTTTATAGTTAGACGGGTTTTAATATTAGTACTACTAAAAGAGGTAGGAAGAGTATAGATTTCATGTCTTTAGATACGTGTCTTTCATATATTTGTAAGGATGGATGTTTAAATAGCTGATCAAACACGCCATTGAAACTCTTGTCCTTGGACTGGAAAATGTAGAGTGAAACCAAAACCACAAGCAAACATTGTATGGCAACCACTCCATGTATGGCAACCACCCTATGTATGAAAGCCAGCCCTGTATGACAACCAGCCCTTATTACAACTAGCCATGTATTACAACCAGCACTATGACAACCAGCATTTATGACAACCAGCCCTTATGACAACCAGTCCTTATGAGAACCAATCTTATGACAACCAACCTTTTGACAACCAGCCCTGTATGACAACCAGCCCTGTATGACAACCTGCCCTTATGACAACCAGCCCTTATGAAAACCAACCCTTATGTTTACCAACCCTTATGACAACCAACCTTTTGACAACCAGCCCTGTATGAAAGCCAGCCCTGTATGACAACCAGCCCTTATTACAACTAGCCATGTATTACAACCAGCCCTTATGACAACCAGTCCTTATGAGAACCAATCTTATGACAACCAACCTTTTGACAACCAGCCCTGTATGACAACCAGCCCTGTATGACAACCTGCCCTTATGACAACCAGCCCTTATGAAAACCAACCCTTATGTTTACCAACCCTTATGACAACCAGCCCTGTGTGACAACCAGCCCTGTAAAACAACCAGCCCTGTAAAACAACCAGCCCTTATTACAACTAGCCATGTATTACAACCAGCCTTTATGACAACCAGCCCTTATGACAACCAGCCCTTATAACAACCAGCCCTTATGACAGCCAGCCCTTATAACAACCAGCGTTATGACAACCAGCCCTTATGACAACCAGCCCTTATAACAACCAGCGTTATGACAACCAGCCCTTATGACAACCAGCCCTTATAACAACCAGCGTTATGACAACCAGCCCTTATGACAACCAACCTTTATGACAACCAGCCCTTATGACAACCAGCCCTTATGACAACCAGCCCTTATAACAACCAGCGTTATGACAACCAGCCCTTATGACAACCAACCTTTATGACAACCAGCCCTTATGACAACCAGCCCTTATAACAACCAGCCCTTATGACAATCAGCCCTTATAACAACCAGCGTTATGACAACCAGCCCTTATGACAACCAGCCCTTATGACAACCAGCCAGTATGACAACCTGTCCTATACACAAATGTTTAAATAAAATCATTTTACTGTTGCTGTGCCAGTGTAATACAGATGTTAATTCTGAAATACAGTCTTTATAGTCCATATTATCCAGATCGAAAACTGTCCAATGTAAGGATACTTTGATTGGGGAAGACTAGACAATGTGGGGGTTAAGTAAATCAATCAGCCTAAATACTTGCAAATGCAACTGGTCGATATTTCTTTTATGTGATTTATTAACATTACGATGAAATCGATATTTCTGTCTTCACGTAATGTGTTGATCGAATTTTTTAAATAAATGCACAAAATGGTATCAATATTGTTAGATTTTATTCAAATAAAATTACAGCATTGATTTAACAACAAGCATTTATTTATTTATTTAAAATCTGATTATAGATGCTATAAAATAGAATAAAAAAGCTACTTGTATGGAAAATAACCAATTTAATACAGCAGAGCTTGTCTCTACTGCAAGATTACCTAGCGTCAAGAGAGACTAAAATAACTGCTGCCTAACAAACATGCAGCATAAGGCAGCATTTGACTCCTGAGTACGTCATATGCACGCTCCTGACTATCACGCCGGAAGTTGGTGTGAGTCTGCGTCATAAGGGACTTATTCTGTTGGCCAGGTCAAGGTCACATAGAGAAGGACAAGAACTGCATATTCTAGAACATTCCAAGTCCTAACATTAACACCACTGTTTTTCAACTGCTTCGTTGCTTGGGTACCTTTTTATTAGAAACAAATAATTTTTTATTAATGGTTTTATTTTCTAAATATCCTAAATGTATACTACGTTATGAAATACAGTATAACTTTAATGTTAAAATAAATAGTTTTTTCACACCAACATAAAATAGCCTTCTATTATTTAAATAACCACTAAAAACAAAAAGTGCATAGCCTCTCATTCGCTCTTGACTTAATATAATCTGTTTTCTTATATTTTAAAATAAAACACTACGATTTAATTTTTTTTTTCGAGATAAAAGTAAGACAAATGCTAGAATCATATCTAGCGTCGGATTAAAGTTATCGGGTCAGGTTTATGGTTTAGTGTAGGTCTAGTTAACAGTACCAGTTATGAAATGAAATATTAAGAAGAGACGCGTCATCAAATACTCGTAAAGTGTTTACCTTCTAGGCTTAAACTGAAGGTAGTGCTCATGTTATACCGGCCGGTCACGTGACTAGCAGTACACACACAAGTTCGTCCAGTGACTGACGTGTTGTATGGGACGGCAAACGTCTGGGTGTATGTTGTAGCGGTCTGCACGATGTGCTCACACGTCAGGGTCACACTGCTCACCCTCGGCTCACCCCCATCGACCTGACATTGAATGTTCACGATGTTGGACGACGGTGACAGCTTGACCGTCTGTCCGTCTGTCACGGTTTTGTTGTATACAACAATCACGGGTGGGCGTTCTGGTGGCTCCTTGACACCTGCGGTTTGAAATTTGAATCAAAAGAAAAATATAAAAAGTGAGCATAATCGTCCTTCTCCAGCTACTGATAGTGTTTTAAAGCAAAATATTTTCAGTCGCAGCATTGGTAGTGTTGAATTCACAAATTATGAATTACTGAAAAGTAGAAAATAAAACACTAAATTGCCGCGTAGGCCTATGCTTACGGCGCGGGTCAGCTCGTATTTTATTATTCCTCTAACACAATTGGTTACCAGATTAATATAATCAGAAAAATCGCTGTCTCTTATATTATGTTTGCATTATAGATAACTAGCCCATACATTGGTGTATTATTTGCGGCTAAAGAAAAAGCCTAAAGTAAGTGTACTATATTTCAATGCCAAAAACCCTAGGGTTCTTTTAATAACAATACATATATAATTATACGCTAATCAAAGTTAATTCTAATTTAAATAGTATAAATGAGTTATTTATAGTACATGAAGGTCTATTTGCGTTGCAAAATATTTAAGCCAGATTTTTATATACCCTAGTGGGGTAAATTATCTCATTCGTAGTCTTCGCTCCTCTTTTACAATTTTCCCTTAGATGCACCCCCCCCCCCCCCGTTCCCATCTTTGTAATTTTACCCTATTAAACAATGTGTGGTCAGTTATTTTTACGATATTTCCTCACCCCGTAAATGGTATGACACCCACAGCGTACCTGCACCCCCTACCCTCACCCTGTGATTCTTATGCTCGGGAAAAAAATACTTGACTTACAGACGACCTTCATCGACTTTGTTTCCGTCATTAAATTTGGTTGCTTAGCAATGCATTCATACGTCTCGTCCTCAACACAGGGAATAGCTAGACTAACTCCAGATGATACGTTCTTACTCAAACCTTGGAGCAAGGTGCCTGTTGAGAAATGTGTTCTATTAAAATAAATAGGATAACAGTATAACGAAAATAATGCCACAAATACAGTCCAGAGGCAAAAAATGCCATACAGAATTGAGTGTAGTTGTCGGTTCTGTAAAGGAATGTATTTTGTGTTGTCATTGGCTTGATTTATATAGGCAAGGTGCTATGAATTAGAAAAAAAAAATTATACGAGAAACACAGACTAACGGTTAAAAAAAATAAGTTTAAAGTCAGCATGAAAATCTGCAGTTTGTTACGTATCATGTAATTGACTTTGATTGTTAATACATTTCTATTTACACTTAATCACATAATACATCCATAAACATCTCCATACAATAAAAATAAAATCATATTTTACCGCTCGCGCCAAGACAAAAGGGGCAGATGCAGTAGAGTTAAAAAAAATTCTTAAAATAACTACCTGAACTATTGGCTATCAGCGTCCATTCTGTGTTTGCTATACTCTCGTACGGGCTACACTGAAGTCTAAATATAGCATTAGCCTTGACATTTAAAGTTGAGCTCACGCCATTGGCTGTAAAATTAGCAATCAAAGCCGTCGCTGAAATAAGCAGAAAATAAACGTGGTCATTGAGATAAATATTGAGTGGCTTAAAATAAATACAATATGCAAAGCTGCGTAATCATTATATTTTAATTATCTTTTTTTAAATATTTATATTCGCAAAATAGTGAATACCTGTTAATAATAGTTTTGTTATTCATTAAAATAAATTATTAGCAGATATTTTAGATTATTTGCACAATCATACTTTTATAATAAGTCCATCTGTTCCTCAGCATAAAATATGACAATAATCAGGAGTTTAAAAATAATTAGAGATAATTTTTACTTGATATCGATGTGAATAGAAGGATAGCTTTGTTCCCTTACTTGACGCCAAAGTGCTAAAGTGAAACTTTACTCACATTCTAATTTAAGACTGAACAAAGTGTTCTTGGTGTACAAGCCAGTCACATGACCAGCTGTACACACACACGTCATTGCACTGGCTGATGTGCTGTAGTTCAGCGTAAACAATTTCCTGTTTCCGGTAGCGGTGTAGATGTCATTTCCACATGTCATGGTGACATTTGACACCTGAGGGTCACCTCCCTCCACCCTGCACAAGACGTTGACCTCCCTCCCTGACGGGTCAAGCTTGACCTCCTCCCCGTCTGTGATAGTTTTATTGTAGACAACAATCACTGGAGGGGAATCTGGTGGGTAATCCGTACCTGGGAGTATAAAGCCTCAGATATGGCTAATCTATCTTGAAAATGAAAGGCGATTAAAACAAATGTAACTATTTTAGAATAAGCTATATTGATTGAAAAGTAACTTGTAGAATTATTGTTTTGCTTCGATTTGTATTTTTTAAGTCAAACTGCGGTATGTTAAATGTTATTTAATATTCTACTGTTTTATTTATTGTATATACAATTGTAGTTTTTGTATTTTAGCTTCTGCAAAAGTTGTGTTATGTTAAACTGAAATAAGATGTGTTGTTTGGCTATAAAAATCAGAGCTAAGACAAAGCTGGTAAATCATTGGTGTATCAGGCAGGTGACATCGAAATGTACCAATGTCGTTTACGTTGTTTTACTAAAGACTAAAGTTGTTTACGTTGTTTTACTTGTGACTAATGTTGTTTATTACCTTTATTTTACTAATGACTAATGTTTACGTTGTTTTACTAGTGACTAATGTTGTTTACGTTGTTTAACTAGTGACTAATGTTGTTTACGTTGTTTTACTAGTGACTAATGTTGTTTGCGTTGTTTTATTAGTGACTAATGTTGTTTACGTTGTTTTACTAGTGACTAATGTTGTTTACGTTGTTTTACTAGTTACTAATGTTGTTTACGTTGTTTTACTAGAGACTATTGTTGTTTACGTTGTTTTACTAGTGACTAATGTTGATTACGTTGTTTTATTAGTGACTAATGTTGTTTACGTTATTTTACTAGTGACTAATGTTGTTTACGTTGTTTTACTAGTGACTAATGTTGTTTACGTTGTTTTACTAGTGACTAATGTTGTTTACATTGTTTTACTAGTGACTAATGTTGTTTACGTTGTTTTACTAGAGACTATTGTTGTTTACGTTGTTTTACTAGTGACTAATATTGTTTACGCTGTTTTGCTAGTGACTAATATTTTTTACACTGTTTTACTAGTGACTAATATTTTTTACGCTGTTTTACTAGTGATTAATATTTTTTACACTGTTTTACTAGTGACTAATATTTTTTACGCTGTTTTACTAGTGACTAATATTTTTACGCTGTTTTACTAGTTACTAATGTTGTTTACGTTGTTTTACTAGTGACTAATATTGTTTACGTTGTTTTACTATTGACTAATGTTGTTTACGTTGTTTTACTAGTTACTAATGTTGTTTACGTTGTTTTACTAGTGACTAATGTTGTTTACGTTGTTTTACTAGTGACTAATGTTGTTTACGTTGTTTTACAAATGAATAATGGCACTCACAATCCACCTGGACATTAACGGATCTGACGTCATTGACGAAACCTGGAGCCTGTGCCACACACTCATAGATGTCAGTACAGCCACATGCGGCGGTCAGTTGGTAGGTTTTCACTAGCCCAGGGGCGGAGTAAAGGCTTGGTGTACAGGATCCTGAAGGTATGATGGATTCAGTTTAGTTATCACTCTTCATATAAAAGCTGAACGTGTGTTTAAGTTTAAAAGTACAAAAAATAGTAAGATATATTACAAGAATCATTTTAATATGTAGAGGCTTCTGATGTAATTAATATAACTGTATTATTTTTTTTATAATTTTACAGATTTTAAATGTAAACAGTCACCTTTTCTTGCCCTAACTGACCACGTGACACTCCCCACACCACCAACTGGTTGACATGTAAATGTGACAACCGTTTGTTTCCTAATGTTCAACAAGTCGGCTCCACCATTGGCCGTAAAGCTAGCGATAATTGGCGCGGCTACCCAAGAGAACAAACAAAATGTATTAGAAAAAGTTCAAGTTATAAATTGTTGTAGCTAAACAGTATTTCTTCCAGACTTTTTTCTCCAGGGGGGGCACTTGAAATTTTCGGGGGGGGGGGGGGGCGGTAAACTTTCTTCGGGGGGGGGACACTGTTAAAAGTATATGTTTTCGATATAAATTATATAAATTTCATTTCGTTCGGGGGGGGGGGGCGGTAAATAATGTTCGGGGGGCCCCGAAGAGATGCCTGGAAGAAACTCTGTAGCTAAAGAGGTTTAAATAAGTAAAATATTGAGAAAATTTGATAAAATTTGTTACCAATAAGTTATGAAGATCAAATGTAATGGTAGTAACTAAATATGTATTTAAGAAAAGATAACTCACAAGATTTAACGAACCCAATTTCTACGTATCGGCTTTCTAATTTTGTTTGATCGTTCAAGTAATTAGATGCCGTACAGACATACACGCCGTAGGTTTGGGTTGTGATGGTAAGATTCCTCCTAGCGGTCAAACCTTTACCGCTATATAACAGAGTGCCTGGCAATGGACGCAAGGTGAAACTTATTGAATGAAATTCTATTTTTAAAATGTGGCTGTGATTTCCACAACAGATACATTATTAACATTTTGAAAAAATGTGGAAATTACGTATTATAATATTTCGAAAACATGATTATGCAAGGAAAATTTGAAATAAGAAAACAAACATTAAATTATGAACTCTTTTTAGGTAATTATCGCGCAATCATGGAAGCTAAGAATATATTCACAAAAAAAGAGAAGTATGTGTCAACTGATAATTTTTTCTCAGACTAAAAAACATAAATTAGACTTAAATATTGTTGAAAAGTTAGCTCAAACATTATGTAAATTTAAAGGAATTAATAAATTTTATACAAATGTTATAGCATCTTCCTATGCAGTATTCTATTACTAAGTTTAAGAAATCCTTTAGAATTTATACTAATCGGTTACAGTGTAGCATTTAACAAACTAACCGACTACCTAATTTTTACACGAATAAAACATTGTTTTTAATCAAATAGAACCCCAGCATCCAGTTGTTTTTTTTTCTTTGAATCCTTGAAGTAACATACCCAGCCTACCTGTGTTTAAAGACTGAATTGTGACATTAGGAGCTGGGTTCCCGTCAGCCTGGCATAGCAGTTCTACAACAGATGTGTTACTCACATTCAGGAAACCTTCAACACCATTCACCTTCAAACTTGTTACTGAGGCAGCGTCTGCGAGATATTTGTACGTCGACATAAGTGATTTTTTTAAATGCATTAATTCGAAACGCTATTGAGTTGAGCATACAGGTGTTCGTTCGTTTTTTGTTTTTTTTACATTGGACGATGCATCTGTTTTGTTCACATTTGAGCATATCGGCACCAAACTAGTGAATAAATACAATTGGTGTTAATAATAAATACATGACTGGTATGACATTTGAATTTTGTAATCACCCTCAGTATTTATGATCTGGTAACCAGCATATTAATGAATAGCAATTGTCAATCGTATTCAAATCCCCCGTTCCTTGCCCATAATGACTTTTTTCTTCTTTCTTTTATTTTTTATTTTATTTTTATTTACCTATTAGACTGCCTAAAATATATAACATTTCTAACTAAAAAGAATTTTAAAAATACAACTACAAGACATTACTTACACGTAACATTCAAGACGATGGTTGTGTTTAAGTTGTACTTTCCTGAGATGTGTTTACCAGTGCAGACACACGTTTGTTGGTTGTAAGTTTTGTTGTATGGGATTGTAACGTTCATCCACATATACTGTTTGGTCGCCATCAATAAGCTTCCACACCTGAATGTTACCTCGTAGACTGCTGGGTTACCTTCTCTCACGCCGCATTGAACAGTTAAATCAGCATTCATTGGTACTGTTTTACCGTCGTTCATATTTCTATAGTCAATAGAAATATAAGGAGGGGTCTGTGGTGTATACGGTTGCACTGAAATGTAGATACATAATCAGATTATTTTAAATAAATCAGTGTTGCTTAAAACTCTAAAATACGATATTTGCACCTACAATATAAAATATTATTTGAATTTACTGCTTACCTATGTAATCTATCAAGAAAATGACCGTCCTTTTATACAAGCCAGTGACCTCGGCTGGTACACATGTGCAATATATTGTCCCTGTGTCATACACAAATTCAATAACAATAAAATTTGGTGCAACCGTGATTGATTCACGTTGATCACAGTTAATCGTGTAGTTGCTAATTCCTGGATTGCCGTCCTTTACCTTACAACTTATATCGACGGTTGATTTGTTCACATGATGTATGTATGTTTCAAAGGGTTGTATGTATTTCCCTTCTATGGTTACCACAGGCTCTGTTTCTGGAATATCTATCAAGTTAGACAAGTATCAACATGAAAAATATAACTAGCCCTGAGTCAGTCTAAATAAAATAAAACCAAATTGTAAAAACTATATCGAGTTACATTTAAACTTAGAATCTTTAAACAGATGTAGACTTACACTCTACATTAAGAAAGACAGTACTCATCTCGCTGTATGCCCCAGACGCATATCTTACATAACAAGTGCAGTTTTTCCCGTTCGCTGTTTTGTTGTAGTTGATTACTGTGGCTTGTATTGTGGGCCTAGAACCGTAGCATTGCAGTGTTTTGCTCTCGACTTGTCCGCCTTGATCGGGTCCCATACAGTCAACACTTGCTCTTGAATTGGCGGTAAACACATCGTAAAAGAGTGTAACTGTGTCGCCATTATCATAAATTACGTTGTTCACAATAATTTCAGGCGTAGATTTGCTCATGACTACGGTTGCAGCTATAGTAACATATGAATAAATAAATAAATAGCTATATCATATATATATATATATATATATATATATATATATATATATATATATATATATATATATATATATATATATATTGATTATTTCGTTTTAAACTAATATATACATTCCACTTAATTAGATAGTTTCAATTTTACTAAGTCAATTTTATCCACTATTATTTGTTGTTTTCTATTCCCCTCTTCCTCTACTTCCTCTACTTAACATTTCAAAACTCACCCAAAGAAATAAAAATGATTCCGATCATAAAACGGATAAGCTCACACGCCATGACCTTGAAATCCTGGTATTTCTAGTATTTTAAGTCTAAGATCGACTCCTTCAAAACTTCCACTGTTTATGGACTAGCTCAACATTTCAGTTTTAGCGAAGGTTGGTCTTTCAACTTTGTCTTAAATTTATCTTCTCGCTGATTGGCTAACGCTTGCCAAGACTCGGGTATTCCTATCAAATGTAAACTTTTGGGGATATGGAAACCTATTTATTCTTTCTCTTTACTTTGTAAAGCGTATTTTATCCCTGTTTCCGCCCTTCCGTTCTTTTGTATCTTAACTTTTGAAAGCTGCGTGAAGGCTGCCGTACAAAAAACGATGCTAGGTGTTAAATTTCTATTAACATTTAGGTTTCACTAAAGTTAGCAACGCCACATCCCCGGGGAGGGGGGGGGGAGAGGACTGAGAAGACTCAAAATATAGCTGACAGGCTGGCACGCACAAAATAATTACCTCAGACCTCATAACAAACTAACAGAACGAGCAATAAAGAAGAACTGTGTAGATTGATATTAGATTGAATCGACTGTATTATTAGCTAACTCTAATTTTTAGAAGACATAAAAAAGCATTTGCTATGTTCGCTGTTTGATATTGCATTAGAATCTGAATGTCGTCTTGGTACTTGGTGAAAGGGGGGGGGGGGTGGAGGCAGAGACAAATATACCTAACATAAGTATAGAATACAATACGATTGTGATACAAAATTATTCTTAAGGCCAACTGGACGAGTAAGTTAGTGTATGGCTAGATACCTCAGACCATGTTTCAATGACATCTCTATATAAATATGTATTCAGTTCTAAACATCCTTAGACAAATTATTATTTTTGTTAACAATGAAAGTCGTTTCTGAAGATATGTTTAAGTAGTTTTATTAAATGTATTTTAACGCTTTTCCCCCGAGTCTTGTACCGTTTACTCTAGGAAGTCTGATACAAAAAGTTAAGTTCCACCTGTCTCAACAGCACTTTTAAAAAAACTGTTTGATGTCTCTCTATTGACAGAAATTAGGGCTAGACACAGGATGTCACGTACTAAAGGGCAAGGGGTGGGGAAATTATGGTGGGGGTGGAACTTTGGCTAAATTAATGTCAGAAATTTGAAGTTTGTTAGTGAGGTATTAATGTCGGCCATGTGAAGGTGTCTAGTGAGGTATGTCTCAGCAAATGAGATAATGAGGTTTAATGTGTCTCATCCTGTGGAGAAACGCTGAAGACTCGGAATTTCCAATAATAAAAATAAAAGATAAAAATAGAAAGTACTTGAAGCAGAGCAATAACTAAATGTATCTGATATATTTTAAAGATTAAACTGTACACTTATGAAAAGATTATTGTATGTTGTATATGGTTTGATGATATTTGTAATCAATTCACCACAATTAAAAAATCAAGGCCATTAAAATTCTTACTTTGTATATCCAATGCAAATCTACTGTATTGGCTGTAGTCACCAGAGATATATTAAAGAATACAACTGCAATCAATCCGCCCCGAATACATAGAATAAGACAGTTCAAACACATCATTAGCATTGTTGTTTAACACAAAGACCATGTCTCCACACTGCAAGATCCGACTCGCCATATTCCTCGTCCCACCAGGCTCCACACAGTCCACAAGTGCCAGAGATGTGTTAGATGATGAGTTGTAAGAGATTAGGATCACTTCACCATCTTGGACGGGCTGACCGTCTACTGTTATCATTGGCATCGAACTGTTAGTTACTGTATGGTTATATAATAATGATATGGTATAAAGTTGATACAATTTTTCAAAAATCAATAATGACCAAAGTCATTAAAAAAATGTACTTTTGTGAAAGCGATATCACATACTGTGTCTGACTGTACTCATACAACACAGCAGACGACTAATAGTACTTCTTATATTGGACGTTGGGGATATTCCTTATAACAACAATAATAGTAACATTTTAACAATAATTGTTTATACGTCTGTAATTTAATGTACAACTATATAATCTATTCACGGACTATTAACAAAAACATTCCCTCACAACCAACCCCTACAGTAAATTTAAACTTAAATTTAAACATAAGTATTCTCAAGGGGTGAAATGTTTACAGCCGGTTTAAGCCATATTTATTCTAAATGATTATTTCATCAAGAACATAATTTTCAAAACAAAAATGAAATTTTATATTGTATCCTGACATATTGATTTCAAATATGTGATAATGAAATTATTTGTTATCAAGATCGATTCTCAAATGTCCCAGAATGATAAAAACACGCTTATACAAACAAATACCAACAAATCAAAATGAAGTTGTCGATTTTCAGAATTATTGCCTTATAAAACAACTCACGACAAACGTATCTATAAACTTACCTGAAAAAACAAGTGCAACCATGATTGTAAGACTGATGTAGGTGTAGATTGAAAAGTGCCTTGACTTTATACACTGACAGCTTTTAAAGATCTTGTATAGATATTGATGTAAAACTGAAGAGCAACCTAGAATTTTTATAAACTTCCTTAACATTTAAACACGAAAGGTTACCGATGATATCCGGCAGGTCGTATAAACCGACTAACTTTTGCGCTAATGCTGCATTTCTCCTTTTTATTGTGAAGTTTTTAGGTCGGGTTTGGACAACGAGCAGATGAAATATATATATATATATATATATATATATATATATATATATATATATATATATATATATATATATATATATATATATATATAATAAATGTTCACACAATCGCTAAAAATAAAATATTCTGTTTCTACAACGTCAAAAAGACAAAGGTTACTTGGGCATTTAAAATGAGTATAATGTTTTGTCCTCAGTGCAATCTTTGTCCGTTGTGGGTTTTCAGAATCGACTTATAACGTCTTTTCAGTGTTAGCTGTGACAGGTTTCAATGTGTACGATGCAGAAGCTATCTATACCAATCAAAATTTTGATTCATGTAAAGAAATTCAAAAGTAAACTGTTTAACTACAAAGAAATAGTCGTGTCATCTCTCAACGTTGTACCAGTAGACTGATAAAACTTTGGTGTCAACATTGTTTTATAATTGTACATTTTGGTTTCTTTTCTATGAACCAACTCAGTTAAAATTCTATAAATTTACTTTGGCCAAAAACTGCCACACTTGCATATTCCAATTTGGAAAAGTTGAGGGTCGATATTTACCTGTCACAGTCAGTTAACTGTATTGACTGAGCTGTTTTACAATGAATGCATTAAACAGCTAAAACTGACTATAAAGCCATGTAGCAGTTTGCATCGTGTGTCAATCAATAACGCAGCTTGTAATGAGCTGTTTAATTTTTCCCTATCTCTTTAGTAGCTCAACTACAACTGGCGCCCGCTGCGTTCGCACCTCCATCCCCCACACCTTAACTTCGCCATTGCATGTGACAACGTACTTCAAATTTTTTTTCACTTGTTTTAGATTAGTAGTAGAAGTCATGTAAAACTTTACACCCAAATTTTGATGACATGTTTTAAAGTTTTAATAAAACCTCACACGATTTTAAGAATTGTTCACAATTAACAGGCCTTTTGATAACATTACAGATCTAATGCCATTGCTGCGCGTGGCCAGAGTTTCTTCCAGGCATCTTCCAGGCTCCCCCCCCCCCCGAAGAAAGTCTACCCCCCCCCCCCCCCCGAACGAGATGGAATTTAAAAAGTAAACATATACTTTTACTAGTGTCCCGTCCCCCCGGAAAATGTTGACCGCCCCTCCCCCCCCCCCCCCCCCCCCAGAAAATATCAAGTGCCCCCCCCCTCCCCTCCCAGGAGAAAAAAGTCTTGAAGAAACACTGCGCGTGGCTCGCGAGTCCTAAAGTACATCGCAGCGTTAAACATTTTCATCAAATATGTGCGCACTGCCAAATCACGATCTTTGCAACCATAGGAAATACAGCTGTCTATTTGCACGACAAAGTATCGTTTTAAGCAAACACACGAGGCTATTAAGACGTGACATTGAGTTAATTTAAAACCAAGGCATAGCGGATCTTAAAAACATCCAGACCTTATAATTTTGACCATATTTACACTAGGTTTTCCGGATTCTCTGTTATTAAGTTCCAGGTAATGTTTACATGCTGCTGACAGTTCTGGGAAACGACGCAGGTAAAAATTGCTTTAAGTAAATGGAAGTACATGTGACAAAATGATGGTAATGAGGCATTGGCTAATCATTCCCACTAGATGGTCAGAAACATTTATCTCCAAAGTGTTTGTGTGTATTTACTTAATTAACCCAAAACAAAATAAACTTCCCCATCTTTTTGTATGGGCTTCAATTCAATCGTTTGTCCCTCGTGGTAGAGTAGCTTCCCATGAAGCAATGATCAAGCTTAAGAATAATAAATGTTGCAATGATCAGCAGTTTGTAGGGAAGATCAGATTATTCCCATATGATAAAAAAATTTGAAGAGTCCAGTGCTAAAAGTACTTAAGTCACATTTTTTTTAAAAATCAAACCAAGCATTGATCATTATTCCCCTAGTTTAACTTTATCTTATAAACAAATTGCGATACTGGAGAATTTATTTAATTTGCTCTTCGAAACAAACAAATGCAATAAAAACGTAATGTTTCATAGTAAATTTTAATCTTTGAACTCATTTTTCTCAAAATGTTTTTGTGACTTAAGTACTTTTAGCACTAAGGTCTTCATTTAGACCATCAAAGGAATCAACATCCGTTCATGTAAAGATTAATTTCCGTTACGTTTGGGTTTGCTGAATATATATTTTTATACTACATTATTATTATTTTAAAAAAACTCTATATCTTCAATGTGGTTACCTTTCATCTACAGCCACTTATTCGTACTAAGTGTGCTTTAAAGACAATAGTATTAAAGTTTACATTGAATGCTGCAAGAAATGACGGCTGACTTTCCGTATGTCGTTAGTTGTAGCATCGGTTAAGGACCTTGTTTAAAAATAATTGATAATACATATTTTAATATCTGCAATTTCAAGTAATTTAAAATGTACGTTCGTTATTGAAAAGCTACAGTCTTGTAAATTCGACAAATGTTGCTGTTTTTTTTTTAAATCTAATATCCGACAACTGTCAAAACACCCCTGACATTAAGGCACGCGACAATGTCGCACAGGACATTTTGTTTTAATATAACGACTCATAACCATTGTGTCAACAACAGTTTGAGCCAAGGTAAAATGGCCCACGACAAAATAGCCCCTAACAAATTGTTACCTTTAATTTAAAATAAAACGGACAATAGTTTTTTAGTTTCGCCACAGATGGTAACTAGATCATCTGATGTAAAAGTCACTTAGTAAAATTGTTTTGAAATAGCATATACGATAACAGTACACAAATATTATCCACATCTACGTCTTGTAAAATGGAAGCCTGCAGTTCTACCAAACGAAAACTACTCTCTGTTTCAGGGAATTTGTACAGTTTATCTGGATAGTTCTCTAAATTTAAAAAAAATACAAATTAATATTTAGAAGCATAAAGTGTAAGATTGTATTAAACGCTTCTTTCAATATTATTTTAAATTAAGCTACTCAAATACTTCTTGTTCGGTTAAAAAAATTGTTATGGACATTTAAGTTTAAAACTAAAATGATTATATTAATTGGAAATGAAAAATATTATGGTTTTTTAATCTGATTTAGAATGATCTTATTTAATTTGAGTTTTGATTTGATTTTGTTTTTTAATTAAGAGTGTTAAATATTTGTTTTGTAAGGGACATATTTTAAATGGCAGGTCATTTTGCTGTACTTAAATATTTCAAACATTTAACAAAAACAGTATTATATATTTTACAAACATCTTTAGGAATCACATAAAACGTAAGCTTGTGAATCATAAGGTGACTGACTTAGTAAACAATCTTCAGACTGTCCTCCCCAGGACTATCGATATCAACAACAGGATATGCGGGATTAATTCGATGTTACCAGAGTTAGCCATTGAGTATCATTCGCCTGCATTCGTTTTAAACAGATGACAATACCTGCGGTGGTTCTGTCGACGTTCCTGGTGGTAGCATAGCTACACTCTACCTCACCCTTATGAAAGGTAATCAAAGTACCCTCAAGGTTTTCATACAGCACCCCCATGGGGCGTCCCGGCGTTAGGTTGACCAAACCCACACCCAAACTGATAAGATCCAAGAAATGTGCTGACATTGTTGACTCGAGTTCTCATCCAACAAACACTATAAACTTGGTATCTAGTATTATCTTATGGCGTTAACAGATACCCTGATACTCCTACTGCATCACACACAGAAGTGGGATGTAATGCCAGTCTTAGTAAATTACTGAATTGTCTTTTGCTCTCTTCCTATTCCCAACATACAGTTATTATTTTGGGAACGCACGGCTTATGCGCTATTTTATAGTTGAAAATACATATTGAGTTAAAACGACACTTTGAATTATTTTCCAAATTCAAACCAAATTAACATGAATAATAAGTTTTCTTTCTTCCTATACGGTAGCAAAGCGCGGCATGCAAGCTAGTTATATTTCAATACATTGGATGCCTCACTTTTGTATTTCTAACACTACAGATAACAAATAAAGAATGATGACAACGAATATTTTGATGCTTTATGAGTTTAATAATAAAACCAGATAAAATGATTTAAATATTTGGATTCCATATTCCATAAAGACGGTCACAGAAAGCTGTCTCATGATGTAGACCAGACGAGGATTGTCCTGCCCAGGACTAGTAATGTCATCAACAGGACATTGCCGATTACAGCTCTGACGCCTGAGTTACCTTTTTTAAAAGAGAAAATAAGAATTAGAATTAACAATCGTAATAAACCTAATAAAATAATATAAAAATAGAACCAGTTTTTTTTTGTTTTGTTTTGTTTTTTCTTAAAAAAAAGAATAGTTTATAGGTTGTGAAAGAAAATTAACAATAATTCATGGATGCTTTTCATTTCCTTAGCTTTTGATAGTAATAAGTTACATATTTTATATATACTTTATTCGCCAACGCGTAGTCGTGTAATCTTCTGTATCATTTTAGGCTTAGGTTAAAGTTTTTGGTAAGGCTAAGACTAAAATACTTTGAAGGTCTATCCTTTGTTCTTTACTTTCAGTTTATACGTTTGAATGTGCATTGAAAAATATGGTCAAGTCATTGTGGCATTCTGAAAACTCTAAAAATTACTAGAAAAATTAGAGACAAACATTGCGATCTTCAATTTTAAATCACGTTTGTTAGCATATGATTTGCAGGATTGTTCATGTAACAATCGATCATGTTACGAAGAGCTACAATCGATTTGAAAGCAAATACTTCAGTTTCTAAGACAGGGGTTTCCTAACTTTAACAAAAAGTTATAAGTAGTGGAGACAGGAAAGAGTTATCGGCAAATCGCTATTCAAATAAGTATAATAATTATGGGCTGTCAACTAGTAATTCATTTTAGCATGAAAATAACGTTTTGGGGTCCGGATGTAAAAATCAAAGAAACTTTCGCAATGTATCGGTTAGCCCGCCGTTAAATTTAAAAATTCAAATGTTAGTTTGAAAATAGTCTAAATAACGACATCTCGCTTCTTGGAAGTGTGAATGGTTTGTGGTAATATGCTAAGAATAACTATAATTATTTGAAAACTACTTGTGTAAAAGTACCTAAATCTTTGTAAAAACATTATTACATGAAAGCTAAAGCTTTTCTAACTACTTTTAAATGTGATCATACTAAATGCAATTATTTTATTAAGAATTTTTTAGTCTGCTGTAAGATCGACAAAACTCGGCATTTACTGTAGAGATGGTTTTTTTTTTAGAATTAAAACTTGAAGTAACTATCGTTCGTATACTAGATTTCCGTATATTTTACCTGCGGCGTTACATTAAAAAAAAAACACCTTACCAATTTCGATGAAGAAATATGCGCCTTTGTCATATAAATAGGACATATCTGAATCCGTGGTGCAGGTACATTTTGCCCCGTCATAGTATCTGTTGTACGTCAGTTCAAATGTTCCGCTGTATTCGTTGATGGTGTAGGACAAATCACGACATTTCATTGTGACACTGCGCGCATCAGTTGTTGCTGTACATTTGATTAGGACTTTATTGACAAACGGTGACAACCTTACCGTTTGTCCATTCGCCACTGTCGTGTTGTTTATAACAATTACAGGTGGACTTTTTGACTCAAATGCTTTACCTGGAGAAAAACGTATTATATAGTTGCCTTATTGCATTGACTGTTTTGTTTTAAAACCTAAAAGTCACAGAAATAAAGCGAATTTTAAAAAAAACTACTTACACGAAACGGTAATCAGCACTACAACAATGAAACCAAAAGTGTGAAGACTTGCACATGTCATGTTTAATCTAATGTATCCTTTACACTTATTGAAAGAAAACTGAAAGATATAAAGTAGCATTTACAAAAACACGAATTACTACAAATATTTGCTCTAAATTTGGTATAAAACAGACATTAAGATATACGTAGAACATACATAAAACAGACTTTAAAGACTTTAGTAGAGATAGTAAATATTTTTATATTAACATGATTAACGAGATAACCCACAAAGATGATTGTCCAAAGTTTAAATGTGATACTGCTGATACAGCTATCAGGACCAAGTATACTCAACTGCAAGTCACACTTTGTATTTATGGGGGGAGGCTTCTGTCTGCATGTCTTTCATTGGTTGCCGTTGAGTTTCCTTGTTACATGAAGAAATTAGGCTAAACACACCAGACTCCAGGTGGCGTTATGTTTGATTTTATTTTAATCAAACAACTTTTTGTACCCGTAGAATTGAACAGAGACTTCGTTGTAGTGTGTGTGTGTATGTGTGAGTGCTTGCGTGTGTGTGTGTGCGCGCGAGTGTATGTGTCAGTGTGTGTGTGTGTTTCTGTTGACCACATTTCTATGTACTTTTTATATCAAATTTACAGTTTACTATCCTGTTTTGAGCGATTTCCTGTAACCGGAATCGGTAAGTACTCTACTTTCAGTCTCTTAAAGGCCGATAACTTAATTACCATTAAAGTTAGGAACACCATATTTCACTTACAAGTATTAGATTGTATGCTCAGGTTTCGATTTACATTTGAACGACATTTTATACATACGTTTGATCATATTCGCTCTTTTCTTTCAAATTTTGAGTTATTTTCGTTGATCGCAAATAATACTTTAAGCTATTTTAGTTTTCTCAAAAAGGTAATCAATGTTTCCTTTAGAAAGTGCTAATTTTTCGCTCTATTATATACACTTTTTGCGTTGTTTTTTTTCGCAATTCTTTTTTCTGCGCGATTTTATTCTGTTTAAAATAAATCTCCTAAACTTTCTCGAATATTCTTAGAAACTCTACGGGGGATGGCAACCGAAAATTTTGAAGAATTGAAAGTAGAATAAGTTCCACTTCCTTTTACCGAAATCGTTGAAAAGCTGATACAGAACTTCAACATAGATATAATACTTATTTATGAAATTTCATCAACCTAGCTATCACAGACACACATACACACACAGACATACGGACAGAATTGCACAACCCAGTTTTTACGACTCGAATACCTATAAAAAGCCGCAATTTTTGAAAAATCTGGATTTATAATTTTTGACCGATTAAAATAAGTCCCCGATACTCCGTATGTGATGAAGGACTGTGAAGTAAAACGCTGAAAACTGTCAAAATTTCATGTGATTTTTCTGCACGATTACAATACATTCTCTATAGGCCTACTCTGTATACGAGAAAGTAAAAATTTAAATAGGCCTTTTTTAAAATAATTAGTCTTATAGGTTAATCTGTAAATAATGGGATCTAAGAAAACAAAACTAAAAGTCGGTTAAATCGTTCCTTTTATTGAGATTAAAAAGCTAACAAAAAATAAAATAACAGCTAAACTGATATATTTATTACGTTTTTATGCGCAGCAACAGTTTAATATCAACTTCAATATAATTTTAGCTTTTATACAAAAGGCTATTTTAGTGAAAACTTGCCAAAGTACAATATTTTTAGTACATAAAAGATAAGATAGTTCGAAAATTATAGCACTAGACTTATGTTGCTTTCTGTAAAAAAAAAAACTGTCATGACATTTTTTTAAAGTCAACAAAATTACAGAATCAGGCTGTAGACCATCCTAGGACTGTCCTACCCAGGACCAAAGATGTCAACAACAGGACATTGCAGATTATCGCGCTATGACCAGAGTTATCTATTGAAAGATTATCAAAAACAATGTTAGTAGCATTTCACTTAAATATAAACCGGCTTTGAAATAGCCGTAGATCTTATGGTAAAATGTATTAAAATGTATGTACAGTAGTTACATTGTTGACTATAAAGTTGCTCAAGTTTTTGTGTACTTAAAATAAATTCAAGTGTTTGAACCGTAACTTACCATTCACTAGATTAAATGAGGTGCCAATATCATCGTAGCCAAGACTCGCTGAACAAACACAGGACGCACTCTTGAAGGCTTTGCCGTAGGTCACGGTGAATGTGGCGCCGTATGAGTAGGAAGTCTGGGTCACTGAGCCACATTTCAGTGTCAGCCGTATCACCGTCCCTTCGCCAATACATTTGACGTCAACTTTGGTGTCCAATGCGGATAGCCATACCGTCTGGCCGTTCGATATAGCCTGGTTGTATATCATGACCTCAGGGGGTCTCAATGAATCGGACAGGTGAACTGGAAATACAGTAACTTAACATTAAACAATAAGACAGGTAACTGAAAATACAGTAACTTAACATTAAACAATATGATAGGTAAAATGAAAATATAGTCATGTTGTCATGTTTGCCTGTCGTCCCTACTGGGACATAGGCCGCTGACAAGAGCTTTCCAGACGTCTCTGTCCAGGGCTAGTCTCTCCAACTGTCCCCAGGTGTATCCAATCTTCTTGGTGTCTTCTTCCAGGTCACGTCTCCAGGTCTTTCTTGGTCTGCCTCTCTTCCTCCTGCCTTGTGGATTCCAGGTGAGGGCCTGTCTTGTTATGCTGGATACAGGCTTCCTGAGTGTGTGGCCAATCCATTTCCATTTTCTCTGGAGGATCTCTACTTCAACTGGCAGTTGATTTGTCCGTTGCCATAGAACATCATTTCTGATGGTTTTAGGCCAGCGAATTCGCAGGATCTTTCTGAGGCATGCGTTTATAAATGATTGTATTTTCTTCTTGTTTATAGCAGTTATTCTCCATGTCTCGGCTCCATAGAGTAAAACAGGTTTTACTAGTGTGTTGAAGATCCTGATTTTTATTCCAAGGGTTAAATCTCCTGAACCCCAAACATTTTTTAGTTGGTTGAAGACTGCTCTTGCCTTACCCGTCCTTATTTTTATGTCTGCTTCTGTCCCACCCTGCTTATCAACAATACTTCCAAGGTAGGTGAATCTATCCACTTCTTCTAGGGCTTCTTCTGCCAGTGTTATAGGGTTGTTGTTTGATGCATTGACTTTGAGAACTTTACTTTTCCCTCTGTGGATGTTCAGGCCCAGGCATGTAGAAAAATTTGCAACCCTGTTGGTTTTATCCTGCATTTGCTGTTGTGTGTGAGAAAGGAGGGCCAGGTCGTCAGCAAAGTCCAGGTCATCCAGCTGGTTCCACAGTGTCCACTGTATACCGTTTCGCGTTTTCTCTGTTGACATCTTCATAATCCAGTCTATGGCCAGCAGGAACAGGAATGGTGAAAGTAGGCAACCCTGCCTTACTCCAGTCCGTACTGGGAAGGCCTCTGTAGTCTGTTGGCCATGCACTACTCTACACTTGAGACCTTCATATGAAGACATAATAATGTTGACTATTTTCTGTGGCACCCCGTAGTGTCTCAACAATTTCCACATTGACTGCCTATCCAGGCTATCAAAGGCCTTCTCATAGTCTATGAAATTAATATAGAGAGATGAGTTCCACTCTTGGGTCTGTTCAATGATGATGCGCAGGGTAGCAATTTGGTCTATGCATGACCTTTCCTTCCTAAAGCCCGCCTGTTGATCTCGAAGCTGGGGATCTATCGCTTCCTTCATTCTGTTTAATAATATTCTGTTGAAGACTTTGCCTGGGATGGACAAAAGTGTTATCCCTCTATAGTTAGAGCATGCACTAAGATCGCCTTTCTTTGGAAGCTTTATGAGTAGTCCCTCCTTCCACTCCTCTGGTATTTGTTCATCTTCCCAGATTTTCTTGAAGAGTGTGTATAGTAGTGTGGTGCTAGTTTCTATATCTGCTGTCAGTGCTTCTGCCGGTATACCATCTATTCCTGGAGCCTTCCAATTTTTCAGCTGCTTTATAGCTTTATGTATCTCTTCTTTTGAAGGTGGGTTGCAGTCTATAGGGAGGTCACTTTCAGCTGGTGGTATGTCTTGCGTGCACTCTGGTGTTGGTCTATTCAGTAGTTCTTCAAAATGTTCTACCCATCTCTTCATCTGTCCTTCCGCATCAGGTATTGTCTTTCCATCTTTGGTTTTCACTGGCCTCTCTGGCTTACTGTACTTACCAGATATCTTCTTAATTGTATTGTACACGTCCCTAATATTACCATGGTACAGTGCTTCTTCCGCTTCTCTTGCCAGCAGTTCCAAATAATTCCGTTTGTCTTTCCTTATGTGTTTCTTGACATTTTTGTTCGTTTCGGTGTATTCTTCCAGTGCTTTTAATTTCGTAGCCCGTGTGCGGCTGTTGTTGAATGTTGCCTTCTTTCTTTTTCTCTCTTCAATAATTTTCATGGTATCTGCTGATATCCATTCCTTCGCTTGTCTTTTGATAGGGCCTAGCACTTCTTCGCATGTTGATGTTAATATGCTTTTAGTTTTTTCCCATGTTTCCTCTATCGTCTCTTCTTCTATTAGTTCTTGTAGTACCTGAAACCTATTGGACATATGAAGTTTAAATTCGTTGAGTTTAGATGGGTCCTTTAGCAGGCCTGTGTTGTATCTGTATTTCCTTTTGTTTTCCAACATGTTTTTCTTCAGCTTGAGTTTTACTTTAGCTACCAGTAGGTGATGGTCTGAAGCAACATCAGCTCCTCTCTTGACGCGTACATCCTGAAGTGATCTCCTGAACTTTTTTATGATACATATATGGTCTATCTGATTTTCTGTAGATAGGTCGGGTGATACCCAAGTAGCTTTATGTATCCTTTTGTGATGAAAGAGACTACCTCCAATGACTAAATTATTTGTGGCACACAAGTCAGCAAATCTTTCTCCGTTTTCGTTCATCTCACCTAAACCCTGCTGTCCCATACATTCTTCATATCCTCTGTTGTCACTTCCAATCTTAGCATTGAAGTCGCCCATGAGTATAAGGATGTTTCTTCTTGGGCGGTTCTGGATAATGGTCATTAGCCTGTTGTAGAATTCGTCTTTGTCCTCCTCTTTGCTGTCATTTGTTGGGGCGTAGGCCTGTATTATGTCCATGTTAGTTCGTCTTATTTTAGTTTTAAAGGTAGCTGTTATGATCCGCGGGCAGTGTGCCTCCCATCCAATGAGAGCCCTTTGTGCTTGGTTTGATAGCATGAGTGCAACTCCTTGAGTATGTGGTGCATTTTCATCCTCATGGCCTGAGTACAGCAGTAGCTCTCCTGTTATCAGTCTTTTTTGTCCTGAGCCAGTCCACC